CCAAACCCAAACCCTTTGGGGATAAATTTTAGCTAGTTAGCAAGCAATCAAAAATTGGTATTTGGGGATAAAATGTAGCCTGGTTCGGTCTTGCAAGTTTATAAAATATCCTAGTTAGCAAGCCAAAAAAAGGAGTTGGTTGATCTTCACAGAGAGAACAACGTTGACACACACTACAAGGGAGATATCACAGATGGTCTTTCGGAATTCGCCGTCGGGATTTTTCGCCTTCGCTTCACTGGTTTCGATGGCTTTACAGCAAAAACCAACCCCAAATTATTTTGTTAATCAAAAGTATTGATATTGCTTTTCTTTTCTTGCGCATCATTGAAGTATTGCCTAATTCGAGTTTTAAATGTGCATTCAAGTGTTAAATTAATTACAAAAATATGAATCCCATAATAATACAATCATGATATTTTTTCTTTTTTCAAATTCAAAGAATTACAATAACAATATATAAAATCACTACATTTGAATTTCATTTTACTATTAGAGCAAATGATGGTTGTTATTCTTAACTATAATCTACATTATATCAAAGCAGAAAATTAATTAAATTTAGGTCAATTTGTAAGATTAATAATTTTACAAATCTGCGGAATGGGAATAAAATCTTTAAATAAAATATTCAAAAAAAAAACAAAAATCAATTTTTTTTATATTCTATTTAGTTATCCAGAATCAAACCACCTTTTTATTAAAACAATATTCTTAAATCTATGTTGTATTAATTTAGAAATTAGCTGTTAAAAATCATTGCTCCATTTGCTTAAAATATAGGTTATTTGGAGATATTTTGAATCATAAAATTTGTGGAAACTACATAAAATTGAAAAAAGAATACCTTTTTGTAATATTTAATCAAGTTATGGTGGCTTTTTAAATTAGGAAAAAATGGTTTAATATTGATTATTGATTTTAACATCCCAAAAATAGATCGACTTATCTAAACTAACGGATGCTAAAGTAGCACCATCAGGAGAGAAGCATATTGAATAAACGGAGCTAACATGACCTTCTAATTTGGCTTTTTCCTATCCAGTCTTAACATCCCATAAACGGATAAACTTGTCATCGCTACCAGATGCTAATATTGTGCCATCAGGCGAGAAATTGAGTGAATAAACATAACTTGAATGACCATCTAATTTGGCTTTTTATTATCCTGTTGTAATATCCCATAAACGGATGGAGTAATCATTGCTACCAATCAGATCTCCACCACCAGATGCTAATGTACTACCATCAGGAGAGAATTTGACTGAATAAACTGTTGATGAATGACTATCTAATTCTGCTTTTTGTTATCCAGTCTTAACATCCCATAAACGGATAGTCTTATCCCAACTCCCAGATGCTAATATCGTGCCATTAGGAGAAAAGCATATTGAATAAACCCTACCCTCATGGCCATCTAATTTGGCTTTTTATCCTGTCTTAACATCCCATAAACGGATAGAGTTATCGTAACTACCAGATGCTAATGTAGTACCATCAGGAGAGTAACAAATTGAATTTACACAATCGTTATGACCATCTAATTTGGCTTTTTATTATCCTGTCTTAACATCCCATAAACAGATAGACCCATCATTAATACCAGATGCTAATGTAGTACCATCAGGAGAGTAACAAATTGAAGAAACCCATGATGAATGACCATCTAATTTGGCTTTTTATTATCCTGTCTTAACATCCCATAAACGGATAGAATTATCATCACAACCAGATGCTAATGTAGTACCATTAGGAGAGAAGCATACTGATAAGGCAATATCCTAAGCTCCATCTAAATTTACGTTTTATCTGCCTGCCGAAATATCCCACAATCCGATCGACTTATCTGCACTACCAGATGCTAATGTAATACCGTCAGGAGAGATTTAAACTGAATAAACCATACTATCATGACCAAATAATCTAGCCTTTTTTAGCCCTTTCTGAACGTCCCATACATAGATGCTATTATCTCCACTACCAGATACTAATGTCTTACTATCAGGAGAGAATGATACTGATAGTACAGATTCTTTATGACCAGTTAATTTGAACTGTAATTATCCTGACTAAACATGCCATAAACAGATTGTGAGGTCTCTACTACCAGATGCTAATGTAGTTCCATTAGGCGAAAAGCATATTGAATATATCCAACTACTATGGCCAGATAATTTTTACTTTTTTTTTCCAGTTCTCATATCCCATAAAATAATACAACAATCTTCACTACCAGATGCTAATGTACTTCCATTAGGAGAAAAGCATATTGAATAAACCCAACCCTTATGGCCATCTAATTTGGACTTTTATTATCCTGTCTTAACATTCCATAAAATGATAGACATATCTGTGCTACCAGATGCTAAAGTGCCTCCATCGGGAGAGAAGCAAACAGAGTAAACTATTCCGCCATGACCAACTAATTTTTCTTTTTCTTATCCTGTTTTAACATTCCATAAAGTAATAGATTTATCATCACTACCAGATGCTAATGTATGACCATCAGGAGAGAAGCACACCGAATAAACCCAGCCAGTATGACCTTATAATTTGATGATTTATTGCATATTCTAAACTTTCCACAAACTTATAGAATTATCCCAACTACCAGATGCTAAAGTAGTACCATCAGGAGAAAAACATATAGATCTGACTGCACTAGTGTGTCCATCAAATCTTTACATTAGATTAATTTTTATGTTTTTCCAATTGCAACTCATTAATTATGCTCCATTTAAGTTCATTCCACTTATATCAACATTCTCAAAAATTGATCCGTTCAAATTGCATCTAACAAAATTACCTCCTATTAATGAAGTACCTGCAATCTAAATATTTTGAAAGCTTTATTCTCTCAAATCAACCTTCATCTAGACTAATAAGTTCAGAGAATTTGATCCGCATTAGATAAATCTGCGATCTATACTTGTCAGATGAACAAGGAATTTAAAAAATTCTAATATTATCTCGTTCTTCTAAATTTTTCCAATTAAATCCTCTCTATATTCATTATAACACTCCAAGGAATAATTATTTATATTAAAATCATGCGTATGAATTTTTTTGATAATACCAACAAAACGATTAATATCTTCACCTGTATTACTTTAATTCTTTTATTTTGTATAACATATATAATATTGTTAAAGGTTATGATCAAAATCTTTTTAAAGAAATTCTAAACAATCAGTAACTTTCTCCTTTCTTAACATCTCAATAATCTATTAGAATAATGATTTATCAATATCTTTTAAGGAAATTAACACCTCAAGTAAATCTTCTTTCGATGCATAAACTTAGTTTAATAATTCATTTTGTTGAATACTTTAAAACTGATCATAATAATTATTTGAGGACATCATATTATTCATTTCTTTCCTCAGCTTTTCATTAAAAGCTATAATTTCTTAGCCCCACCAAACCTTCATCCTTTCCAATTTCATTAAATAAATATTCCAATTTTTTAATGATTCTTTATCTAATAATTGTATTAATGTCTCCAAGTCTGAATATGACGAATTAGCTATGTAGGTATTTTCATTTAAGATATTCATAAATAATTTATTTCTCCTCTCAATGGTTGTGTATATTGACTTGATTGATATTTATAATTATTCCCAAATTTTCTTCAGCATAATTTCAGTTTGAGAGATCATAGAATCAAAATGTATTCTTTATTTGATTATTACAGATGTTTCATCAAGATTATAATCCTTTAATTTTTCGACAACCATTTCTTGAAATTTATCAATAGAAACTATATGATTTTAGGTATCTACTTCATGTTCAAATTTGCATTCAACACACAACTTCCTTAAACATTTACATTTGTGAGGAGCTATGCATATCATTGATACTCTATTTCTAATATGATAAGAGCAATTCATTATCTTTTTAAAGAAAAATTTATATATCTATTATTTACCTTTGATATTGGTATATAAACAAAAATTATATACTTAATTTTGTGAGGAAGAAATCCAATACCAGTCAAGACTTGTAGCCTATGTAATTGAGATAAAAATGCTCTAGTTAATAATAGCATAGTTTTGCATATCTTGGTACTTTAAGAAAATGAAATAATTGAGGAATAGCAATTTTAACATAAGGTTTTAGTTAACATCAATTTTTTCAATTTAGAAATTATTCAGCATAAATCCTACTAATAACCCTCATTTTTGTGCTCAAGTTTATTCACTTTTGATAAATTGATTTCATTCTATATATCAATTTAATCTAACAAAAATCAAACAAAAAAACAAAATCGTCTTTAAATGGAAACATTTTATATTGAAATCTGAAAAAAAGGTAAAAAATAGTTTACCCTTCAATTATACAATTTCGATTTGAATATTGAAGCCAAAAAACCACTAAAAAATAATTTGAAATTGATTGCATTAATAAAACAATAAATTCTGTCTAATTTAAATGGAATTGGAAATTTGCAAACCAAAAGAATCAATAAAATACTATAAATCCTAAAATCTATAGGTTTTAACATTATGATTAATTTTTAGGATAATTGAATGTTCAGAAAATAAATGATGAGATTTTAAAGAGATAACATTAAAAAATGGCTTTTTTGTTTATTATGCACTAACATGCTAGATGACATATATTTGAGGGATATGAAATAGTTATAAATTCTTAATTTTCCAATCAAATAATTATCCAAATCAAGTATAATTTGAAGATTCTTAATAATCTTTAGATTAAAAATATTTTTATATATTTTAATATAAAATATTAATTTCATATATTTCTTAGTTATACTTTATTGTTATTAGATTGTTCTAAAATAATGAATAAATTGCTAATTGGTGATAATAAAATAATATTAGAAAAAAAACTTACAACAGTCTGAAACTTCAGGGTCTTTTTGAATAGCTGCATCATAATATTTTACCGCTTCTTCAAATCTATAAATTTTATCTAAAGTCATAGCTAAACAAATTTAATTTTGATTATACCTTCATTATTATAATTTTCTGAAACTTTAGGATCTTTCTAAATAACTACATCAAAATATTTCAATGCTTCCTCAAATCTCCCCACAATGTATATAATCATTGACAAATGATCACTAAACTTGATTATAAAATTAAATTTATTCTGCAGAGATTGTTGAATCGGATTAATCATGTGCTACTTAATATCTTTTCTTATGTCCAATTATTTTTACTTGTATTATCCAAAATTACCTGAAATTAAACTAGGTAAATACCTTTGTTTTTAATAATTTTTCTGTGTTTGTGATTCTTCTCTAAATTTAGAATTTTTAATCTTAAATTGTATTTACAAATGTTTTTTATCCATCAAGCTGATAAAATCTTATTATTAAGAATATGTTTTTGATAAAATTAACTATTAATTGATCCATTTACCCTTTCTTGGTTAATTTAATCATATTATGAAAATTTTAAGAAATAATTTTATAGATTTCAATCAATTCTTAAAAGGTTAATCAAAATCTATCATAAATCATCCTATAAATACAATATTATTGTAAGTAACTGTAGCTCAAGGACTGTTGTATTTGATTTTCTTTGTTCTTCGCAATTTCTCACTCTATTAATACTAAATTTTTATAGTTTGGCAAATCAATTTATGCTAGCACAGTAAATTTCTCTTAATATAATGCAGCATTTACGAATTAGAACTTAAGTACATTGAAATGAAAATTACTGTCACTTTTTTTTCTACTAATTGTATCTTCTGATTTTATCTTACTTTACATTTAGTTTGATTAACTTCACTTGCAGTGTAAAGTATTATATAGAAAAGTATAAAATCTTTAACAATGGAGAATAATTAATGATTATTATTTTCAATGACCTTGCTGATAGTAAAAACATTAAATGATTCAAATATTCAATCTATTGGAATAAAAAATAAAATAAAAAGTATATTTATTTAATCAGCTCCAGAATTAAAGGGCATTTAGAATTATGTTCAAGTTAATTTATTCATTTCATCGATTTATTCTATATTAGTTTTTCATGGATCATTTTTCTTATATTCCTCTCTATGATCTTTTTCAATTAATATTAAAATTATAATTACGAATAAGCCTTCTTAACAAGAAGAAACATTTATTTAGCTTCCTTTTGTGTTTTTGTTTTTCTGTAGTAATCTTATTCGAAATTATATTTATACGTATCTGGACCAATTTCTCATTCAATCAAAAGTAACAACCGAATTTAATATTAGAAAAATATATCATTAATTCTTCCCCGCAGACAAAGTTCTTTAATATTATATGAGCAAGGTTTTTAATTCAATTCACATAGGATTAAAACTACTATATGTATTGTCTATTAAGTATTAATAAAAATTTGCACCATCAGATTAATTTTTAATTATAATGCACAGAGATTGTTATATAATCCAAGTTAATTCTTGTGTCAGATGCAAATAAAAAAAATTGCCTTTATACTTGTTTATTGAATCAATTAGTCATTCTTACAATAAATATAATCAAATTGTTAAAAAATAATAAGGTTAAATTTAGAAATAATAATAAAATGAATTTGAAATATAATGCAAATAAGTATAACGGCGATTGATTAATCTCAGAATTTGGTTGCTATCATTATACTTAATTAGAGTCTGGTATAGTGAGTACAGTCTATTTTTTTGATCTAATAGGTTGTTATGCTTATTTGAAGTGCCTTTTTTTTCATAATATTCTGAAAGCACTTATTATCTCCTTCTAGGTAGTTTGATTCTGCTACTGGTAAAAGTAATTTTCTTTCGAACAGCTTTACAAGAACGATTTGATATATTCGTTGTTTATAACTTTNTAGCTCAAGGACTGTTGTATTTGATTTTCTTTGTTCTTCGCAATTTCTCACTCTATTAATACTAAATTTTTATAGTTTGGCAAATCAATTTATGCTAGCACAGTAAATTTCTCTTAATATAATGCAGCATTTACGAATTAGAACTTAAGTACATTGAAATGAAAATTACTGTCACTTTTTTTTCTACTAATTGTATCTTCTGATTTTATCTTACTTTACATTTAGTTTGATTAACTTCACTTGCAGTGTAAAGTATTATATAGAAAAGTATAAAATCTTTAACAATGGAGAATAATTAATGATTATTATTTTCAATGACCTTGCTGATAGTAAAAACATTAAATGATTCAAATATTCAATCTATTGGAATAAAAAATAAAATAAAAAGTATATTTATTTAATCAGCTCCAGAATTAAAGGGCATTTAGAATTATGTTCAAGTTAATTTATTCATTTCATCGATTTATTCTATATTAGTTTTTCATGGATCATTTTTCTTATATTCCTCTCTATGATCTTTTTCAATTAATATTAAAATTATAATTACGAATAAGCCTTCTTAACAAGAAGAAACATTTATTTAGCTTCCTTTTGTGTTTTTGTTTTTCTGTAGTAATCTTATTCGAAATTATATTTATACGTATCTGGACCAATTTCTCATTCAATCAAAAGTAACAACCGAATTTAATATTAGAAAAATATATCATTAATTCTTCCCCGCAGACAAAGTTCTTTAATATTATATGAGCAAGGTTTTTAATTCAATTCACATAGGATTAAAACTACTATATGTATTGTCTATTAAGTATTAATAAAAATTTGCACCATCAGATTAATTTTTAATTATAATGCACAGAGATTGTTATATAATCCAAGTTAATTCTTGTGTCAGATGCAAATAAAAAAAATTGCCTTTATACTTGTTTATTGAATCAATTAGTCATTCTTACAATAAATATAATCAAATTGTTAAAAAATAATAAGGTTAAATTTAGAAATAATAATAAAATGAATTTGAAATATAATGCAAATAAGTATAACGGCGATTGATTAATCTCAGAATTTGGTTGCTATCATTATACTTAATTAGAGTCTGGTATAGTGAGTACAGTCTATTTTTTTGATCTAATAGGTTGTTATGCTTATTTGAAGTGCCTTTTTTTTCATAATATTCTGAAAGCACTTATTATCTCCTTCTAGGTAGTTTGATTCTGCTACTGGTAAAAGTAATTTTCTTTCGAACAGCTTTACAAGAACGATTTGATATATTCGTTGTTTATAACTTTAATCTATTCATTGATACTAACTATTATTTTTCTATTTCTTCATCTAATTTGGCTAAGCAATAGCCTGAATAATCCTTTTTAATTTTTTAATCCTATAATAAATTTCTCCAACTCACTCTAAAACCCTACATAAGGGATTTTCGAGGATCGGGTTGGAAATTTCTGGTCCTAGATGGAGAGAGAGATGACAATTGTAAATATACATCACTAAGAGTTGGAATAATAGAAATTGTAGTATAATTGGAATACAGACTTTTTTCGTATTTTATATGGATGATGAATGTAGTCAACTTTATTTCAGATGTATTTTGGGAAATATTTTAGATAGTTTATTATGGTAAAGATCTCTCTAATCACAACACAGTTTTTAAATTAAAATTTATTTCTTCCTCTATTTAATTTTTCAATATAGAATATATAAATTAAAATGATTTTAAAGAAAATCATTTTTAAGAGGTCATTACAGAGATGTAGAATTGAAAATAAATCTTTATTTATAGTTTCAGACTCAAATGGTGGTTCATAGCAAATGCTCTTGAATTGTCCTTTTTTAATTATAGGAGTTATAAAGCCCTTTTAAAAGATTAAATTTATCCAAATTAATATGATTCGTATTTATTCATGGAAGTTCTTAACGTTATTAATCAATAAATGTTAAATTTTTATAAATATGTGAGATTAATTTTACACAGATTAAATTTTGGGTTTAAGACTTAGAATTCATATTTAAAATTTTTGCAACTAACAAGGAGTATAGCGATGAAGTACGATATATGAAGGAAATGCATTAGAATAATAACTATAAATATTCCTCTAAGATTGGTTTCACAAAATTAGAAAATTGAATTAATAGGCATATGTCAATCATAAAATTCAAGCTTATTTATGCCATCTGAAATGGAAATTGATGATTTGAATAATGAATTCTTATATAGGTTCGTTATTAGTTGGATTATTTTTTAAACAATAGGGTCTAAAGCGACAGAGTCTTTCCATTATCATATAATATTTGATTCAAACATCGTTTATTCTGCTTAATAAATTCTCTAAACCTGTGATAAGAATCAAAGTATTATAGAATCCATCACCCTTAAATGATTCAGTACTTTTATTAGGTGTCTTCCGATCAAAAAAAAGCAACATTTAAGAATTTAGAAAGACTTTTCTACCACTGTTTATAAATTTCTAACCAAAACTGATATAATTTTGGAACGATTATATATAAATAATAAAGACATACATTTTAAAAGATTTATCATAATAAGATTTATATGAAAATTTATTGAAGCCTATCATGAAAAATTATCTTAAACTACATTACATGGTATTATTAATTCTGGTCGAAAAGCATTGAAAAAAATGATGTAACTTAAATTATCAACTAATGGTATTGGTTTGAAGAAATATCATTGACATTAAAGAAGCCAATGATGAATACAATATTTTTATGAAGTAGAATATGATGAAATACTTATGGAATTTGGTAGAATGCTTATTGAAATCCAAAATAATGAAGATCGTGTTTCCTTACAAATAAATACAAAATTAATATTAACTGATTAAGATGAATAAAGCTGTAAAGTCTTCAGGTTTTCCACAACTTGATTTCATTGATTCAATTATTGATTATATTTCTAAGAAATTTCCAATAATTTAAATATTGCTGCAATATTAATTATGGTGAGATTTTCATTTTAAGTTATTAAAAATTAAGAAACTCCAAATATCGTTTGCTCCTTTGATAATATTAGATATATTTTCAATCTTCCTGATGGTTTTTAAAGGTTCACAAAAGACAATTAAGTAAAAATCAATCAAGGGCCTCGAATATTTTTTACTAGATTGAGTACCAAAACAACAACGGGTTGTTTTGGATATTTATCAACATTATTGGCATAAAATTGTGGAGTTAATACAAAAATTTATGGTCCGAAAGGACTTTGTAAATTGATCAATATGAAAAGATATAATGAAATAGGTGGTTTTAAAACATTACCTTATTCGGTGTAAGAATTTAATGGAAACTGCTTATTGGGAACAAAAGATACAAAGCTAATAGAAGAACTATTGTAACAGAACGACTGTAAGTTATAAGAATACCTTGAAAAAATTAAAGAGCATATTATTGATCCAAAAGAATCTAATGATGCTTCTATCTATATGAAAAATTCAACTTTGTTTAAGGATTAAAATTTATAAATATAAGCTATTGAAATCAATGATACAATTTAATATGTCATTTCATCATTCCCTTAACCAGGTAACTACAATAAAGAAAAATTACAATAATTTAAAGTTCCTGCTAATAAAATGCAAGATTTGTCAAAGAATGGCAAAGTTATGCTAGAAGATGAATAAATAGTTACAATTGAATAAGTAAAAGAACCTGACATTATACCTTAAGTTGCAATTATTTTGGATATTGCAAATCCAGAATAAATGTAGAAATTGATGTGTCATATAGAATTCAAGAAAACTCTGGAATAATTTAAAGCATAATAGGTAAATTTAGTCGCTGTTTTTCATTTATCTCACCAACTTTAGGAAGAATACTATATTGACTTTATTAAAAAATATTCCAACATCAATCATATTTTCTGTAACTATTATAAGGAAAGCGATGATAAGATTTGTTAAACACATATGAAGATCCAACCTTTATCAGAACTTTTATCAAATTTTTTACATCAACAATATCCATTTAATTTCCCTCACATTGAATGCTTAAAATTAAAACCAATACCGATTGATTTTAAAGATTTAAACCAAATGTGTGGCTACATTCCTCTTTTTGAATATTTAATTCTTCCAACTAAATAATAGGGGTATAAACCAGTTTAAAATTTTTCCCCAAAAATAATGTCTTAAATTTTTAATAACATTTAATTCAAAAACTATTAATAATAATTTTAATAAAAAGGAATCGATCATATGAGATTAATATTTTTAGGTACTTGTTCTATGAAACCTGGATAATTAAGAAATGTTTCAGGGATTATTTTAGTGAATGAAAAATTGAAATCTAACATTATATTAGATTGTGGAGAAGGAACTTTTAAATAAATCAGCGATGAAAATATAGTGCTTGATGATAAGCCATTAATTATTTGGATAAGCCATGCTCATAGCGATCATCATTTAGGTTTATTACAAATTGTTCATAATTTATGTAATTGCCATAATGAAATATATTTAATTGTGCCTGCTATAGTAGTACCTTGGCTGATGTTTTTCAAGGAAATCTTAGGTGAATAAAATAATTGGAAAATTATTGTATCATAATAATTTGATTAGGATTTTAAAGAAGATATCAATGAATTAATAAAGGATTGCTTTCATTAATGTCGAATTAGATAAGGTGAATTAGTATAAATTTAAGATAATTAAAATTTCCTTAAAAACTATGAAGATCTTATAAGTTGTTTGAAGGATTAATTTGAATTAAATTCTATAAAAGTTACTCCTGTTGACCATTGCCCATAATCCTATGGAGTGCGATTAAATTTATGTGATGGAAGATCTTTATCTTATTCTGGAGATACAAGACCATGTGAAAGATTTATAAAATTATCATAAAATGTTGATATTCTAATTCATGAATCCACTTTTACAGATGATTTGTAAGAGAATGCACTTTAAAATATGCACTCTACGATTTCTGAGGCTGTTAAAGTAGGCATGCTTGCTGATGCAAAAGTTATTACATTAACTCATTATTCCTAGAGATATTCGAGATAGATAGAAATTAATTAAGAGAATTTGGAGAATGATAAAATTATATTTTGTTGTGACCATTTTGGAGGATATTTAAATTAGTATTCAAAATTAAGCCAAATAAGTAAAGAGATTATATAATTATTTAATGAATGAATGATATCAATATACATAATCATCAATGTTAATCTTTTTATTTTGATTCTTAATTGATGCACTAGAAACGAATGCACCTAAATAATGACAGCAATCTCTAAATATCCAAAAATTCTTCAGTTTCCATTTTCTTGTCCTATTGCAAGGATTATATTTAAGTATTTGAAACGTTTTTAAGTCTTTGCCTCAGGGTATTGAAAGCAACTCCTTATGGCAATAGCATCATTAAGCCAAACAAACATTTCATTAAGAATGGATGAGAATCGTACTCTAATAATTGTAACCTTAAAACTTAAATAGTTATTGATATTACAAATGAATACTGGTGTTTCTAAAACATTAATTAATTGGGCTATCTCTGATAAAATACATTCATTTACTTCCACTTCTGAAAAACTAATAATTATTTTATAAGCCAAATCATATTCCTCAGATAGTAAACAAAGTGTAATTACACTCATTGAATTATAACAGAATGTCCTATAGAGGGTTTCGAAGATTTCTTAATTATGCTATCTTTTTTTCTCATCTTTTTCATGTTTTAGATTCCTTAGAATATTTCGTAGATTTTATAGCTCTTTTTCAGAAATTAACAGGTTGGTTAATATTTGAACAGTATTGCTGATAAAAATTACATCATTTTATGAATATACTTCCAATAATTTCGCTGTTATTGTGAAATAAACCTTCTATGGATTAAGAAGCGAGCATAGCTTCTTAAATATTTAATCTCCTTTCTTTTCAGATTATTCTTGATTTTTACGAAGCATAATTAAAATTTTATCGATTACTATTTCAAAATATTGGCTGTGCATCGAAATATTTGCTAACACATCCATAATGTTTTATACTATAGCAAATTCAGAATCTGCCAATTTATCAATAAGCTAGCTAATCTAATAATAAATACTTTTGTTAATATATCTTCAATTGTTGGAAAAAGAGACTCAGAATAAACTTCTAATAAATGTTTCATCCATATTAATGCTGATTCAGCTGTATTGCTTTTTTTATCAGTTAGCATCTCTTTTATTGTAGGTACTATGTTTATAAACTCTATTGATGAATTTTTCACTCTTTCCATAACCTTTAGTAACAATTCATTTGTCTTCTAAGCTGCTTTCCTGATTTCCTCCTCTTCATGGGATAATAATATCAGTATAGGGCCCAAAATCTAACTTAGACTGTTCAATATAGTCTTTCGTAAAGGAGATTCAAATCCTCCCAAATATTATTAGATTTAATTTTTTGAAATTGGAGATGTATTGCTCCTCAAATATTCATCTGGTTTTACATGGGATGGTGAATTTTATATCCCCAACCTATTTTTTTATTCCTCTTCTAATTCTTGTTAAAAAACTCTCAAATATTCAAAAATCCATAGTAAAGAATTTAGTTTGGCATAATTATTTTGGTTTCCTTTCATTTAACAAATTTTAAGCAAAATTTCTATAATTTATTCGTTAACTCTTTAATCTAGATTCACTTTAACCTCTACTTATTTCAAAAATTCATTTGCTTGCAAATCAGCTCCATTACGAACTTCCCTAATAATACTGAATGGCTTTACTTATTTGATTCTCCTAACATCATGAATATGCCTTCCAGTATCATGGGAAAATAAATATACAAATCATTATTATGACATTGATTTAAGACTTTTATCCATCCAAGCAGGAATTATCGAACATATGTTACCCTAGTCTTTAGTTTGTTTTATAATTAGCTCATAATTGAGTTTAAGTTAAAATAACATTGTTTTCCTGGATCTAAAGATTTCTCTTGAACTGCTGTTTACACCTAAGTCTTTAATAATTAATCCAATAAGAACATGGCTTAAACTATTTAAGGTTCTTATTCTGCTGATCTTCCCAGTTGATAGTCGAATATTTCATTAAAATTAAGAAGGATCATAGTCTTCATAGTTTTTGTTAATTAAAGCAAACATTCAACAGCATATTATCTTGCCTTATCCTCTTTATCGTTTAAGCATTCTAAAATTGGCTAAGTTAGATCTTTGACACATCTTTCAGCTAATTGAGGAAACTACTAATAAAATTTTGGATTACTTCTTTCACGAGAATTTCAGCAACAGTTTAAATGGCAAACATTCCTTATCTTTTAAAGTATAATTATGACGAAGAAGTAAATTTTATTTTTAAAGTTTCTATTATTTATTTGATTAGCAATTCCTTTCCACTTTAAGCATAAGATTAGACTAATGATTTTAATTATTGGCATCCTTATTATTTCTTATCCTAGCTTTTATCCTATAATAATTTTATGATTTGTTATGGTACAACATTGTCATCCATTTGAGTGTATTAATAGTCTATATATTTAATAATAGCATTTCATTTTATAATATTAGCAAATTCAAAATAACATCATATTCAATTTAGCAAAGAAATACATCACATTGTAATTTTAAATTGTACTAATTTGTAGTATCTTTCCTCCATTTTATTAAAATGGCATTACTATAATTACTCTTTTTAAGTAAATTAGGAATAATAAGGTCATGATCCAGAATAGATATTTAATTACAATTCATGCTGTTTGAAATCTGTTACATAAAATACCTAATTTTTCAGTAGTGTTGGTTGCTAGGCATTAAATTTTCAAATTTACGTGGTATTTGATTGATATCCTTGATAAATTTATCTCTGGAATGGATTAAGTGATTCCTGTTTCAAATTCTGTCAATTATAATAAGTCAGACTAACTAATAAAATGGTTTTGCACCATCAACATTCAGATTTGTAATAGATTTCTTTTGCTATCGAAATAATTCCTGAGTCATCTTTAAGACTTCAACTTCTAAATATAGTTAAGCTGGTAAATTTCAAAAGGCAACTGCTGATCCATCAGATTTCAAATTTTTCTTTATTTTAAAGTTGTTGATGCTTTAGTGTTTGATTTATGCTAATGCGCTATTTACAAATCAATAGTTCAAAATATATAATTAAAAAATGTCGATTATGAATCACAAGAAGTCTTAATTAGAAAAAGGCACTTCTTAGGAAATGGAATACAAGTTCAAAATATCACTATTTAACATCATGCATAATATCATATAGAATAATTTATGTAACACTCTCATTTACTGTGTGTTGTTAAGCATTGAAAATTTACAGCTGATGTACTATCCGATTCATCCAGTGATCGATTTTTTATGGGATAATCAAGGACTAAATTATTTCAGAATCATCCTCCGCTATTTTCAATACAATTACCTGATTGATTAAGGTGTAACAATATTCATAATTTTGTTGTACATTTCTTTTGGAGTCATGGTCATTATTGGTGTGATATTCTTTACTAGCTAATATTAATTAAGCCAATTAAAATATTAAGAACAACAACCAGGCATGCTTATTTTTACCTTCAAATTGTTATCCTTATTACTAATTATTTTGAATACTGTATTGGCACTTCCATTTTATAATATATTTTTGGCTACCATCTATTGCAGATCGGATTCAGCAGCTGGAGCTGACATAGGTTGTTATGAAGGCATTCACATTCTTCATATGATTGCTGCTATCATTGGGATTGTATTACTAATCTTTTTTCATTTTTCCACAACATTATTGTACTTTGATCTAAAGTAAAGATTATTATTGATAAAAGTCCAAAATCAAAATTCCCTTTCAATGGTTATTAATCTGATGCTGAATATGCACGAATGCTATTCAAATTTGTTACTCCTTTTCTTATAATTTTCAATGCTCCTGGTACTTACAATAGTGAAATGGTCGTCTTATTTGGAGTTGGAGATCTTATTCTCCTATTTTCCAGATACAATTATCCAACAGGATACAATAATTTTATGTATTTATGTATAATTACATCAATAGACACTTTTACAAAATAACTCTTGAATTAATTGTGTTGTGGATCAATATTTGTGTAATTATCACTGACTTTTTAGATACTGGGGCACCAGATGACATGGGGTTACTATATTTATTTGTTTTGATACCATGTGTAGTCTTTGGTGGGTTATATGCTTTCAAAAACATACTTAAAGAATCAATGACATTTTAAATAAAAAACCTAAAAAACGAAGAGGAGGCAGACAATTACTTAAATACTCTAATATAATTGATTTTGGATCGATAATCTCCAAACACAAAAATAAAGTTGATGGGAGTATTAAAATTGCATTATGTGAATTGTACAAAAACAGGATGCGCTTGTAAATCACTTATTTCATATGATCACAAAAAAGAAGAGGGTACAAAAGAACATGAGACTTGGATGAAGCTTTTGGGATCTGTTTTGGATGACATTATAGCCGATGAAAAGTTTAAGGAGAATGCTAGATTCAAAATCTTTTATTCTTATTTATGTAACGACGAGTTAAAAAATAAATACAATGCTCTCCATTATATGATGAAGGCAGAAGATACAAAAAATCATACTCTGAGAGATGAATTTTGTTTATTCCGTTTCAAACAACATATTGAGAGTGAAATGTAAGAAGACTCTGAAAAGGCCTAAGACATTGATGTGAATTCTATTGTGTTCTTTTAGAATCAATTGGTGGTGCTAACTAATATGATTTAGAAAAGTGCAGAATCGCATTTAGAATTTTGGAGAGAACTTTAAGAGGATCATCCTAATATCTTAAAATTATAAAATATTGGATTAAAAGTTTTACATTAGATTGATCTATGTGATGAAGGATATCAAGAACTTGTGGAGATAAACAATAACAATCTTAATCTTTTAGAATTTTATAATGCTTATTTATAAATGGTTGTACATGATAAAGAATAACATGAACAGTTATCTTAATAAATAAGTCAAATTAAGAAAACAATATATCAAAGAAAGCAAGGAGGAGGACAAGAGTCTAAAATAACCGAATCACAAGAGACAATCATAATAACGATGAGCGGAAATGTTGGTAGTATCGGAATTGTGGCCAGTTGTAATAATGAAATATAAAAATCTTTGGGATATCCAGCGTCAGAATTATTTGAATAAAACGTGAGCAAGATCATGCCAAAAATAATTGGTGATTAACATAATTAATTAGTTGAGAATTATATGAGAACAAGCAATTCAAATATTATAGGATTAGAGAGATTTGTGCTAGCTTAAAATAGTTAGCAATATTTGGTTCCTTGTAAGTTGATGATCAAAGTTTTGCCAAATTTAGAAAAAGGCATCCTCTTGGTTGGCTTTCTAAAGCCATTAGAAAAATTGCCTGGAACTCATTATATGATATATGATGGAATTTCATAATAAATTTTAAATGTTAGTGAATCAATGAAGGATTTAGGAATAAGAGTTGAGGATATTGCAACAACAAGTGCCTAAGAATAACCAATCTATACTTTTGGAAACTTGTTTAAAGAATTAGGAGATGTGCTGAATAATACTCTTAATTAAAATGATCAACCCTTAAAAAATTAGGTGTATAAGTTAGAAGGAGATATATATACAGCTGAAACTATTATTGATGTTCAACTATTCAAATAACTACTTTAATCAAACATTCATGATTCAGATAATAAGAAAATGGGAGGATCCATCAAAGATTCAGCAATTATGAATTATAGCGGAGACTTCAAAAAAGTCAAAGTTAAATTAGAGTTAATTGAGGAGAGATTTCCTTTAACAGATGATGGTCAGCCTGCAGGAGGAAGCATATATCATACAATAGTGATTCGAGAGGATATTGATTAAGAGAAAGCCAACTATGGAAAGTCTTTAATAAAACAGAAATTGGATGAGAGCAAGCATCAGATTATCCAATAATAATCTATTGATGAAGAGGAAGATAAATAAAAGAATTTTTAATCTTCAGTTGATGATCAAGAAGAAAATAAATAGACAAAAGACATCAGAAGTGCTTTAGAATAATCAAAGACTCCCAGACAAATCATATATCTAAGATATCTAACATTGATCCTATTTTTATCTACCTTAGCGTTATCTATTAGCAAATTAGTTTTAGCATTATAATAATCAATTCTGGTGGATGAGGGTGTCAGTGCTGTTCGTTAAGCTCATCGAAGGCATTCTTTAATGGCAGATATAAATTTATACAGTCGTTATTTATATTTAACATCTTTCGGACATTATCCTTCATCTTTAGAAGGAGCATTCAAGGCAAACATAAGTGTTTTAGTTGATAGGTTATAAGTAATATAATTTGACATGATCGAGTTTAGAATTAAGGTTGAAAGCAGAAGTGGTATGCAAATAGATGATGATCAATATGATGTAGTCTTTTTGCTTTCAAACAACGAAACCAAAACTTATGGGAATATTTTCAATGATGCTGTTTTTGCTTATATTACGTCAGCTTCTTCATTCAAAAAAGCAACTCTATCATAATTTAATGATACCTCTAATTCTAGTAGCGTTTCTAAAAATCTATTTTATGTAGTCGAAAATGGTTTGGATGTTCTGAGAAATGGATCTGAAAGAATAGCTGATAAATTTTATAACTTTTATTATGATCAAGTAGATGCCCAAACCAGTAACGCTATAATTATTTTAATTGCTGCTTTGGTAATTATCGTTATTTGCGAAATTGTCTATGTACCAATTTTCATGAGCATATTCAAAGAACGCAAAAGGTTAATTAGTTATTTTGGTATGATCACTAATGATGACATCAAGAATTTAATTGATTAAGGTGATAAATTTATTTTAGATCACATCACAAAATTTAAAAGTTCTGATGATATTAATTAAATTGAGTAACCTCAACAACAATAACAACAACAACATATAATTGAAAGCTCTTTGAATCAGGATCAAAGTCAAGATATTGCGGATAGTCCAAAATAAAAAGTTGAAGTCGATCAAAGAAAATCCCTATTTGATTAAACAAAAGAAAAGCATTAAAGAATATACGAAAGTAAAGGTGGAACACATTACTTTTTAGTATTTTCTTTTATATTTATTGGCTCACTTTTAATGATTGAATATATTGTAATGTATGTTTTAGAAGATCAATCTATTAGTGATGCTAAGTTAATCCTGGATCACTACTTGTACATCTCTCGTCGAGCAAGCATTATTAAATATAATATACTGTTTACATTGGAAGCATTAGTGAATAATGGTCAATCCAGGTTTTACTTGGAAAATGACTTATCTAAATATTATAATCAGAAAGTATATTCTAATGAATAGGATCTATTCAAGACTTTAACCTATACATATCCCAGTTCATTTGATGCTTATTTTGCTTTCTTTAATGATATAAATTTCTTGAATGTTTGTGAGCATATCACTTGGATCAACACTCTCGATTTAATTACTTAGTCGTTTGTCTTTGTAGATACCACAGATAATTTCACAAATTACACCTTCTCCTCATCGGAACTAAACTAAGAATGTAATACAGTTAAAGGAGGACTCTTAACAAAGGGTTTGAGAGATGCGATTTTCTTGGTTTCTTTGGGAAACAACGAGTTGTTGGCTACTTATTCAAATTTATAAGAAAGTTTGGATGCATTCCAGATATAAGAATTATTGCGTAAGTACATTTTACCAACATTTTGGGAGAATAATAATATATTCTAAACTTGCTTTTATAAGTAAAAATTATTAAATTATATGCATTAGCTTTTTAGACATTCGAGATTAAGTATAGATCTATAATTTTGTTGGATTTGTAGGGTTTTTAATTTTAATTTTCTTCTTTTTGTGGATTTCTTATATAGCCAAGGTTTAAGCTGGAATACAATAATCAATGAGAATGCTTACTCTGATCCCTGATGATCTTATAGATAAATACACAAAACTTAAAGAGGCTATCGAATATCATGTCTTAGGAATTAAACAGTAGCAATAATGAGATATTCAATTATATAATAATTATATAACAATGTACAACCCAGTTGAGTATTATTATTCAAACGATTATAATATATCTCAAATAGCAAAACCAGAAATTACTAGAGTTAACACATCTTATTCACCTCGAAAGCTCATTATGGGATATTGGAAAAAGGATTATAAATCATTCATTAGATAAAGAACTATGAATTTAGAATCCAAGGAAATCTAACCACATTCAGCTAAGCAAAAAGGTATCAAATAATCATTCACTCGATTGGCAGAATCGATTTTAAATGTGAGTAATTGTTTTGAAAATATCCCAAATAGATAGACAAAAACAGATAGATTTGTCTAAAAATAAAAAAATAAAATTACTACCCCATCACCTTAGCATTCTAAAATGCATAATCATGAAACTCATAAAATTCCAGGTAGACTTTACAAAGGAACATTGCTAAAAAATTTTGATAACTCTTCAAATCAAATTGGAGAGTCTTATATTTTAGATTCAAAAAAGGAAATTGGATATTCCTAAATGAGCCCGAAAAGTACAAAGAAAGAGCATAGTTCTGAATAGCCGATGTAAAAACATAAGTAAAATTCAAACACTGAACAGGTAGTAACTCCCTATAAAGAACTTAAATAATAGTTGATGATAAGAAGATCTACTTTGAACAATACCAATTCAACAAATTCTTTTAAAAAAACCACCTATAATATCATAGACGAAAAATTAGAAGGAATGAAATTTGAATGTTTATTAATTAAACCCTCCCCAAACAATGTTAGCAATTTAGTGATGATTTAATTCGAAAATGTGTTAGGCTATGACGAATCTAGCTTTTTCGGATTATAGCCTGATTTTATTGGCAGTAAATAGCATGAAGAATATTTAGTCCTTAGAGATCATTATTTTTAAAAGGCCGCTCCTAATTCCTCCTTTTATATTCATAAAAATATTAAAGAACTTTTCAATTCAATATGCAGAGTGTATTAAGTTGGACTTTATACTTTAAATTATTCACACCTCCTCAAAGATCTTATCAATGAGAAAAAACTTAAAGTTAATGGGGCTTTTTCAATTCTTGATTATAAAATTGACACATTTGTAGTTGACATTACTAATGTTCTAACAAATTTAAAAATTAAGAATCCTCAGTTGCTAATTTTTATTCAGCCTTTCAAATTACTCCATAAATAAGAACCATTTATCCCAAATCATACAAAAATGCCTTATTATGATTACTATGGATAAAGATTCTTTATACCATTCACTTAATCAATTCATCCAAATCAGTATAGATTATTAGCCCTACCAAGCTTAGCTATGTAAAGTTTATTGAAAAATGAAGAATACAGTAATGGATTTGCGTAGATCAATTATTTTATTGAATAATTTGCTCTGGCTTTATAAAGTGAAGGAAATTTTGCACAGTTTCTTAGCAAGGGTTAAAATAGAATAACATGTATTAATCAATCCTCTTATTTTCGATAAATAAAATAAAGATTGTTATAATAAGTCTATTTTATTGACACATTAAAACTAAATCAAGATAAATATGATAATATTAGATTTAAGAAAAAAGAAAACTATGATAGGTATAATTCTAAGAATGATTATGCTAAGTAAATGGAAATCTTTTACAATGACATCATAGGTAGAAACAAAGAAATACTTGAAAAATTTCGAGCCTGCAATTATGATCATACTAACAATCTATCACAATTACATTAAGAATTATAGTAATCTTTAATTAGATTAAATTATTGTGAGATGTTTGTTGATTCTTGCTACTACTTGCCATATTGATGTTTATATATATATTTATTTTATTTATTCTATATACTTTCCCATCATTTTCTAAATAAACCATTTCTAATATCCGGCAAAAACTCTTGCAATGAGAGTTCCAACCTATCATCAAGAGTGTTTGAACACACTATTCTACTATTTGCACAACTAAGCACAACTCCACCCAATCTAAAATCAATATATTTAGTACATTGGCTTCCCACTTTTCTCAGTCAAATATTAACTTTGATTGATACTAAGAGTTGTTTTGAAGTCTTTTGTAGTTTCTCGCTTTATAATTTATGTAAATTCTTCTTGACACTCTCCCAAAATTGATCTCACTAAAGGAACATCTTATTCCAAGCATGTCAATTCAATACGAGGTTCTAATAATTTAATCATTCCTTGCACAATCAAATTTTTCAGTAATTCTTTATATACACCTTAATCTTAGATCAATTTGGCCATTTTCTAACGAACTTCTTCTTTAAGTCTCTGAATTAACTCAAAACGAGCTTGCATTTTTGATAATCTTGATTAATTGATCTTTGAAGATCGTTGACTAATACAATGATATAATCAAGTACATTCTTTTTTCAATAGTATATGATTCAATCTTCTTTTTATATTCTTCAATGATCCTTTCTTTCTATTGATTCAGAAGCTTATTTTTCTCAATCCTGAATTATTGAGCAGCCATATCTTTAATTTATTCAGATTTCTCTGTAGCCTATAAGTATTATTGAATATTCACCTCTGCTTTAATGGCATTGACCATTTTTTTTACTCTCTCTTAAGGATTAAAATCGGCCATATTAATTAATTTATTGAAATAAAATCAATTCATTTGTATTATTCTCATAATTTATAATTAATATCTTAGAATTAATTTACAATTTTCTTGCTCAGAACAATTACGATCAATGGTAATCAAATTACACACACTCTTTCATATATAAATTAGTTTTTTTATGGTTTGACGTTGTCTCTGCAGCACATTATTTAATAGTAAGAATTTATATTTTTTGGTATTTTATAATTTTTTTAGATATCTATGGAAATAGCTTTATAAAAGTATGACAGAGCTGAACAAGGTTAATATTATATTTGAATAATTAATCATCAAAGATGTTTATGTCTAAATTTGTTGCTTCAGTAATAAATTTGTTCATACTTTATTTAATCTTTACTTATTAAGACTCATCTTAATTTGAGTAGTTCGTAAATATGTTGAGATACTTCTACTACTCTCTTCATTATATAGTCTATTACATTAAGGTGAGTGTTTCATTTAAAAACGGATTAGGCAAATAATGATTTTTTTGAGATTTCATAGAGATGATTCAAATAATCGATCATTTTTGGGTATTATTTAAATGGGAAAACAACGATCGCAATTGAAATTTAAAAGCCTAACCTTTACATTTTGTTAAGTAGTGTATATGATTATTTGGAAAAAAACAAATAAATATTTCATTGTTTTGTTATTGTAATGAATTCAGTGCGAATAGCTTTCTAAGGGGAATTCATCAAGAGGTTATTATTGGAAAATAAATTCACTATCTTCAAAAGTTTCTGATTCACTTTTGATTAGATTAACAAAAATAGTTTAATGAGATTCAGAAATATTTTCTTTCCATTAAATGATTTATTTATTTTTGGAATAGACTATTGATAATACTGCTAAATATTACATTCCACTCGCTTTTGGATTAAAGAGAGAATTAATTATTCTTAATCAGTTGCCTTGGTCTACATCAAACTTAAGGATTCATAATGCTTTTAAATCCTTAAAGGTATGCTTCTATGCTTCTTAATCTTTTTCTATAGCTTGAGTTGAAAGAATCCTTCAGATTCATCATCTTCAATCATTTATTTATTAATTTAATGTTTAAAATCTATGGGGATATCTTAGAGAATTTAAGCTTATATAATTTAAAGATATTAGTAAATTATGATTGAAATGCCATATTTTCAATAGACAATATTCTTTAAGAATGAAATATAAAAATGATTGATGATTCGGTCATTTTAATTGCGATGACAACATAGTAAAAGTATAAAATAATAATAATGGTAGAATATATATATATTCGATTTGTTGTGTAAATACTAACATATTTCATTGGATTGCTATCATTTGAAGAAATATAATTTATCCTAAATATAAAATTGAAAGATTACAAATTTAGCAAACAATTCTTTGCTTTAACTTGAATGTGTTGTAGAGTTGTAAATAAGATGCAAATAATATCCAATTTCTTCCTTTACTCTTTCTTACCATAAAGGATACTCCTTTAATTGATCTAGGAGATTAATGTATTTATTGATAGCCTCTTCCAAGTGATGTTCGTAGGTCAAAGTTGTGTACTCACTTCTGAACCAAGTATTATGAGTTGCAATTTCTTTTGTTAATTCCAAATATAGAGATCTGTACTCCCAAGTCAATCTATGTAGGTCGAGGATGAATTAGTATAGATTCTCAAATTGAACAAATTTCTATTTTGCCAATTCATATTAACTCACTTCACTAAGGTATGATGGATAAAATTACAAAGATTCCAATCTTGGAGTCCAATTCCTGGCAATATGAGAATAAAATCTGCATTCATAGTATGTCATAGGATCTCTTTCTAAGAATCCTTCTTCTGGGTCTTAAAATCCAGCTTTACACATCTCAGTCATAATTCTGTCCACCTACACTAACGATGAGTAAATCAAAATTAGTACATACATGAGTAATTAATCACTCTACTCTTTATGAAATAAGAAGCAAATCTAGTAACAATGGACATTCTTGTTTTTATTTATAATAAATATAAATATCAACACTTTATTCACATTGCTATGGCTGTGACTTTTAGGGTTATGAAAATAATTCCACTCTAATTTTACTCTAATCATTAAGTAAGAATTTATGGAAAGGTTTTATCTGCTCCTCCTTAACCTTATAATAAATTATAATAATAAAAGATAAATTTAGATCACTATTTGACCATGTCGCATTATAGCGAATGCAAACTCTGCTTTAGGATTTGAGAATGAAAGTCCGAACGAGAAGGTTCTTAATGAATTCTACTAAAATTTATTATGCTTCTTGTTCCTTCAAATCATTTGAACTAAAATTCATTTTATTTCATAAGTTAAATTTATACTTTAAACAAACCAATCGTTTTAATGTTGTTCTATCTCATATGAAAATTTTTTGATAAGATGATGATTCAAATCATTTATAATGATCTAGAATTCTGAGAAAATCTGAATAAATGAGATCTAAATAGATGCGATCGATCCTAAATCTTATTCTTAATCATTTTGAATCTTTTAATCATTATAATAGCTGAAAAATAATACTACAAAATAAAAATTTTGTAAATCAAATTGTCAGTAATCAAAAGAAGTAAAAAATCTTCACAATAATGATATTATTCAATATTAATCTATTAATTCTATTTATTATTGATTTTGTATTTTTAATATGTTTAAATACTTTAGTTAAATATAGTAAAATATATTTATTACTTAGTTATTCAATGGTTTATTAGAAATAACCTATCAATATAAAATCAATGATTATAAATTGAAATGTAACTCATTTATTCTAATCATGCAAACTGAAAAATGTTATGAATAATAATATTTTAATTAAATTTACTGTTAATGAATTAAGAAGATAATTAGAGTCAGGATAGCATTAACGAAAAACAAATAGAAAATAATCTCAAAGACCTACTTGAGAGAATATTGCTTAATGCTGATAAATTCATTGATACTAAAGAAGAACTTAATTAAATAGAGGGAGAACTTAAAGATTATGAAAATTTATCCCATTTGATTGGGATTATAAAAGCAGTATTTACTAATATGATGATGAAAGTAGAAAAAAGAATTTCGTAAGTAGTTAAATTTAACACTAATAAAGCAAATTAGAAAAATAAATAGATCCTAACCTTTCACAAACATATAGTATGAGGACAGATGAGGAATATGAAAAATTAGAATAAACAATGATAAAATATGAAGTAGAAATACGTAATCACATCAGGGTAATAAATAACTTTATTTCAGATTGAATAACAATTAAAATTATATGCTGAGTCAATTTAAACTAAATTAGATGAAAGCGAAGTAAATAGAACTGAATTATTGAACACAACAAAATAACTAATTAGCGTAATAATATTCAAAATTTTTAGAATTTAAAAAGAGAAAATTAAACATATCATGAAGTCCAACAGAAGCTTAAAAACGAAATAGTTTGTTTAAAACAAATTATTAGTGGTTTGGAAAAAGAAAATAGAAGAAAATCTTTAGATCTAAGTCAAAGAGACCATATTAAGCTATAATGTAAAGCTAATTAATAATCAATCAGCCAATCATTCCAACTTTAAAGTAGATGATATTAATTAAAATTAGAATAAAACCATGAAAAATCTTTCTAAGAAAATAAAGGAAACATTAAATAAAATTAAAAATGCATAACTACAGAAAACCACGAGATACCAATCAATTCATAATAATCTTTGAAATAAAACTATTATAATATTATCAATTAGGGAAACGCAGCAAATAAGGCTGACCTTCAAAAAGCTACCTAGTAAAAGGAAGTTAATCGAGCTTATGGGTAAAGATTAAGAAGCAAAAACAATTCTCTATCAAACATCCAAGATGTAATACAAAGTGTCTCAGTGCAAGATAGGAAAAAGGGTTTAAATAGCTAGACGATTTCAAAAAATAGCTCTTAAGATAATAGTTAAGTAGTTAAATATAAAGGTATATTTTTGTAGATTTTATATAGAAACTGGTGATTTGAGTAGAAGTAAAAGCTCTAGAAGAGGCAATTTAGGTTAAAAATTAATCATTGTGGAATCTTAAATCAAATTAACATGTTGAAAATATCATTAATTTTTTATTAAGAAATTAATAAAATAAGTCAGAAATCATTTCTTTATTTTATTAATTGATTGACGCCAAAAATGAGCACTTTCTTGTATTTCATTAATTAACTTCCATTTAGAAAGTGTGGTTCTAACAGGATTCACAACTGAGGTTCTTTTATTTTCTTATGAATTTGATTGTTTAGTTCGTTTTTTCTTATTTTTTCTGATTGCCATTCTTTAATTGATTGCATTATTTTAGTCTTAAAGTTACTTTTTAACTACAGAATCATATTCTTTTGAAATTTAATCATACTCCTACAAAAGAGAATTCAAATCAACTTTTTAATCCTGCTTTCTTTCCTAAACCTCCATACAAATCTCCCTTTCTTTAGCTTAATGTTTTTTAAACACACTAAATCTCATTTTAGAATTGGAATCAGAGTTTTATTGCAAAAAAGGCCTATTAAATCTTTATTCTTCATCAAGTTTCAGTTGATCAAGAGCTTAAGTGTTTATTAAGGTTGTATATCTATTCTAAAGTGCTGTTGATCTCTCATCATTTTCCATCATCAACTCAATTGTTTCTGGCCTACTCAATATAAATTCCATTTTTTCTAAGAAGTAATCTTTTAGAGTTTGTAAATTAGGTTCTAATTATTCTACCAAATAACCATAGATTTCCAACAGTTTTGTTACATGATCTATACTGTAAAGTCTTTCATGAAAGACTGCTTCTAATTATAAAAGAGTGGTTAATTATTCACTATCAATTGATGGTTTTTATTTCTTTTATTTTTCTGCTGATTTATATTTAGGGGAGCTCAATGCATTTTAGACTGCAGAAACGAATAACATTAAAAATAATTTATTTATAATAGAATGCATAAAGTAAGAATTTCAATTAATAATTGTAGCAAGCATCATTCGAATCAATAAAATTAATTATAAATAACATTGCATAATAATCGAAAAGTTGTTATTCTGATTACAGATCATTTTCAATAGTAGGTTACTGTATTTTGATATTATTTGCTTGTTTTTAATTCAGTTATCTTTTTTCCAGATGTTGTTATTAAATTTTAATGATGACTTAGAACACTCTTTGGTATCTTATTTTTGAGTTGACCATTTGCAAGTATATCGTGAGATGGAGGGGATTAAGGACCTTTTAATTAAAATCCGTTCTAAGTCATCCCATGCATAAATAAATTAGCATCTGTTAATTTTGGAGATTTTGGTGATGTTGGCTCATTATTTATTTAATATTTATTAAGTTCCTGAACAAATACAACATTCATTTTATCTTCTAACATCGTAACTTTTGGAGAAATTTATTTGTATAAGTAACCTGATCTAATTACATTTTATCCATCGCCTTCTTTTGATGAAAATCGTTTTTATTTTTACTATTATTAATCATCTAACAATTAGTATAAAATGCTAACTTTTGGGTATCAGTAGTTTTCCAGCACTTGAAACCTTCTTAAGTTAAGAGTTATTTATCTCTGTTTATTTTTAAATGCTTTATAGATTTCCCTTTAAATTACTGCTCTCCTTAGTCACAATAGAGGTCTTTCTACTTCCAGAGTTGATACCGGTAGTTTGTACATGTTCACTCCATCCTCTTTTTTCAATTACTAATTAATTCTTAGGCGATGAACTTTTCATATATATATTTATTCTTTAAATTATTAAGGTAATTAACATATAATTTATAGCTTGAAGAGAAATACACAACAAAATTAATTATATCTTACATATGATTTCTGATTACAGAACTAATCTTCTTAGAGTTAGATTATTTATAGATGAAATGTCTCTATTAATTTGTTGCTATGTGTTTCATGCAATTCACTTTTATACAAGTTTTTTAATAAATGGCAAAATCTATCTTCTCTATCTCATTAAATTAAAACTCTATTATTTTCTTTATTTCTAGTCCTTTCTGGCGTAGAACTCAAAAGATTAAGGATGGTTCAATATTATATTATAATTTGTTATGTGTTTGAAACTTTCCATAATTTTAGAAAACATCAATTAACATTAATGTTCAATTTTAATATATTTTTCATTAGCTGATAAGAAAATTAATTTGGAATGGACAACCTACTATTTTGAAGTATACTAATCCTTTCAAGTTTTAGAGTTTTTATTTTATGATAGATTACTAAAAATTTCTGAAAAATTAGAATATTATCTAAAGTACAAGCATTTAATATCATAATTATTTGTTACCTTTCTTAACGTTCTGTTCTTCATTGCGATTATTGAAAATTAATTATTATCTATACTCTCTTAATTGACATTCTAAGGTATAGTTCTTCTAATTTTAATAGTCAAAGTGAATTTATCCTTGCAAGACTGATTAATGGTTCTTTAAGAAGTAACTTCTATTTATCTCTTTCTTTCATTTGCTTTCTTGTTTGCTTGTAGTGTTCTGAGTTACTTTTGAATTACCAAATATAAATAATCTTTGAAGGCTAACAAGATTTTTGTAAAATTAACTATTTTATTTTCAATTCATTGAGGACTGTTGGATGATATTTTATTGCTGTTTGTATAATCTTTGAAGCTAGGTTGAATCAAGAATTCCTATGGGTGTTAAATTCTTAGGTACACTTTTGTTAGTCTCCAAATTAAATCATAAGAATTACATTTTTTATAAAAGATTAATAAATATCACATTACTTCTGAGCCTAAGTAATACTTTGATTTTTACATTTTCGGTACAAGAATTGTGATTGAATGCTCTATGATCTTTTATATCTAATGACGTTGATTTTATAGATGAATGTAGTTAATTTAATATATAATACTTCCAGTGCAAAATTTGTCTTAATAATTTTATTTTTAGAATAATTAAAGGCAAAATAAATTAGACATGAGCAAAATGAAGCTAAAGCTCACTCATTCTTCAAAGGATCATCAGTTCAGTTAAGATGAGATAAATCAATTGAGACATACATAGGAAATAGAATAAATGATGTCATCGCCAGAGGTGAAAAAGTTTGAAGCCTTCTTGTTTGAATCAATTACGTGCAAATAAAGACTTTCTAAGAAATTTTCTTAATTCACTCCTCTTCCGCCAAAAGTGATTAATGTTTATGAGGGTGAATTCAGCCTAAATCACACTCATGACCATCAAAACAGTGATTAATGATTAAACTTCTTATTTATTTTCCGAAAAGCTAATAACCATTTTATCATTGATATTAATCTTCCTATTCAAACAAGAACTATTTCTTTTAAACGAATTGAACATTCTTTCTATAAACTAAGTTATAACAATTCAATGACCAATTTTGAAATCATAATTATCCATATACATCTCTATTCGTTTAGATATCATTATTATATTGTGTAAAAATGATCATATTTATTGAAACATCTAAAATAATATAATATGGTTATGGAATTAACATTTATACAATATCTCACTGAATTCTGTAATTGTATTTTTTATAATGAAATTGATATTTAATAAAATTAAATTAATTTACTTTGAAAATATATATTAGCAAGAAGAAAAAAGGCAACATATGGGAAACTTCTTTGCGTTTTAATATTTATAAACAAACGAGTATAGCCAATATCTGGTAGGATTTGGGTCAAATCAAATCATATTTTGATGGAGAAAATCAAATTGGACGTTAATAGTTTTTAAATAATCATAACAAATTCATAAGAAATATGAATAAACCAGGAATTTTATTTTCAAATATTAAAAGAGAATCAGAATCAGAATTTTACATGATTATAATTATAGTTCTAAGTACTGTTATTTGAATTTACAAAATCTTATTGCAATACTTAAATAAATTTTGCCTNTAATCTTTGAAGCTAGGTTGAATCAAGAATTCCTATGGGTGTTAAATTCTTAGGTACACTTTTGTTAGTCTCCAAATTAAATCATAAGAATTACATTTTTTATAAAAGATTAATAAATATCACATTACTTCTGAGCCTAAGTAATACTTTGATTTTTACATTTTCGGTACAAGAATTGTGATTGAATGCTCTATGATCTTTTATATCTAATGACGTTGATTTTATAGATGAATGTAGTTAATTTAATATATAATACTTCCAGTGCAAAATTTGTCTTAATAATTTTATTTTTAGAATAATTAAAGGCAAAATAAATTAGACATGAGCAAAATGAAGCTAAAGCTCACTCATTCTTCAAAGGATCATCAGTTCAGTTAAGATGAGATAAATCAATTGAGACATACATAGGAAATAGAATAAATGATGTCATCGCCAGAGGTGAAAAAGTTTGAAGCCTTCTTGTTTGAATCAATTACGTGCAAATAAAGACTTTCTAAGAAATTTTCTTAATTCACTCCTCTTCCGCCAAAAGTGATTAATGTTTATGAGGGTGAATTCAGCCTAAATCACACTCATGACCATCAAAACAGTGATTAATGATTAAACTTCTTATTTATTTTCCGAAAAGCTAATAACCATTTTATCATTGATATTAATCTTCCTATTCAAACAAGAACTATTTCTTTTAAACGAATTGAACATTCTTTCTATAAACTAAGTTATAACAATTCAATGACCAATTTTGAAATCATAATTATCCATATACATCTCTATTCGTTTAGATATCATTATTATATTGTGTAAAAATGATCATATTTATTGAAACATCTAAAATAATATAATATGGTTATGGAATTAACATTTATACAATATCTCACTGAATTCTGTAATTGTATTTTTTATAATGAAATTGATATTTAATAAAATTAAATTAATTTACTTTGAAAATATATATTAGCAAGAAGAAAAAAGGCAACATATGGGAAACTTCTTTGCGTTTTAATATTTATAAACAAACGAGTATAGCCAATATCTGGTAGGATTTGGGTCAAATCAAATCATATTTTGATGGAGAAAATCAAATTGGACGTTAATAGTTTTTAAATAATCATAACAAATTCATAAGAAATATGAATAAACCAGGAATTTTATTTTCAAATATTAAAAGAGAATCAGAATCAGAATTTTACATGATTATAATTATAGTTCTAAGTACTGTTATTTGAATTTACAAAATCTTATTGCAATACTTAAATAAATTTTGCCTAAGAAGAAGACTTCACCAAGTGACAAATAGGAGTATAAAGATAATTGCAGTATAAGAATAAGATAAGAAGTTAATTTATTAAAAGTATATTTTCTAGATTACAATGTTAATAATTTGTTTTCTCAATTTTATCAATCAAAATATAGACGAGTACATTTTAGGACATATCATAAAAGCAAGTTTACTTTAAATACATTATTTATGCAACACAAAACGCAAAATTGTGTATTTTTTGAATATATTATGTTGTAACATCCCTAAGCTCATGAAGCTTTATTCAACCAGACAATCTTGAACCGAATTGGCTTGTTTGGACTTAAAAATGTTCATTCAAAATTGTATTATATATCTCACGCAATACTGATTTAATACCTTAAACCATCTTATCTAGTTATTCTTAACCTGAGCAAATTACAATTTTAATGTGTGTAAAAACAATATTTCTACACCTTAAAAGTGTTAGAATAATCTAAAATTTTTAGAATTACAAAACCAGTAAATTTTTAGAAACTAAAACGAAACCCAAGAAAAAAAGATGTAAGTAAAACTTTTCACAATTAAACTTTATATAATAGGCTGAAGTTATATTTTCTTCCAAGATTGGATTTAATAAAATGGTTCACATTCTCTCAGTTGAAATTTTTCTTTGAACTTCTTTAAAATATTGCAAGTTCTTAGGATTATAATTTTTTCTTTCCCTCTGATTCTTGATTATCCACTCTTGTTAGTTTCCCTTATTGAAGTAGAATTTCTTCATATCTATTTACAATATCAAACTACAAATTTCTGATAGAATAAAAATTACATTATTTTCTTTATAAATTATATACTAAAAAAAAGAAATTAGAATTCCCAAGTTTTTGATAAGAGTAATTAGAGATAAAAAATATTTTTAAACTTATTAGATTATTTAATTCTAAATTACTTAGTAATGGATAGGTGATTATAATTATTATTATTAAAATCATGATAAGTAAACTTTCTTCATTTTAACAACTTTAACTCTATCAATAGGACACTAATCAATTCTTTTTGAACACTCTTCACATACACAAACATGTCCACAGGGTTTTAGTACAATGCAATATTCCTTTTATAAACATATCACGCAAAACTTTTGAATCAGTGAATTTTTATAAAGAGATATTGAGTTTTTTGTTTTAACTAGTTGATCCTCTACTTTTTTGATATCCTCAAAACTTTATTATCTTATTGTTTCGTAATCTCCTTCATACAATTTCATTTACAGTCTCAGTTATGTATTCGCTTCCTCTATTTGTTTTATTTTACTTTTCTCTCTTTATAACTCATGATGAATCGTCAAGTAATCCTATTATAAAGCCTAATTATGTTCTTTCTTCTTTTTTTGATCCCAGATTTGATTTGGATTCGAATCCAAAAATTCTCGAAAAAGTCTGATCACTCGAAAAAGTTGTTTATGTGCCAAAATTAGTTAATCTTAGAAAGAATTGCCAATGATATCCAAGCATTGTGAATCAACGAGACTTCTTATATCATCATCATTTTAACAACAAAGGATCTCTTCCACAAGCATTTCATCGTCCTACTCAGTCATATTTATAATGATTAATTAAATATCAAAATTATATGATGCCTTATATTACTATAAATAGATTTTAAGAAATTTATAAAGATTGCTATTGAAATCAATCCTTGTATTTTCCATTAAAAATAATTGAGTTCAAAATCCTTCATGCGTAATAGTAATCTTTTTTATTTAAATAATGAATTCTTATACTTTCTTATATCTGTAAATAATATTTTAGACAAATAAACGAAAAGGGTGTACAAATCTTATCTTAAAAGGATTAAAATAATTTATTCATTCATTTTTTGATAAATATTTCTAATTAATATTATTTGTAAAATGATTGAGGAATAGTGTGATTATGTCTTCAAATTTATAATTATTGGAAACGGCAATTGCGGAAAAACAAGTCTCCTTTATCATTATATTCATGAGAAATGTAATTTATAAGATGAATTAAGAAATTACAAATGTTAAGCAGACATTAGGAGTTGAATTTTCTGCCAAGATTATTTAAGTAAAATAAAAGAAAATCAAAATGTAATTATGGGATACGGCTGGTTAAGAGAGATATCGATCCTTAACTAAAGTTTATTATAGAGGTGCCTTAGGTGCTTTAATAGTATTTGATGTTACGAAGTACAAATATACAGTACAATAGTTCAGACTCTTTTGAAGCTCTTACAGAGTGGATCAAACAAGCGAGAGAGTTCTCTAAGCCATCTATTCAAATTATTATTATTGGAAACAAAGTAGATCTAGAAAAAGAAAGGTAAAATGATATTTGTAACAAAGAGTGATTTCTGAATAATCAGCCAAATAATTTTGTTAAGATAATGATGTTTAGTATGTGGAAACTAGTGCTACTACTGGTTATCAAGTGAATGAAGCATTTACTCTAATAACAACAAAAACTCTAGATTTATTGTAACAAGGAGCCATTGATGGTGGCATGATCAAACCAAAATTCCTTATGTCAAAAAATGTAGATGAAAAAGAAAAATAATAGCAATGTAATTGTTGACCTCCTGTTTTTATTAGTTTATAACATTAATTATCAACTATAGAATTATTTGGATTTAAATTTTCTTAATGTTTCTTTTATATATAATTATATATATATATATATATCATAAATGATAACCTTCTCAAAGGTTTTCAACGTTACCACCCTCATCATCAAGTTCTGAGGTCCATAATGTCAAGTTATCTCTAATTAATTACATAATGGTTGTTGCGTCTTTGTATTGATCTTCTTAAATTTATTCAATGTCAGCAATAGCATCATCAAAAGCCTAGAATTGATTAATAAGATTCATTACTGATTTAGCTAATTAGCATGCCTTAGCAGCATCATTCAAGACTTCGTAATAGAAAACTGAGAAATTCAAGGCAAGTCCTAATCTGATTGGGTTTGTGGTTTTTAATTCTGAATTAGCAACGTTGGAGGCGGCTTAATAAGCGGCAAGGGCACCGTCAGCAGCCTTTTTGTGTTAATCACCAGAAGCATATTCAGAAATGTATCTGTGATAGTCTCCCTTCATCTTGTGGAAGAACACTTTGGCTTCAGGGGTTGAAGCAGTTTTGATCAGATGGCTGTCGATCAAATTGAGGATATCGTGGCAATATTGATTCAATTCTTCTTCAATCTTCTTCTTGTAGCTTCTGATCAAGACAAGATTTTTTTGTGAGGCAGGTTGGGATTGAGCCTAAAATTTAAATTTTTTTTTTTACTTTTCCTTCTTCCTTGTTTTCAATGCTGGACAAGACTCTCCAAGCTGTTCTTCTTCCACCGATGCTATTTTTGTAAGCGACGGAAAGAAGGTTTCTCTCTTCAATTGACAACTCTTATCCATTTTGAACCACTTATTTGATGTAATTGACCATATCTTCGAATCTCTCTGTTTATTCTGTCAATTTGGTCATATAGATGAGTTCTTCCCTGGTGCTCATTTAGATATTTAAAAATTTAAATTCTTATTTGTTTCCAAAATCAAAGATCACTCTTAAATATACCAAAATTCAATATAATCAAATAAATCTAATTTTATTTAAAATATATCAAAATATGAAGTATTATACATTTTATATATATATATAATTCAAATATCTTAACCCATTTTATTCGTATTATACCTCATTCATGCATCATAACTAATACAAATGGTTAATATCTTCATTCCCCTATTAAAATCACCAAAGGGATTAGTAATAGGCTGACTTGAAAATTTGAATTTTATTTCAATATAAATACATGTTTATTGAATTCAATATTTATTATTCATCATAGATATTCATTGAATTCCATTTATTTTATGTCTATGATATCAAATACACGAGATGATTCTCAGAGAATACTAAAATGTAAAAATTTAATATATTCCATTTTCAAAAATATATTCTTAAATTTTTGATCCAGCTATGGAAATGCTAAAGAAATTAATTTGAATATTTCTGTTAATAAAATAGATTTTTTATTCAGAGAAGAAACAACATGAAGATTTATATAAATTGATAAGATTTAATCAATATAATGCAAACCAGTCTATTATTATGGTCAATATAAATATATTCAAATTGTTAATAATTAATGAGGAGTATTTAGAGTGTGAGTAACTCTAATTCGGCATTGGATTTAAAAATGAGGAAGAAACCAAGATATCAGGTCTGACCCAAATTAGAAATTATTTTTCTTTAATTATTTAAAATTATATGCAAGAATAGCATTTTAAGAAAATAAATCAATATTACTTTTAGAAAGTAATAGGGAGTGTAAGACATTTATCTATATTCTTAGGGAGCATTTGGGATTGTATATTTAGGGTGGGATGATAATTTTAAAAGACAAGTAGCAATAAAAGAAATCTGCATTTCTAAGTTTGACCTCAATTAAGTACAGGACAAGAGACAATATTAAATGATTGAAAAAGAAATTGAAATATGCAAGAAATTAAAAAACAAAAACATTGTGGAGTTGTATGATAGTTTCAAGACGGATAAATACATTTATATTATTTTTGAGTATTGCAGCAATGGTGATTTAGAGATATTATTTAAAAAAAATAGGTTCTAAGAGGCTGAAGTAAAAGCCATATTTTAATAAATAATCGGAGGAATTAAATATTTGTATCAACAGAAGGTTGTTCATCGAGATATCAAACTAGCAAATATATATATAAATTAGGAGTGGATTATAAAGTTAGGTGATTTTGGTTTTGCGAGGAACTTCGATAATTATATGTAATCATATTGTGGAACTCCAATTACAATGGCTCCAGAGATAATCTGTGGAAAGGGGGAGTACGATGAAAAGTGCGATATTTGGTCTTTGGGCATGATCTTATACATGATGATTTTTGGGAACAGTTATTTGCAGCAATTCATTACTCCTAAGACATCTCTAAAGGAATTTTCAGAAATAGTGTAAAAGTCATAAGTAATTTCAATGTATAATTTTTAGGTAGCATTTCCTGCCAAATCAGTTATTTCTTAAGGGTTAAGAGATTTATTTTAGAAGATGCTTTTAGTGGATGCAAAGAAGAGAATCGGATATTAAGAGTTATTTGAACACTATTGGATTACAGAAGGGGAGAATGAAAGTTTCAAGAAGAGTGTTCGTTTCATATCTAAAAGAATGAATTCTGGAGAGGCAAGCGATATAAAGGTTCCTCTATAATAAACGATTAATGAACAACTGGGTTATCAATTCGGTCAGTATGGAATAGTAAGAAATGAAATAATTGAAAATATTCGAGATATGTTGAACTTATGTCAAAATATTGATAATGTGAAAAAGCTTTGTGAGAATTTCTTGAAGAAATTGAGATCTTCACAAAACAATTACTAGATAACATTAATTATGAAAAATTAAAATCGAGTATTCAAGGAAGGGAATGTTAAGATTTTTGATATCAAGTATAAATTAACTTATTTGCTATTGAATATTTTACAAGAGTTAATAAAGACAAACAATGATACACTTGATAGATTAGAAAAAGCACAAAAATTATTTGATATAGCATAAAAGACTAATATTAGCAATGTCATAATTGTCAAAATCACAAAAGAAGAGATAGAAAAGATGGATGATTCAGAATTAAATTAGCAATTTGAACAGTTAGGAGATGAGTTAAGGGAAATAATGATATAATAATAGGCAAGACAATAATAAAGACCGCATAAGAAAGATTACGAAATTGTATTTGAGAATAAGTAATTAGAAGAAAGAACTCTGCAAACGTTGGGAAGTGGAATTGATAATTTTCGTCTCCTTAGAAATGAAATTATATGAAATACTTATAATAAAATTTTATTATGTTGTCAATTTAGAAAGTAAATATCGCAACTCTCTACAACAGAAATGAAGAATACAAATCATGCAATCGTGAGACCGACAGAGAAGATGGCTCGAAGATTCGTATTGCTAAATAATCATATTAGAAAAGTTTAAAGATTTGTTGCATTAACATATTATACCTATCAATGAATTGGTGCATTTGGCTTGGTCAGGAGTGCCCAGTGAACTCAGAAGCACAGTTTGGAGACTTTTACTGAAGTATTAATCTCCAAATAGGGATGCTAATGTATTTTGTTAATCGATTTAATTAGTTGGCTATCATAGAGAGAAAAAGAAGTATGTACTTTGAAATGTGTGATATATACTTTGCGAAAAATCAATAGTATGATGAAAGAGAGAAGAAAATCCTAAAATAAATTTCTGAAGATGTGAAACGCACAATACCAGATTCTGCAATATTTAGAAATCCTTAAATTTAAATTGTGTTGGAAAGGATCCTCTTCATTTGGAATATACGAAATCCTGCATGTGGCTATGTGCAAGGAATGAATGATATAGTCAGTCCTTTCTTAATAGTCTTCTTGTCTGATTATATTGATATTGACACAACGAAATTACAATTCACTAATGAGAAACAACTAGATTGTTTAGACTAAAGATTAATTCGATAAGTTGAAGCAGACTCATATTGGTGTCTTTGTAAATTATTGGAGAGTGTTCTTGATAACTATACGAATTCATAACCAGGTTTGGTTCGTTTCTTTAACAAATTTAAAGAAATATTATCTGCATTAGATAAAAAACTTTATGAACATCTCACCTCCTCACTATGTAACACTATATTTAAATGTAGCCATGGAATTGTATTCATTTATTTTCAAGTGGAGTACTTGCATGTTATTGAGGATGTTTCAATTTGAAGTTGGGCTCAGATTATTTGACACTTTGTTAGCTGAGGAACAAAGTAAACTATCATTTAATTTATAGATTATTTTGAGTTGTGTCTTTTCATTATCATTTCAATATTAATGAAATTTTCTCTTAAAATTTAGAAATTGTAGTATGATGAAATTATGATTCTACTTGAAAAAATACCTACAAGAGAATGGTCAGAATCTGATTTAAGCCTTTGTTTATCTGAGGCTTATGCTTACTAAAAGATATTTTCTAAAAAATGAATAATATTTTATATTTAAGATTTTATAAGTTATTAGTTTTAAAGAATTATTCAAAGATGTAATAAGGATTTTATAATAAAAACATAAAAAATATAAAATCAATTAGGTTCATTTTGTTAATGAGATGAGTCTGACTGTGAATCTAACTTGTCACTTTATTATTATTGCTCCATAGAATTATTTTCCTACTACTCTTTGCTGCTTTTATTGTTGCTTTGCATTTCTGATATATATTAACCTTTATCCTATAAATAATTATATGTACGAGTATAAATATATGTTAACAGTTCAATCTAGCAATAGATGTCTTAATGGATTGTTATAACATCATTTTTATAATGTATCTCAGCACAAGGCCGAGATTAATAGACATCGTTAACAGCAAAAGAGAATCCTTTTAAACTACTATTCATTTCAATATACTAAATAAAATAAGAGAATAATACTAATTGAGTCATTATTGCTTGTTGTTCATCAATGTCTTAGTTGGATTGGAATTCAACCATTTTGTATATAAATTTGCGAGCTTATCTTATAAAGTCCCTATTATAAATTTGTTATTCATCCAAATTTTACAATTCCCTATGTTGTTACTGATATTTTTTACTTTTATCTCTATTTTAATAATTCCTTATGGATTGTTATTATTTAAAGCATCCAACCATGAAAATATAGACCCTAAAGTAGAAATGTAAGTAATTAACTCAGATGAAGTTAAGGATGAATTAGCCCTGTGATATTGAATTCAGGTGCTGACAATGCAGAGGATTGAATTTGTTTCATTTAATTAAAACTTAAGGGTAACAATTCTAAATTTAAGTAATCAAGAATCTGTTATTTAATATCCTTCGCTAATTCCTTTATAGAAAATGAGCAGTCAATCTCATATGGTAGAGAGATCTATTGTTGTTTGTTGAATAATCGAAGCATCATTATGAGTGGTCTATAAACTTCAATTTAAATTTATTCTATTTCTATTAATTCATGCAATTCTTGCCAATTGATAAAATTCATTATCATATCAACACAATTTCGCAATTTCTATTTAAGGGTTACTGCTGCAATCTTAAAATTACTTAAAAATGCACTATTATATGCCAACTCTCCTGCTATCTCTAAATCGATGATTTATTTCTTTGCTGGAATATGCCAGTATTTTTCAACTCTATTTATTAATATGAATATGATTACATTGTTTTAAAATATCTGCAAACTATTCTCAACTTGAATACATCTATAATACTTAGAAAGGGGAGTATATTGGTTTAAAATAAATAGGGTGGAATAATATTCAATGTAGAATTCCCATTCAAAAAAGGAGTTTATTCTATATAATTAGATCTAACCTCTATAATCATGTTCTTAGGGAGCTAAAAGTACACACTTTACGCTTCAACATCAAATTTTATACATTGATTAAAGTACAAATAAGGAAATGCCAATATTTTGTAAATCTCAAAGCACATATTCTATTGCATTGATGAAATAAAATTTGGAGGATCATCGCTTTGGGATGCCTCCTTTTTCATTAGATTCAAATGGTTTTAAAAGACCTCAAAAGCCTCCACTTTGTAATTCTAGAAAATACTACACTCTTTTAGAGATTCTGGTTTGCCATTTTTCTAATTCAACTACTCTTATTCTTTAGGAGTCAATTCCTTTTTAAGTCCATCAAAGTAGACTTCCTTGGTTATGTCTTTTGTTAGGTACAAGCTTCTATTTGGGCTTTTGAGAATTTTCATTATTTAATAATATTGTGGCATCTTAACTTTTTCATTCCAATCATTTATAAGGTTTTGGTTTTCAGACAATTTAGATTCCCAATCCTACCTTCTTTTTTGATATTAATCCTTAATCATTTAATGTAATTGTTCAAAATTGGATATATCATCATATTCTTTTATAGAAAGTGATTAGAATTTATTGCAAATTTTTTCTAAAAATTATCTATAAATAAATCTATCATTTGGAGTGCCATTTATCTCTTGAATGACTATGTCCAATTAAGCTCTTTATTAACTTAATTACTCTTTATTAGTGATATATCGCGAAAGGTAAATTTCAAGTTAATCTTAGTTGGGCTATATATCCTGATTGTTGTTTTATAACTCTTATCCTTCTTAATTATTGTTTTATTATTGTTATTGATTAGGTTCTTATTAATCTTCCCCATTGTTCTATTAAAACATATAATAAAATTAATTAAAATATATTATCTTTCATTTTGCCATATTTCTCATTAACACAAAATAGTTTGACTGTCAAAAAAAAAGGTAATCTTAGAATAAAGATTTCATCATCTCTATATTTTTATATTGTAATTTAGTAAATTAAATCATAAGAAGATGACCTAGATTTTGCATAACTCTTGATAGATTCTTAATTATTTTTGTAATATTCAATAAATCTAATCTCTTTTAATTCATATTTTCAAGTTCTAATTTATAATATTATTTTAGCATAATAAAATTAAATAACAAAATCAATTTATTCTAATCACATTTACGCAATCATCACTCGAACATGTTGCAATATACTTTGAATTCATTACTAATCCTTCGATTCCGCCCATGTGTGTCTTTTGAACAAAAACAAAATCTCCCTTCTCCTAATCATATAAGAAAAAGTATCCATTTTAGCATCCAATTGCAATAAGATTTTGATATACACTCATGTATGTTAATGTAAACCATTCGTTAATAAAAAAGGTATTGATAACTTTAATCAGACTATATGATTCATCATACAACCTGATTGTTCTATCATCACTACAAGAGTACAATATTAATTAATTCTAGGAGCGTTTCCAATCTAAACATGTAACTGCCAATTTATGTCCTGTCAATTCAACAATATGTTTTTAATTATAATCAAAGACCTTCACATTCTAATCTTCAGAACCTGTTGCGAAAATATCTTACTCGGGATTGAATATACATGTCCAAATATCTGCATGTATGTTGAGGGATCCAAACAATTCAGATTTCTCTTTTGGAGGATGTGCTAAAAATGTGAATAACTGTTTCTCATTCTTATACAATCTCACTAATCCATGAGTAGTTGAAATTAACAAATCATCGTTCTTAACTCTAATGCAAGTAATAGAACCTTCGATTTAATCGAATTATTAGCATTCCTCATTTTCATACTTATACAATTGACCTTCCATTGTTCCAATGTAGATGATATTATCCCTACAAGCAATTGAACGAATAGATGATCCAATAAAATATTCACCCCTTGTTTTTCCTGTATCCAAAGAATTAATTGTAATATTTCCCAAGAAATCCCCACTTACAACATAATCATTTTAATAGATATCAATGCCACATTTTGTCAATCCTCCAAATTCTTTATGTAATACATGAACTCCCTTATAAATTGTTACATTTTCTTCGGATGCAGTTACTAACACTTCTCCCTTTTTATAAATACCCTATACGAGTGTATTTAATCCTTGCTTGTATGATTACACAACCTTTTCCTAAGTCTATAAATTAAGTATAGTGAGTTATTTATTCTAATTCTAAAAAACTAATTCTGAATCATTTTAAAAGCACGCTGCTTAAATAACTCCATTTCCTTCTATTCTATGAATAACAATTTGATGTTTTTCAATGTCATATACTAGTACTCTTCTATCATAATAAAAATAAGCGATATATTTAGGACTTTAAGCAATCACTAAAATATCTCCTGGTTCTGTTTCAAAGGGCAACACCTTTTCTAATCCGTTTTGACTGTGCACTTCAAGAGAAAATAAAAACTGTTTGTTGTTCTTGTATTTTTTTAAATCCTTATAATTTAAGCTATCCTTCTCGTTTTTACTTAATTTTCCGTATCTTTTAGATTTCAACGTATAAAAGGTTTAATTCTAGACACAACCATAGAAATAACAGCCATCAAAGCATTGTAACTGTTCAAGTGTAGTGGCATTTAAGACTTATATAATTCCCTTATTTTTTGAATGTTCAGCGCTAATCAATAACACATTCCCTTCAATAGAGGACCATCTACATTATGAACCTATTCTGCTAGAGATTATATAGGATTATAAAATACTGATTGATGTATTTGATCTTTTAATATGTCTTGATATCCAATTAGCAAATATCTCCATCATGTCCAATGGCATATATGAAATCATCATTATGGATCAAGCTATAGATTGTACTTTGATTAGTTTGGAATTCAGTAATTTTGTTAAAGGTTCTATGAATTACACAATGAATTTACATATCATCATATATTGCAATTGATGTGGCAACGGGTAGAATGATGTTGTTGTTCAGATAAAGAATGGATTTGAATCTGCAAGTGGCTGTGCCAATGGAGAGGATATTCAAAGGTAAACTTTGGTGATTATAGATGTATTCTGGTTTTTGCATTCTAATAGTATTATTTGATATTTAAAAGCTGAATATATTAACACTTTTATATAAAGACACAATCAGAATTAATCAAAATTCCTTTTCTAATTACAAACTCATTGCAAACTTATCAATTTGGCAAACTGTGAAGCCAAGCGATTGTCATCCAAAAATATCTGAATAAAATTTTTGGCATTGAACCCATCTTAATATAAATTTTATATATCCTTGCATCCTCTTTCTGATATCACAACCACATTAATGTTCATGTTGTATGATGGATTGACCAAATTGTTGAAGCTGAGATGTAAGAGGAACTGCTGAATTTAAGAATAGAGGCTATCCTCGTTATTCGCTATAAGATTGGACTTATTTTCCTTATGTGAAATGTCCCAACTCTAATCAATGTAAGCGAGTAGGTGTTATAATTGGAGGAAGTCTAAGTTTAAGGAATCATACAATGGGAATTCCAATGTTTGCATTAAAACAACTGTTACATTAGTTTCAGTGGATGCTGGCATCTTCTGAACTCTAAAATGATAAGTTAATTTTGCATACATGTAGGTTGATAAACGATGAGCAAAGAAAAGCATTTCACCCAATCCAACAACATTAATTGATTTAGTTTCTTCTGAAAAATATGGGTTAATGAATTCATGCACTCTTTCTATAAATCTAAATTCCTCATCAATCGAGTCTGACAATTCCTAGACCTATAAAACTTCAGTATATGGAGTTGAAAACACGAATAGTGTGGCATTCAACTATTAAGCCATTTCTGGCAACTTTAAGTGATCATAAAAAAAGTTAAATGATTACCCAAGTGGAGGGAATATAATGTACAGATGTTGATAGAGATGAGTGTGAATTTCAACTTGGAATAACTGATTTACTCTTAATTCTGTGCCCAAATCCACCACTGAATAGTTAAATAAACTCACTAAGTCCTATGTAGTATTTATGCAAATATTGTCTACTGAAATACAATCTTCAACACAATAATTTGATTTCAATTTATAAGGATGAACACATTGAACACATCTTTAAGTGTACTCATGATAACAATATTCACAATTTTGCGAACATTCCAAACAACTAAATTTAGTAGTGTCGAAAGATGTATTAAGGGGACATAAAAGCTCAGAACGATCATTGGGATTGTGGAATGGCAGGATAACTTCTTGCTTTTGTTCGTCTCTTGATTTCTAGGACAGCCAGCCCATAAAAATCAAGGAAGAAATGGCTGTGAGGAGAGCAAAAACGCCTAGATTTAGCAGAACCTTCTTGTTCTGTTCTTTGTGTTGTTGTCTGTCCTCGATATAACTAAATATTGGTCTACTCTCTGGTTTGGCATTGAAGTATTCCTCCTCCTCTTCTTCTGACATAGTTTATTAATAAATTTTGTTTTAATAAGTGTGTGAATTAGTTAAGTAATTATAATTAAAAAATGTCAATATAAAGAGAATGGCAGAAATTTGTGAGACCACCTCGATATAATTATAGTTACTTTGATCTAGGTTGCTTATTTCTTATTAACAGGGTTAGGTCCTGAATACATTTAACTCCATCAAGGTTATCTACGGAAACACGAAAGGGTTATTACTAATCGTTAAAATTGCAAATTAGAAATGTCATACTTTGAATTGAATCCACGAACTACCAATTGTATCGTTTATTGTCATGGCTACAATGGATGTAGAATAGAAGGCATAAAGTACGCTTCAATTGTGGCTTAATTTGGCTTCAATTTTTGCACATTCGATTTCTAAGCATGTGGCCATTCAGAAGGAGATTTCATTACTTTTGGGTATGATAGCTGTGTAAATCAATAGACACCTTGAGAAGGAGGATATAACATCGATATTGCAGGAATTAGAGATCCAATTCCAATAGAAACAGTTTATTTTGTGGGGCAGATCTTTGGGTGCCACTACCATTTAATTAAAGGAATAGCCAAATGTCAAGGGATTGGTATTGGATAGTTGTTTCACAAATTTCAATAAGTTAGCGATTAGCATAATTCAGAAGTAGACTAGGTTGCCGAAATTCATAATTAAGGCAATCATCTTCTTAACCAAAGGAACTATTGAAGAAGAAGCAGGATTTCAATTGAATGATATACAAGTTTAATGTAATTCCGACATGCCCACACTCTACATTTGTAGTGACAAGGATTCGCTTATTAAGGCAAAAAATAGTTTAAAATTGTACAAGCAGCATAAAGGAATAAAGAAGTTAATCAAAGTGGATGGAGAACACAATGATTCGAGGCCTCTTGAAATCATTCAACAAATCTGTTCATGGTGCAAGGACAGAGTGCAAATGCAATAAAACAATTATGTTCAATACAATTCAGTTCCTCAAGTGGCTAGATTGCCATTGGAATTGATCTATGATTCTAACATTTAGAGTGGGATGCAATCTTCTTATAATAGGATTCCTAAGAATCCTGCCATAAAATTAAAAAACCAAATAAGTATCTAGTTAAGAACAAGCTGTAGAAATTTACACAGTGCAGTATAATACTGAATTTATATATATATATAATAAGACTTATATATATGGTATAAGGAAATTCAATATTAAAAATGTAATTTATAAATGAGGGAGTTGAATGGTTTGAAATCCATTCGACAATCTGGGCTAATGACGTAGCATGTATAATAAATGCTTAAAATAAGTGTTGAAAGACAATTATATTATGGGCTTTTAGGGAAAGCATAGACGTATAGCATTAGGCAGTTCAATTGGGTTGTTGATGCTCACTCAATTAGCTTAACGAAATCCTATTGGGGCTTTACGTGTTGGTGCTTTTGCATTTCCTGTGCTCAGCTATGTGATGTGTCCTGAGATATACAATTCCTTATTATGATATACGTGTATAATAATTAAAATGTTCGTAAAATTTGAGAGACATTCAGATCGAGTCAAGAGTGTTTCTTTTCATCCGCATCGTCCTTGGGTATTAAGTGCACTTCACTCAGGAGTCATTGAATTGATCGATTATAGAATCAAGAAAAGAATTGCAATTTACGAGGATCATAAGGGTGCTGTTCGATCAGTTTAGTTTCATCCGCAACTCAACTTATTTTGTTCTGGAGGAGATGACTTCACTGTAAGAGTCTGGAATTTTAAACAATGCAAATTCATTTTATAGGGACACTTGGATTATGTTAGATGTGTGACATTCCATCCAATAAATCCATGGGTATTGTCTGGTTCTGATGATCAAACTGCAAGAGTGTGGAATTACCAAAGTAGACAAACTATAGCAATTTTGACAGGCCACACTCATTATATCATGGCTTGTCATTTTCATCCGACTTAAGACTTGATAATCACTTGTTCATTAGATTAGACTGCCAGATTATGGAATTATGGAGTGCTCAAATAACGATACGCCTAAAAGAAGAATTAAGAGTATGTGCTATCAGGAGCAGAAGTACAGGTTATTTCAATTTTGGATGCTCACAAGGATCAACTCAATTGGTGTGCCTTTCACAAAACAGAACCTTTTATCATTACTAGTGCTGATGACAAGAACATCAAATTGTGGAAGTACAACGACAATAAGGCATGGGAATACGATACTCTGACAGGTCATACCAACAATGTTTGTTGTTCAGAATTTCACCCAAAAGGGGAAGTTATTATTTCAGATTCTGAAGACCATACTGTAAGAATTTGGGATTATGCTACTCGTAAACAAATTGGAGTTTATGAGAACAAACACTTTGATCGTTATTGGATTGTATCATGTCATCAAAACAACTATTACTTCGCATGTGGTTCTGACACTATGTTATAAGTGTTCACCCTTCATAAAGATCGAGTGCCCTTTATCTTAGTTAATGAGAGATATCTCTGTATGGCTGAATAAAAGACTCTCAAGGTTGTTGAATTGACTAGCGGGCAACAACAAACCATTAGAGATATAGCCACTGTGATTACTCCCACTCCTACTTTAATAGAGGACAACATCGAATTTATAGAGTACAATACCTACGACACACAGAAAACATAATTGATGATTAGATGCATTAGATCATTCACTGAACCAACTAAACCAAAGAGACACTTGCTATTGGTATTCCAACTATAGAAGGGAGATTCTGGAGTCAAACAATTCTTTGCCAAATGCGCCTGTTTTATTGGTAAAAGCAAGATTGCAAGAGTTAATTAGGATCATTAAATAGAATTGTACAATTATGAAACAGAAGCCATTTAAATAATAGATGAAAAACAATCATCTAAAATATTTCCTGCTCCGGGAGGTAAAATATTAATTCAAAGAAGTGAAACAACAACATTGGAGTTATTTGATCCCCTAACCAAATCAAGCTTACATTCGGTCGAGTTCTCTGGTGCCAAATATATACTTTATGTGGAGTCCTATTTAATTGTTCAAAGCAAATTGTCATTAACAATCTTCACTAAACAATTGTAGAAATTGATCGAAATCCAAGAATAAATTAATATCAAGTCTTTTATTTGGATCAACAACTTTATCGTTTATTCTACAAAGAGTCAAATTAAATATTTGTTATTGAATGGAGACACTGGTGTTTTAAAGTCCACTGAAAACATTTTATACTTAATAAAAGGTGAAGAATAACAATAAAGTAAACTTAAGTTAACAACACTGGATAACACAGCCAAATATCTTACAGAAATACTAGACATCTCAGAACCTCTATTCAAGATTGCCATTATGAACAAGGACTTGAATTCAATCCATAAATTTGTGGAACACAATCAAAATGAAGCCATCCTGTCATATCTGTATTAAAAAAGACTTGCGTCCGTAGCATTAAAATTAGTTAAAGATAAATAAGGTAATTGATGTTTCCATATATTTTAGCTAAATTTTCACTTTCTCTTGATAGTGGCAATTTGGAGTTTGCATATAAAGCTGCAGTGGAAATCAGAGAGCCATAATTGTTTGAACAATTAAGAACTGAAGCCTTAAGGTAGGGTAATCATTTGCTGGTGGATATTTGCGATCAACAACTCAGTTAATTTGATAGATTGTCATTTTTATATCTATGCACTGGCAACACAGATAAGTAAGACAAATTGCAGAATATTAATCCTAATTTTATATATCAATCCCAAAACCAAAGGAAAATTGTCATTAAGAACTCAATACCCAAATTAGCGCAAATTATGGAGCATCTCAATGGAACACCATAGAAACTGGATGAAAATTAAAAGGAATCCATAGAATGGATCAAATCATTAGGTGGTAGCGAGGCTCTGATTCCCCCAGTTCCCATAATGAAATACAAAAATGATCCATGGCCACTTACATAAATGAATGAGTAAGACATTATCAATCTTGAAGTTACTGATGAAGCTGTTGTACCATAGGACATCTTTACATTCTAAAAGTAAGTGATAGAAGAACCAAATCTTGATGAGTAAGAAAATGATACTAAATGGCGTTTAGATGAAGAAGAACCAATTGAGGAGTTTGTTGATGCTAAAGTTGGTGATCCAATCAATAAGAGCATTGATGAATAGGCCTTAAGAGGAAACTTTGCTTTTCAGAATGGAGAAGTAGCCATTAAACATTTTGCTGCTGGGGATTTTGAAACTGGTATCAAGTTACTAAAACAATAAATTAACCTCAATAATTGTCAACCACTATTCAAATTACTTGCTGATCTACCAAATCTTTAGGTTCTAACTATGACTCCATATCTGAGCAATGCTATTTTGCCAGTTAAAATCAACAGATTGAATGAGATCAAGAATTTGATTAAATTAGGTAACTTTATTTTCTAATCATAGGTTACAAATACACAACAGATGCAAAATTTAATGAAGTTAGCAATTGCTTTTAATAAGTCTTACAGAAATTGCTATTAACAGACTTTGAAGAGAATTAAGTTGATGAAATCAAGCGATATATTAATATAAGTAGAAATTATATGATTGCTATGCGTTGCGATTCACTTAAAAAGGACAGTAATGCTTTAGAAATGGCATGCAAAATGGCCACCATCGATTTATAACCTGGCCATCGAATATTAACTTTGAGACAGGCACTTAGTATAAGTTATAAACAGAAGAACTTTATCACTTGTCAAATGATTGCAAAAAAGTTGATTGAGTTACTTAAAAATGATGTTAATTAGAAGCCTGAAGTGTTACAAAATGCATAAAAAGTATGATAATAGAAATACAATATTTAGTATGAGAAAGCCTCTTAATAATAGAATACAAATGCAATTCAAATAGAATTCTAGGAATAATGGCTGAATGAACAGCCAATCTACTCAGCAAACACAATTAAAAATATTTCCGCCTATAAGTCTTGTCCATATGACGGTAGTGTCTATGAAACAGATTACTAACAGACTTGTTTAATTTGTGGATTGTGTAAAGTAGGCAAAGCACCTGGACTTAAATATAAATGAAAATTTATATATAATATTTGCGGATAATTATAATTATTAACATAAATTGGGAACAGACTTTGAAGCCACCTTAATTCCAGTTTGTGTTTAAAAATGATATTGGAATCCGAGAACTTCAGAGATTGATGAGATTGCTAATTAGAAATTCGTTTCAATTAATCCAAAATTAGAATTAAGCACAAGACAAGTGTATAAGATGATTTGGCTAGAATTGAGGTATGATTAGATGCTTTAAAAAATTTGAAATCACTTAGTATAAAGTAACTTTAACAATCCTAAATAAACCAAGCTTTGGATAGGATTGATGCTTGTTTAAAATGAGAGTTAATATACAAATTAATTTTTTTAATAATTCATGCTCAATAATATCAATTTGTCATTAAGTCAAATAGAGGAGCTTACAAAGGATGAGACTCAGAAGGATTAATAGACAAAGGTGAAAGTGGAAAGGAAAATAGAAAGACGATTGGGATCTACAAACAAAGATGAATCTGCTAATGTTTAGATGAAAATTGAGAAGAGGATTGGCTCAGCAAAACCAAAAGATTCTCTTCAGCAATACACTAATACGAAAATCAAGAACATTTACTAATTTTTAGAAAATGTTGAATCTGACTCTTCCCAAGTAAGCTAATAAATTCAATAACAACCAGTGAGAAGCATAGAGGCTATTGAGAAGGAACATGAATACCAATCAAAGATTCAGTAGTTGCAAGGGATTGTCTAAACATAAAAAATTGAATTGGATGAATAACAGAAAACTATTGACAATTTAAAATAGCTACTCGAAAAATCGCAAGTCAAATTGAAAGAGTCTGAGTAGAGTTTTAAAGAAACAATAAATCGCAGATTGAATGAACAGAAGGCTGAATTAGAAGTGGTCATCAATAGACATCTTGGATTCATAGATCAATTAATAAATGACAAAAAAGAACTTAATAATCAGGTGGAATAGTTGACTAGTGAGTTGAAGGGAATTGATAAATAATAGAAGAGATAATTGGAGGAATTGAAGAATAACTTTGCAAGAGAAATTAAATAAAAATCTGAGTAATGGTAAGTACAAGAAAAGTAGAAGAGAGAGAAATGGGAGAAGGAGAAGTTGGCTGAGTTGAAAGAATAAACTATTAAAGGTTTAGAACCTGAATTGAATAGAATGATAGAAAAGAATAAATTAGAAATCAAGAGATTAGAAGAAAAATGTCAGAAAGAGAAAGAGCTATAAAAAATATAGGTGATTGAAGAGTCTGAAATGAAAATGTAGATATTCAAAGAGAAGTGGGCTGCAGAATATGAGTTATTGCAATAAAAGGAGAGAGAAGCTTAATTAATTAAGCAAAAGGAATTGTATAGGACATATGAGGACTAGTTTGCTAAGGAGAGGGATGCATATAAGTAACGAATGTAATAGGATATTGAGGATTGCGAAAGAAGAAGGAAGGAAGAAGCAGACACCTATGTTAAAAGGATGAAGTAGTTATCAGATTCTTAGGCAGAAGAGATCAGACGCATAAAGAGTGATTGCCAAAGAGAAATTGATGAATACAAAGAAAAGTACTTTAACATGGAAAGTGAAGTGAAGGAAGCATTAAGAGGAGATTAAGAGGCTTGGAAATAGCAATTTACAATAAGAGCAGAAGCCGATATGAATAGATAGATTGAGAAGATTCAAAAGAAGTTGGAGTAGGATAGAAATGATAAAATTGAGAAGATAGTGTAGAAATTGGCAGAAGAGAAATAGCAGTATGAGTAGAATATTCAGATGAAATATGATAAAAAATTAAGGGACTCATAGGCAGGGAAGGATGAGGAGATTAAGTAATTGAAGAAGTAAATTAAGGCTTTGGAAGATAGAGAAAACAAAGAAGGTAGTGAATATTAGGCAGTTTAAAAGACCAATTAGGATTTGTAAAGGTTGATTGAGAAATAGGAGCAAGAGAATCAGAAACAATTTAAAGAGTAAAAAAAATTGAAGGAGGAAATGCTTATGTAATAAATTATTAATAATTTTAGATACAAGGAGAAATTAACTTAATTTAAGGAGGAATAATCGTTGGAGATTAAGGGAATAAAGGAGTCCCATGAAAGAGAAAGGAATAGACTTGCAGAACAGAACAATAAGTTATAATTGGAGTTGGCTAATTAGAAATAATTATTGGAGGAGACATGTAATTGTATGTGAATTCATGTAGTGAGAGAATTGGATATCAAACATTCATAAAATTTGGAAGAAATAGAAGAAAACGTAAAGAGAATCATATTGAAGAAGGATCATGAGATCAAGTAGTTAAAAGAAGAATTGAGAATGAAGTAGTTGGCATGTGAAAAGTACGATGAATTATTGAAGAAATAAAGATAGGATTTACTAAGACAAGTAGAATAATGAGATAAATATTATATGACTTATGTGACTATATAAAATAATTAAAATTATTAATTGTATGCTTACAAAATATTAAAATGAACAATCCATCTATCATGTAATTTACTTAAAAGGAATCTGAATTTTGTTGGTTGGTGGGTTTGAAAGCAATCAGTACTAAGTAACCAATGATCACCATGTGGATGAAGAGTGAACAAAGAAAAGTTGATCCATCACTCTTAAAAAATGAGTTCATGAAGCAATTCTAATCAGGGTTCCTTCATCTGAACAGTATAATAACTGGAGATCGAAATAAGAATTCCTAATTGATCAAAGGAATTTCTGATATTACTGTTATAGCTATAGTAAGAGTGATAAGAGAGGAAGGAATTAAAGAATTCGAACAAATTAGAAATGACTTTTAAAAATTGATAACAATAATAACATATCTAAGTTTAACGAGATCAGTGATGAGTGATGCAGTAATGAAGTTCTTGAGCAATTAATAAAGTGAGAGTCACCAATACCTTGACAATTTGTTATCAACACTTGCAAAAATAGAATAAATGAAGAATGCCATGAACTCTAATAAGCACGACCCAATTAAAGATGCTCAATTATACAAGTTGTTATTTGGAAAAGGCAACTTTTATGATCCATTTACAGCAAATCACCAAACCACTACTACAGTCTAATAGGCTCCTTAGAATCAATAGGCCAACCAACAAGGTCATCAAGAAAAATAGACAGCGCAAGTATCCCCTATGAAATAAGCACTAACACCGACTTCCGAATTAAAGCAACATCAACAATAGATGAATCAGTAAACCATTCTTCAACATTAACAGATAATTAAATAAACTAAACCATTAGTGCAAGTAGAAGATTTTAGTGAAGATTCAGGGGATTCCTCAGTAGATTTGGGGAATAAATATATAGTAAATGCCAAAGCGCAGAAGTAAATAAATGGATCTGATAGTGATTCTGAAATTTAAGAGATTCCTAATTTTAAGATTTGATATTAATACATAGTAACCAAATATTATTAACTTTGGAAATCCATAATATATAATTTATTTATAACAAAAGATTAGCCTAACCTATTATATTCATTTAGCCAACTACCTTAATAAAGAGGCCAAATATATTAAGGGATTGAAATCCATTGCTTCTCTTTATAATCTTAATTACAGTTTTAATTTCTCTAATTCATGTTTTTCAGGAGCTTCTTCTTCTCCCTAATCTTCTTAAATTTATCCAAGCAAATGATTAATTTCTTATTTCATCTCCTACATTTATATTTCGTCGATTAAGTGTTATGATTGCTATTAAAATTCATTTTCGATAGGGATAAGTTATTCTATTTTCTTTCCATACTAGTCATCATTGATTGATTTGTTTTCTTGATTCTCAACTTAACCTTCAGAATCACTTCCAAAATCTGATCCCAACTCTCTTTTTAATCGATTTCTCTCTACCCGTCTTTTTTCTATTTTATCACAAATCTTTATTTATTCCAATCTCTCTTTGTGTTTATTTACTTCCTCTGTCTTTTCTACATATTCTACTAATTTAGCCAATGCAGTATGAAGAGTGGGAAATATGTCGTTTTACAAGTATTCTATTTCTTCGATGGACCCTATTCTATTATTTTCTAAGTACATTAAATTAAAATTTAGTAAAAAAGAAAGAAGAGGATGATTTTGATTCAAATAATGAAAAATTAGGTTTAATTTTAAATATTCAACTATCAGGGAACTCAACTCTGTCTAAATGTTGAGTTTAAGACAACTTGTATCCCCGCATTTATCAAAGCATTTTAACTCTTACAATAAGGGCAAGTGAATAATTTGGATGATTAAAATCATTGAATCCATACTGAAACTAAGTCTAATTAATGAATTTCCAAAGACTGAGTTCTATTGAAATCTTATATCTGTAGTGGGTAGAACTAAAATAATTGATTGATCTTAATTTATCTTACAATTTAATATCTTTATTTATGAAAAACTATTAATTTTTGTATTAGACCTATAGTATAGCTGATTTAATTCAGCTTTAGTAGGCTAAAGAATAAAATTAATATAGTTTAATAGCAAATAAGTGGTCAAGAAACTTTTATTTTAGGATTTTTATATTAACGCTATTTTTATTTTTTGATTCTTTGATCAACTGAAGGATTATTTAATCTGTAGGTTCAATAAATAAGATTTCTAATTTAATAAACTAAGTATATCAATGTAGCACTGTATCACTTAATAATTTATGATTACAATAGAAAATAAATGAATTTGAGGAAGATCAATTACTTAAGAAGATGAATTAATCATAGAATTACAAATAAAATTAGATGAATGACTTTTAAGTGAATTATTAATTACAATCATGATTTCAATGATATTTAAGGATAATTCCTTGTTGAAAGAAATTTTGATTGAAAGTTGAGAATAAAATATAGTTTTGAGAATGAATATAATAATTAAATTAATTGAAAAATTAGGAGGGAATTACCTAAGAAGACGATATTAAAGTAAAGAGAAGGTATTGTAATTACATATATGATACAAGAAGAGTACGCTGATCAGAATATGTAATAAAAGATAGAAAAATGATTGCTTTATTTGAAAACAGTAGATAGAGTTATTGGATGAAAAGTTAGAAATAGAAGAAAACAAGAATAACTTTAAGAAATAGATAGGATGAAGTATTATTTAAATGGATGAGAGAACTTTTAGTTTAATTGAATGAAATTTCAATAAAATAGAAAGACATGCAGATAGCTGAAATCAGATATCAATTGCTATAAATCATGGAGGAATTGAAATAATGATTAAGGATAATATTCATTATAGCATAAATTAAGAGAGAATTTATAAAATTTGCACAATTTATTTTAGCAAATGATAGTCGTTTTTAATTTTGATTAAATAAAATAATGAAAAGTGCATTAATTGCTTGTCTTATCTTGAGCGTATTTAGTGTTGAGATTTCTCTCAATAACGTAGCCACCACATAAGCACTTGAGAAATTAAAGGAGTCTTAATGGGCATCATTCATCGTTGACTTTGCTGAAGTTGAATTGTCCAGTGGAGGAGCTCTGACAGAATTAGTAGAGGCTATTAATCAATTGATTGATTAATTAGAAGAAGAGTTGGATGATATTAATCATGCCTATTCTAAAAGAACAGACGAGCACAATCGTGATGTGACTAGATTAGAATAAGAGATCTAAGATGCTGACAGAGGTATTCGAATAGTATCTAACTTTTAATAGACATCTTTAACGGAGAAGATTTCATTGACAACGTTCTTATTCCTTAAAAAGAGAGATTTTAGTCTGCCTTAGCATAATTGAAGAACAATATTGAAGAAAACAGAAGAGTTCTTGATGGTGAAACTGTCAATAGAAAGAAGTAGCATGAGCAATTTTTATCCAACATTGCTGAAATCAATGAAGCCATTGGTGCTGTCGATGAATCCCTTGGATTATTGTCATAAATTACAAATCCATCCCTTGTTCAATTCAAGAGAGTTTAAACAAATCTTAATAGAATCTAAACATCATTCTAAAATCATTCCTCATTTGCTCCAATCATTAGAGCACTTCTTGAATTAGCAACAGAGTAAAACTTCGCTGATTAAGGATCCCTTCAATAAGTAACACTATTAAATCTATTGTAGCTTGTTAAAATCTTCAACGAATTGAGAGTCCAATTTGTTGATTCTCTTAATCAAGAGACAGCTGATGAAAATGCTGCTGAAACTAAATTTGCTGAGAGAGTTGCCTAATTAGAAAAGGAATTCGCTGAATTCTAAAGAGCAGTTTTAATCAAGAACTCTGAATTAGCTGCTAATGAATGTATCTAAATTAATATTATACATAGAAAAATTAGGAGAAACCATCGTCTATGTAGGATAAAGAAAGGATGATAGAGCCACTATGTAAGCCTAATTACAAGCAGAAAACGATAACTATGCTGCTGAAACTGATTTGTATAATAGAACTGTGTCTGAATACAACAAAGAAATTGAAATAAGTAAGTAGGCATTAGGTTTACTCACTTAACCCAGTTTCGAATAATATGTTAAATCAAAAGTAGGAATTTGATTAATAATTACATCACATCCACAAATTCAATTTCTTTATCTTAGTTTGTTTTTATCCACTATTATGCTATTCTTGACTTGAATTTATATAGAAATTAGCCTTCTCCTTTTAAAACGAGTACTTACTCATGAATATCTCGAAGTTCTTTTATTGAAACAAGAATAGTTGATTTTTACACTTATATATAATAATTTTTATATTGGACTTGTAACTTAATGCAATCAGATCCTTACAATTGGCCTTTTCCAAATCGAAATGATCTAATGAATTTATCCACTATAAGTATAAATCAATGAATAAGTGAGAAAATTAAAAAAGAGAGTTTATTTATGATAATCGAGCACAATCTACTATGTCTATTGAAGGTATTGATGGCGCTGCTCCCAAATTAAAGCCTTATCAATATATCAATAAAGAGTAATTTTGTAATAGAGATGATGATATTCCTGGAACCAAATCTAGACCTTAAATAAGATATACCAACAGGTCAGATAACCAATTGATGATTGATGATATTAAGGGGACTCGCCCACAAATCTGTAAATTTTAGACCAATCGATAACCAATTAATCCACTCGAACCAACTTATAAAATTCCTTCCTTTGAATAGGCAGAACCTTATCAAACCAAATTTATCAGAGACAGCTATAATGTCAATGACATTGAAGGAGCTTAACCATCAATGAATAATCCAAGACTAAAAAAGCAACCCATTCCTTTGCCCGAGATCGAAGGTTCACATTCAAAATAATTACATGTTTAAAAAGGTAAAACCGTATATCCTAAACCATATCAGTAGATGGAATTAGTAATCTCCAAGTCAAGGATATCAATAATGATATGCTCCATAAATACATCAGAAATACAAACCCTATTGAACCAGTCTATTCTCACAGAGATGAAGATGGGTATTAAGAATTCTTAATTTAGCAAGAAAATTGAAATCGGTTTTGTTGAGGGCAGTAAAAGTAAATAGTTGCATCCAATAACCATCAATAAATTTGCATCTTCCATTTTGACTACCTAAGACATTATTGGTGCACAAGCAGGTTCTCATTCTTAACATTTCTTGAGAACCAATGATAGAAAGGATTATCGACAGATTAATAATGTCTAAGACATTGAAGGAGTACAAGCTGGATCACTCAAAAAAGGAATTGTAAGTAAAAGATATACAAATCCCTTGATGCCAGCCTATCAAATGCCAGGAAATGCTGAATTATAGTAAGATCATATTATAACTTAAGCTCCACCTAACAAAAAAGCGTGTTCTCGAAGAATGCCAGTAATTAAATGTTTACCAATGCTTAAAAAATGGATCAATTTTTAGCTCAAGGTTGATAAAAAGTTGTATGCTTTTATTACAAAATATATTGTTAATTAGAATCAGTTTAGTTATAGAAATTGTTATATAGTAAATATATCTTTATAATTCAAATGTTTTCTTTGAACAGCTTGCCAATAGATGTTTAACTGCCTTTGATGTCAATATTCTCTTTATAAAGTGATGACTTTCTTACTTCAAAACAAGTTGATTCCTATAATCTATTTTAATGAAATATACCTTAATATTCTTTAACTCCAATCCTCTCCTTTTGAATGCATCGAACTCAGCTTATACCATCATCAAGTCCTCTTACACTCTATGATAATCCCTATTTAAAATAACGAACTTCTCTTTCCACATTTCTACTTCATTTTAAAGATAATTAATTTTCTCTTCAAGATTTACTTATTACTTCTAATTAATTTACTCTACCAGTTATAATTGTCTGTCTAATTCCACTAATTGCACTTGTTTAACCTTAATATCCTCTAATAAGGTATCTAGCTTGTATTTCAGTGTATTTTCTGTTTCATTCTTTATTTCTAATTCCTTTTATAGATTTTTCTATTGCTAAGTATTTTGTTCATTTAAATATCTCAATTATGATTCTACTTCTTGTAAATGTTATACCTAAGCCTAGTAAAATGATATTTTCTTTTGTAATTCTTCACTTAAGTCTACTTACTATTTTAGGTCTGATTTAAGTGTTCCACATTAATTATTTAACACTTTAATTTAGACCTGCAATTCGCAAATTTACTGGTCCTGTTCCTTAGTTATTAATAATGTATTTTCATTTGCCAAAGTTGATTTTTGATTTAATTGTTCAATTTCGTCATCTTATTGTTAGAGTTTCTCCTTTAAGATTTTATTTTCATTTTAAAGTCTTTACACTTCTAAGCATTGGAGTAATAGTTATTCTTAAGTATCTTACTTTTCCTATACAATCTTATCTTCATTCTACTTGAGCACTAATAAACTCTCCTCTAGTTAATGGATATTAATTTATTTTTCATTTTCAAGTTAAACTAATTTATTTTCTAATGTTGATTTTTCTTCTATGACTTCTTTAACTTATTTTTGTAATGAATTCACTAATTCAGAAAACTTTTCTGTCTCTTCTTCATTTTAAGACTTTTAATCTTCAATTTATTGTTATTTTTTCTATATTTCATTCTCTAAAATGTTTTAAGATTTTTCTAATTCTTGAATTTAAGCAGTTAATTAGTTTAAGGATTCCAATAATTAATTTTTGTTTTCTATCTCTTTCTCCAAATCATTTTAAGCTGATTTTTCATTTGCTTTTCTTAAATTTAATTCTATTTTGAGTTCTTCATTAATAATTAAATACTTTTACAACTATTCATTATTATATAAAACTGTTTATGCAATTTATTATGTTACATCCCAATGAAGTAATTCTATTTTATCATTCATTTAAGCAGTAAGTTCATTCACTTGATCATTTAAAGAAATTATTAAATTATCTTTCTTCTCAACTTCTAATTTAGTTTAATATAATTCTGTTTATAAATCCAATATTTCTTAATTTCTTTATTAATGTTAATCTACTTAACTTTGCAATTATAACTCAAAATTCTTCGTTTGATCCTCAATGGAAGATAAGAGGTGAACATTTGCCTGATCATTTAAAGTTACTTATTCATTGAGATGATTATTCTATTCTTAAAGGTTTGCTAATTGCAATTGTAAATCTGCTATCACTTTATTTAAAATCTCTTTATCATTAGTTAATTCAACTAGCTTATCATTCTTTTCGTTATCAAGTTGTTGATCCTACTAAACTCTCTATTCCAAAAGATCAAGATTCTCTCTGTAATTAGAAATCAAAGAGTCCTTCTATTATAATAGTTGTTGATTTTGGGTATCCTTTTGCTAGATCTCTAATTTCAATTAGTGAATGATATTATTTTAAGTTACAAATTCTTGTTCATATTAGTTAATTTTCTCTAATAACATTGATATTTGTTAATTTCGTTCTTCAATTACATTTTCACCAACTTAAAGCTGCCTTTCATAATCTTGAATCCTATAGTCCTACTACTGTAATAGATCAACTTTATCTTGAATTATGAATTTGTATCTTTCCATTTCTTAGGATAGTGTCAAATAATCTTCTTCAATTTGTTGCTTTGAGTTCATATAGGAATTAAGGGTTTTGATTTTGTCCTCCTAATATTGGCATGTAGTCTTGTAATTTAGAATTTCAGAATTGAGGTAAGATACTTCTTGTTGATGATTCTTTTGGGTTTCTTCAAGCAATTTTCTCATGCTCTCAATTTCAATTGCTGTGCTCATCCATGTCTATTGTTCACCATCGTACTTATCTATTTAAAGTCCCAGTTCATGTATTCGTTAATTTAATTTATTATTATCCTAGGTTAATTGTTCTATGAGATTTTCCTTGTTTTATTTTAATTCAATTTACATGTCCCTAGCATTTCTTATCAGTGCAAAGAACAACTGTTCTTGTTTCAATAGCTGGCTTATTTGTTGAAGTAGTAACAACAGCCTTTGGTCTGGTTTGGCAGGTTGTGACTTTGGCCAGTCTACTACATGAATCTTAGCGTGATTCTCTGGAAGGCGAACTAACGACGCGAGTTGTAGCAATGGTTTAGGTTTGGAACATCTTGGGAGATTGAGGTCTCATTAGTTTTAATATTATTATTCGTTAAAATTATTAATAATTTTAATACAGTTAAATGAATCAAGCTCAAATAATTCATTAAGTGTAACAAGTATTTAATAAGCTATCCCAAAATCACTCACAACCTATGAGTAAGGAAACTGTAATTAGATTTTTGGATTAGCAATCAAATAAAATGTATGATCGAGTTTTATTTGAATAACTTTACTCAAGGATGCAGAAAACTGACAACGGATAAATTACAATCAATGATTTCATTTCAATTTTGATGGAAGCATTATAATCATTAAAAAATAAAATATCCATTTTGGAATAACAAGTTGCATAAAAATAACTAAAAGTAGATGATGATCAATTGCATCTGTAGCAATTGTAAAATGTTGAAGAATATAACTCACACAAAATATGCAAGGGAAGCAAAATCAGAATTACCATTTTCGACGCTGCAATTCAATTCCCAGGACATTCTAGAGTAGCAATCATTTTGGGTTGTGATGATAAGAAGTACTCCACCAAACCAGCAAATAGACAAGCACCTGCTTGGAATGAGAAATTTGAATTCAATATTAGCACAGGAGATGAGGAAATCTATATTGTGATATTGGATGAGGAGTTGATAGAAAAGCAAGAAATTGGCGGATAAGCAAAACTCAATTTGAAGGAATTTCACGATCAAAAGCCCCATGATATTTCATTATAGTTGAAAGATAAGTATGGCGTTGTTCTGTATTCCACCCTAAACTTGAGAGTTCAATGGATCCATTCGCAAGTACTACTTATGCTTAATTTTAGACCAAATATTTCAAAGAGTCAATCAAAGAAAATCAATAAGTTATTGATGACTTAGCCTAAGATATCAATGAATATAAAAGTGACATCCTCTAACTATTTTACCCTTTCGATGAGAAACATCAAAATTAACCAAACGAGAAATATCTTGTAACTGAACAATCCACTGTTTAACAAGTCCATGATTTTCAGTTTTATGATACTTCTCAAGCCTAACTCTGGGTTAAATTAGCATTGGCTTTTACATTGATCTACTTCGTATTAGTCCTAATTGCTAACCTATTTAAGACACAGTTTGTAGATGTAAAATACTATTTTAATAATAGTTAATAGTATTATTTTATAGTTTATTCTACTATATGAATAATAATAAGTTATAATCACTCTTACACTTTAAAATAATCTCACTTATGATTATTGTGACAATCATTTTTGATATTGTTTGGTTAGTTATTTACACTAATCCTTGGACAACCAACAGTGTTCTCTTTTTTTAATTGGAACACGGTCTCTAAATGTATGAAGTAATCATCTCATACATCTTACTTGCCATCAAAGTAACAAGCACTTCAATTATATTTAGGTGATTCTATTGTGTATTTATGCTAACTTATACCTTATGTGTCCAGACAAAAGAGTCAATATTTACGATGCTCAATATGAAATGATATTTGGACATAATTTACAAAAAAGTGAAGAAAGCTAAAATCAAGATGCGTATAGCTTCAGAAATACAAATCATTATCTGCATTAATCATTTTCTAAGAATATTTGAATATAAACTAAATTTATTTTAAAATAATAATTTTATATAAAATAGAATAAAATATAATAATTAAAGATTATTGTATATTTTACCTTAAGATTAGGCAGAACCTTTTAGTACCTCAATTTAATAAAATTTATTTCTCAATGGAACCAAAAAACAAAATTGTGCATTGATTTCTATGAATGTAATTATTTGGATTTGGATATATGCCAACTCTAATTATTGGTTAAATTTTGATAAGATTAAGGAATCGATTGCAGCACGACTGTACTTAAATTAGTATTAATATTTATAAAGTCACAAAAGGATATAATCTAAATTCTAGCTAATATTGCTCAACCTATACTCTTTATACCTTCAAATCATTCTCAGTTACTTCATTCTGATGGGTTAGAAATTCAAAATCCTGAAATATGACAGTGTAAAGTAGATAACTAAGGAAGAATTATAGATAAATTGTATTTTTTACACCCCCACCTTTATTATTTATTCTATGCGTATGATCAAATTGCAAAAATAACTTAGCTTCTGAGAAGGATCTTGAAATTTTTCTCTCCTTTGATGTATATTCCAATTGAATTTTTCCATTAAACTTGAAAATCTTCTGCTTTCAACTAGTAAAAAGCTCAAATTCTGTCTGTAACCACATTTTATACAAATTTAAAGGATGTTAGATAAGATTGAGAATTTTAAATAGAGTTTTATTAAGATTTGCTCATTCAACAAGAATAATGTAATCATAAAGTAAAAATTTATAATACTATCTAGCCTGTTCTTTTCTATTCTAAGATTAGTAAAAGGGAATCATATTTTATTAAATTATGTATTGTTACCCCTCTAAATGGAGTACATTGTTGCTTCCTTAGGAGGGCTAGAGAAGAAGAGAAAATGAAAAATATTTCAATTTTTTTTTAATTTTATTTAAAATTTGTTTAAATTATTCTTAAGAAAGGTATTGGGTATTTGTTTTGTTATTTTGTGTGCGAAGTATTTTCGTTCTTAAGGGTCAAGAATAAGTATTGGGATGCACAAAAACTTATTAGATATAATTGATTAAGAAATAATTGAGATTTGTTAAATATTTAAAAAAATAGATATTTATATTTGATTGCATGAGCAGAAAAGAATAAGACATTAAGAGATTGATTGCTTCATAAGTAAAAATGTTATGTATATGACTTCTTCTAGTGCCACATTGGAACAAAGCAACTCCATTTTGATATGAAGAGATATGTATCACACAGAAGCGATAATGGTGCATACATTCTCAATTTAGAGGAAACCTGGTAGCACATCAAATTGGCTGCCAGAGTTATTGCTGCAGTTGAATAACCTCAAGATGTCATGGTATTAGAAATAATGAGTAATTCAGGTTGTTTCATCAAGACCAATTGGACAAAGAGCAGTCATTAAATTCGCTCACTATACTCATGCCAGCTCAACCAGATCATCAAGATGGACACCAGGTACATTGACAAATCAATCCAACAGTGCCAGTGGAAAATTCCAAGAACCATAATTATTGATTGTCACAGATCCACATTTGGTATATATATGAATATAACATTCCCTTAGGATAAATAAGCCATCGTTGAAGCATCTTACGTCAACATTCCAGTTATTGCCTTATGCAATTCAGACAACCCCTTATAATATGTTGATATCCCAATCCCAGTTGGAAACAGAGAAACTAAGTCAATTTCTATGATCTATTGGTTGTTGGCCAGAGAAGTCAAGATCTTGAGAGGAGAATTGAGACAAGGTAATTTAAATATGCCATAATGATAGATGAAGAATGGGATGTCTTGGTTGATTTGTTCTACCACAAGGAAATTACCAATGATTAATTGGGTGTTGCAGATAACTAAGTCAAATAAGAAGGTGATGGTGAAGAATAAGAACAATAAGGTGAAGCAGAGAAAGCTGATAAAGATTGGTGATAAAATATATTATAATTATGTAAAGTACATGTATGTCNCTTGAAAATCTTCTGCTTTCAACTAGTAAAAAGCTCAAATTCTGTCTGTAACCACATTTTATACAAATTTAAAGGATGTTAGATAAGATTGAGAATTTTAAATAGAGTTTTATTAAGATTTGCTCATTCAACAAGAATAATGTAATCATAAAGTAAAAATTTATAATACTATCTAGCCTGTTCTTTTCTATTCTAAGATTAGTAAAAGGGAATCATATTTTATTAAATTATGTATTGTTACCCCTCTAAATGGAGTACATTGTTGCTTCCTTAGGAGGGCTAGAGAAGAAGAGAAAATGAAAAATATTTCAATTTTTTTTTAATTTTATTTAAAATTTGTTTAAATTATTCTTAAGAAAGGTATTGGGTATTTGTTTTGTTATTTTGTGTGCGAAGTATTTTCGTTCTTAAGGGTCAAGAATAAGTATTGGGATGCACAAAAACTTATTAGATATAATTGATTAAGAAATAATTGAGATTTGTTAAATATTTAAAAAAATAGATATTTATATTTGATTGCATGAGCAGAAAAGAATAAGACATTAAGAGATTGATTGCTTCATAAGTAAAAATGTTATGTATATGACTTCTTCTAGTGCCACATTGGAACAAAGCAACTCCATTTTGATATGAAGAGATATGTATCACACAGAAGCGATAATGGTGCATACATTCTCAATTTAGAGGAAACCTGGTAGCACATCAAATTGGCTGCCAGAGTTATTGCTGCAGTTGAATAACCTCAAGATGTCATGGTATTAGAAATAATGAGTAATTCAGGTTGTTTCATCAAGACCAATTGGACAAAGAGCAGTCATTAAATTCGCTCACTATACTCATGCCAGCTCAACCAGATCATCAAGATGGACACCAGGTACATTGACAAATCAATCCAACAGTGCCAGTGGAAAATTCCAAGAACCATAATTATTGATTGTCACAGATCCACATTTGGTATATATATGAATATAACATTCCCTTAGGATAAATAAGCCATCGTTGAAGCATCTTACGTCAACATTCCAGTTATTGCCTTATGCAATTCAGACAACCCCTTATAATATGTTGATATCCCAATCCCAGTTGGAAACAGAGAAACTAAGTCAATTTCTATGATCTATTGGTTGTTGGCCAGAGAAGTCAAGATCTTGAGAGGAGAATTGAGACAAGGTAATTTAAATATGCCATAATGATAGATGAAGAATGGGATGTCTTGGTTGATTTGTTCTACCACAAGGAAATTACCAATGATTAATTGGGTGTTGCAGATAACTAAGTCAAATAAGAAGGTGATGGTGAAGAATAAGAACAATAAGGTGAAGCAGAGAAAGCTGATAAAGATTGGTGATAAAATATATTATAATTATGTAAAGTACATGTATGTCAATTAGTTTATATTTATATATAAAATATATTTAATAAGTTTAGTAATGAGCAATGCATTTAAGTCAGCTGCAGGAAACACATTGTCCAAGAATGATATGGGCTAAACTGGATAGAGTTTTGCAGGATCCCAAAACCCAGCATCTCTAAAGGGTAAGCTTATGAGTTTAGAGGTATATTGATTTATTCAACTAAAGGAAACAATCAAAGGAATTTAAGATGAAATGAACTTCCACAAGAAGGAAGTCTAGATCCTCAAATCAGAAAAGGACACATTAGAATCTGTTTTGAGTATGAAAACTTAAGATGTCAAAAAAACACTCACAAATGAGCTCATGAGAATTGAAGAGGAAATGAAAAGGTATATTCTGTCTCATATCTACTTATTAGACATTTTGCTCATCAAAAGGCTGAGAATTCAAGATTACAACAACAAATAACTGCTTTGAAAGGTGAGAAGACTGCACTTCAATAATAACTACTCGGTCTCCAAAGAAGAATTGCTGAATTAGAATTATAAGTTGGTTAGGAATAAGGATGATTATTATGAAGTATAATAAATTATAATATAAAAAACTTTGTTATGATTTTAATCACATTTGCTAATGATATGTGAATCCCACAAAGGTTTCATTTAATTTAGATTCTGGAGTGTCAACTAAAGGTTATTACAAGTAAGGTGCATCAAAATTAGATAGATCTTAAGCATATTATATCTGTGGTATGATAGGCGGTTACAATTTACGCTGCTCAACCAATTTCCAATCGATTCCATTAAAAAAGTTATGCTTTTTTATTTCCTTGATTCCGTTTGACCCAAGTCTCAATCCTGGCTACTCATAGACTTTTAGTTTATACATCTTTTGTTAATAATCCCTTTAACAAGGAGGCTGCATAAAATGAAAAGCAAGATCTCATTTCAAGAGGTTTTTCACATCTATTTTTTAACATCTCTTTTTTATTTTTCGAATAGTGTGGAGGAGTACCACTAAGCATCTCATAAATCAATGCTCCGTAACTATAAAAGTCAACCGTAAATGTGTGTCCCCTTTCTAACTAAGTTTTATTTAATTTTTACAATATAGAATTTCTGGGGCTACATACTCAGGTGTTCCACAAAATGTGTAAGTCATTTCGTTTTTCTCAAAACCCAATTTCGATAACCCAAAATCTGTTAACACTATGTGTCCACTTTTATCCAATAAAATATTCTCTGGTTTTAAATCTCTATACATGATGTTGGATTTATGGAGAAGATCTATTGCCACCAGAATTTCAGCAGCATAGAATTATACCCATTCCTCAGGAAATCTAACATTCTTTTTGAGATGAAGAAAGAGTTCTCCTCCCTGCATAAAGTCCATAACCATATATAGACGTGAGGGACTTTAGAATGCATATCGCAGTTTCACGAAAAAGGGACTATTTATCTAGGACATAATGTTCCTTTCCTAAATTGCCTGATCCTGATATTTTTTCTTAGACAACATGTTTTTTCTCAAGATTTTTACTGCTAATAGTTGTTGATTATCAAGCTATTTAACAAGCAGTACTTTTCCGAATGATCCTCTTCCAATAACCTTAATTAGTTCAAAATCTTGCATAGATAACTTTTAATTTGGAGCAACACTTTCACCTTCAATTGGTAATTGTGTAGTTTCTTCATTTGTGTCATCTTGATCATCTGCTTCTGGGAGTTTGGCTTTAAAATTTGGTTGTTTTGATGTTTATTCTAATTCCTTATTTTAGCACATACCCATTATTAAATATATTTATAAAAATTTGTAAGCATTTGTTATCTTTCTTCTTTTTTTAGATATTTTTGGCCGATAAATACGACAGATGATGTAATCAAGATTATTTGATATTATTAATATATATCCCTTGAAATTTAATTGTTAATTTTTTTTTCATTGTTTATCCACTTATCTCTTTAATATTTATTAATTTATATATTTAATCATTTTCAAAACCAAAAATGAATCAAGATCCAGATGAAAAGGATATGATCGGAGATCTTTTGGATGGTATCTCAATTTTCTCCAAATTTTAGACAGTTTTGAAAATGTGGGCAAGATCAAAAAAACATATTCTTCCAATAGACCTCCTGCACTCAAAATTAATCAGAATTACAATTAATCTCCCATCTATTGTCCTAAAGTATATTCTCCTCAAGTGTAGCAAAAACAAAAGTTTTCAATCTTATTTAGTCAAGTTCTTATGATTTAGACTTACGGCTCACTAAAGTTCCAGTCTAATAGAGTGCTCCTAATTCAGCATCAAGACCCAAATCCTATGAAAGCGAGCCATAATTTAACGCTGTTGATGAAATTTCATTAGATGGAGATTTAGTATCTAATTTCATTCTATTTAAGATATCCAAATGCAAAGATTAGAATGGGGCTAGATGCATTCAAAAAGCCTTTTAAGAAAGTTCTCAGGCAATCAAAGAATAAATCTTTAATAAACTTGAAAAAGGCCTTTTATCTCTCTCAAAAGATGTCTTTGGAAATTATGTCATCCAAAATCTTCTTGAATTTGGTAATATTCTTGATAATAATAGGAACTCCGTTCCAATAGTAAAAAATTCTGATCTTTTTACAACCACACTCCTCATAATTAGCATTTCATCCATATGGATGTAGGGTGCTACAAAAATTATTGTAAAATGCCCACAATACTCCTGATTTCTCAGGTTTATTTGATACTTTTAAAACAAGAGTACGAGAGCTGGTAATTGATCAACATGGAAATCATGTAGTTTAGAAATTGATCTAATTAATGGAGGGTGACATTAGTTTATGGGTCTTAGACGGGATTGAAGGATAGGTTAATAAGCTTGTGATTAATTCTTTTGGTTGTAGAATTATTTAAAAAGCTGTTTCTATATCTAACAATCATCCAGAACGATAGATGAAAATTTTAATTGAAATAATGAACTTAGCTTATGAACTTTGCATTTCTCAATATGGAAATTACATAATTTAATAGTTATTGAAGGATGGTCCTTTGGTAATCAAAAACCAAATTTAATAAATTATAATGGAAAAATTAGAAGAGTATAGTTTGAATAAATTTGGAAGGTATTCACTAAAATTATTTTAGCAATGTAGTTGATTGTGCCATCAAATGCTCTAATAACTAATTTAAACTAAAAATTATGGAACTATTACTGAATTAAAAAAACTAATAAGTGTTATTTGTCAGATTATCCACTAATGCCTACGGGAATTATGTGGTTCAAAATTTTCTGAAATTTGCTGATTCAGAAATCCAAAAAGAATTATATTATAAAATTACTAATAACTAATAACTCTTATAAGAAATACAATAATATAAATTTGGTAATTTTTGAATTAATATCTTTCAAGGCCAGTTTGTTTACTAAATGCTAACTTAAAAATTGGAATTAGAATCATTTAAGTTATGATCTGTGTTTATGATTTGTTTATATATGTATTTTTGTAATATTTTTTTGTAAAAATTACTAAAGCTATATTTTATAATTAAAAATGTAAAAAACACAACCAGTGAGTCGAGACACCTAGATTTTCGAGACTTTGGACTATAAAGATGGTAAAACGTTTAATATATTTCTAGATTCTATACAAGATCTAGAATTTTTTGGTCCTTGGCATAAACAAAATAATTCAATATAATACCAAATTGCATAAATTAAAAAGACCTATACTTCCTCAACGAATCAAATACCTAATGAGATTGTCGAAAGACCAGAAACTCAAAATTTATAAATGAGAATGACTAATACTTCTTTTCCTAATAAAAGAAGAATGACTAGAAAAATATCAATTGATTAATCTAATTAATTTATTGAAAAACCTAAATATGATGAATCTCGTTAGGTAGAAAGAATCATTTAAGAGTTCTTTACAGATGAAAGTAAAGAGAAGAAGAAAAAGTAAAGATATCGTGGTGGTTTTTTTTTCCCGCAAGCTTAAAAATCTAATAGCAATACAAAATGCAATGGCTCATCTTTTTAAACAACTTAAGAATATTTTGATGTAACTTTCTTATTTAAACTAAGAGAAAATAGCTCTAAAGATGATGAAATTAATGCCTAATCTATAGAAATAGCCATCAAAGTCTTCTTAACCTTTAAAAAATTAAAAAACTAAATAAAAACTTATTCTTGATTTGCCTATGGCTACAAAAAGCTATTTCCCTCCTTAATTATTAATTAGCTCCACTCAAAATAAATAAGTAAGTCCATAGAATTTGAATTCTTCTCAAAATAAAACCTAGATCAAAACTTAAAATTTTCTGACCAAAACAGGAAAGGGTCCTGTCTGGAAGATAAATAATTACACTAGTATATGAATTAAGCAATATATTGAAAGCAAAATAATAATTCTTATTTCTAAAATTCTCTCAAAATTAAACAATTTTTTTATGTATATTTTGCAATTATTTTATTTATATTAACTCAATAGGATCTAAAATTTTTATCTATTTTGATGCATGCATCCTCTAACAATTTTAACAAAGCCTCAGTTGTAGCTTCTCTTTCTCTTCTTTCAAAATTTATATCTTGTTGTAATTTTCCGTGAACATCCTCTATCATTCTAAATATTTTCCCTTAAGTCTCCTCTCTGACTTTCTTTTCAATTAACAGTTAATCTGAAAATTTATTAATTTCCGAATCAATTTGTTCAGATAATGACTCAGATGATTCTTCTCTATAAGAAATAATAAATAAATACCTTGATCTTCTTTCTTGATCTAATTAGTTTTTTACTAATTAAACTTATTGCAAGACTTCTGCAATTTTAACTTAACTTCTATCTTCATATTAATGAGTGTTTCTAGTGATTGTAAGTGTAATTTATTGGAATCTTTCATCAATTTATTTTTATAGTTTTATTTCAGCTTGTCCTCTACTATTTCTCTCTTGATCAAAAGATAGAGCTACATTATCAGAGAGAGTTCTAAAATCTTTGTCTTTTTTATCATCAAAGGCCTGCATTAATACTAAGAAATACCTCTCTCTCAGATTTTTCATTGTGAGCTTGATCCTGAAGTTTTAATACTTGATCCTTGAGGACTTTGAATCTTTATTCGTCTTTAGGCTTCTCTGATGAAAGAACATCTTCAATAATTTTAATTCTCTCTTCAAGGACTTCTCTCTTTTCCAATTTATCCTTATCTATTCCATTTTGGATATGATTCCATTTATCAGATAATAACTTAATTCTTTATCTGGATGGAGAATCAAGGTCTTATTAAAGATAGTTAACAGTAGATCTTTGTGGACTCTATAATTGGGATTTTCCTAACCTTGAAGATGTCAATTTAGATGTAGATAAAAGCATCTTGCTTTTTTGTTTTTAGAAATAAATTTATTTACGATTTAATAAAACATTTTAAATAACTAGTAAAACGATGCAATAAATAGATTAGAGATTAAGCTAGGCATTTCCCCCAAACTCTTAAAAAAACACTCGTTACATAGCTCAGATACACAGTGTATTAGAAAATGTTAAAATAGATGACATAGGATTTAAAGATATTAAATTTAGAAAAGCTCAAACCAAGAGAGATATAGAATAGCTTAAATTGCTTTAGCAAGAGTGGTTCCCAATTATTTACGCTGAGCAATTTTATACTTCTGTTTTGAATGGCCATGTTTCATCTCTCATAGCAGAGATTGAAATAAAATATCCAACAGGCCGAAAGGAGAAATACATTATTGGCGCTATGGTGTATTAATAACGCTAGTGTAAATTCAAATATCAATAGAATCTAACCTGGAAATAATGGTTTTGTTCATTCTTTTAAACACAAAATGCTTTATATATTATGACTATAGGAGTTATTAATGAATTCAGAGGAAGGGGGATTGCAGAATACATGGTTGAACAGTTAAAAAAAATAGTGGTATAGTCCAATAAAACACTTGCTTATATTTATCTTGACGTGGTTGCTTATAATGAAATCGCATCCCGATTTTATCAAAAACATGGTTTCAACAGAATGAGAATAAAGAAAAATCATTATTAGTTAGAAAATCAATCATTTGATGGTCATGTTTATGTGTGGTAACCCAATTGAAAAAATATATATAATTTGTTTATAATAAATTATAATAAATAAAATGAAAATGCAATTGAACTCACAACAAAGTTCTAAAATAAATTATTATAAAAAGTAATTATGATTTTTAGTTATTATTGATACTATTTAATGAAACGACAAAGGCTTTGCAATATTATAACGCAATTAGAAGTTTCTAATAATCTCTGTAAATAAGTTCTAATTATTTTTCTTTTTATAATTAGTTTTAGTATCCTTTTTGCATAACTGTCAATAAAGACGTCAAAAAAGATCTCTAAAATTGATACCTTCTTCTAAAATATTAATCAATGGATAACTATTATTCTGCTTTTGTTCTTTAGGAAACCTTACACTTTTTAATCATTTACCTTATCACTGGAAACCATGACTACTCAATAATTTACCAATTATTGCTAGGTATAATATTATTAATTCTTTTTAAAATTTCTAACAGAGTTTTAAATTGAAAGAATGTTATTCTAATTCGAATTAAAATTGAAATTACAATTTAATAACAATATATAGATTGTAATAATAAAACAGCAATAATTAGTCACATATTTTGATATAAATTAGTTATGTAATTTTCATATTAGTGTTACTAGATATTATTTTTATTTGCAGTATCGTATAATGCAATTATTAAGGCTTATTACACTGATTATTTTTTTGGAAATTTCTTTTTTAAACCAGCAGCAATTTTAAAGAATTGATTTTTCTTCTCAGCTTCAGTTTTATGAAACATTGTTGACGATATTTGCATAGATTCCTCCATTCTCGGAGTTAGAGTTCCAATTTTGCTTTTTTCGATAAAACTTGTTTCAGTAATTGGGGAAAGCGACTATCTATTTGCTTATTTGAATCTAGATTAAAAATCATCTTTTAATGATTAATGAATATTGTTTTAAACGTTTTCAAATGGATTACGATATCTATTGAGTTGGTTCTCATGAATTTGAAGCTTTTTTTGTAAGCCTCCTTCGTTAGCTAAGGACGTGGCAATTGATTCTTTGAGGTGGTTGATAACATTATTTTAATTGCTCTATAAAATTCGAGCTTTTCTTTCCGAAAATTGCATTATTTTGCTGATAATAGTCAAAATCTATTGGATGACTTATTCAACAGCGACGTCTTATTATTGATTTTCGAAGTATTATTGAAATAAATCTAAATCATCTAAGCATTGTGAAACCACATTATAATCTGAAGCTAAGATGATGTTACTGCAGCATTTCCATAACATTTATAAATATTGAATGATGTACTATTAATCAGATGAATAGGTTTTTAGCATCTTTTTGATTTTATTTATAAGAAAGTTACATTTTTATAATTTGGCTTGTAAGGAGTCCACTTATTCATATTGATCGCATTCTCCATTACAATTTTGAGTGTGTATGTTAATTTATTCAGATGGCACATAACTTTCACAACTCATGCAAAAAACATCTTGAATTTAATTGAGTATTTCTTCGAAATTGAAATATTATTCATTGGATTTATTTCCATATTTTCTGACTAAGTATTGATGTGTTGTGGTTCTATTAATTGTCTTTTCAAAGGATGAACCTGTATATACATTCATTCCGTTAATTAATTAATTGATAAATATTATTAAATAGTATGAAGATCTAGGTTTAGACTCCAGTAGTAGAATTAGATGGTGATGAAATGACTAGAGTATTACATTTCGATAAATTTAGATTATCTGGCAATAAATCAAAAAGTATTTGATATTCCCATTTTTGGATTTGAAGATAGATTACTATGATCTTGGAATGGAAAATAGAGACAAAACAGAAGATAAAGTTACTATTGATGCTGCTAATGCAATCAAAAAGTATAAGGTTGGAATTAAATGTGCCACCATGTAAATGCTTGATTGTTTATCTTTAGTACCCCAGATGAAGCAAGAGTGAAGGAATTCAAGTTAAAACAAATGTGGAAATCTCCAAATGGAACAATTAGAAATATTCTTAATGGAACAGTGTTTAGAGAACCTATTATAATTAAGAATATCCCTAGATTGGTGCCAGGTTGGAAAGAACCAATAATTATTGGAAGACATGCATTTGGAGATCAATACAGAGCCACAGATTTTTTGATAAGTGAGCCAGGGAAATTAGAGATGGTATTCACAAACAAACAAGGATAAGTCACAAAATATCCAGTGTTTGATTTTGAGGGCAAGGGAATTTCAATGGGTATGTACAATACAGATGAATCAATAATTGATTTTGCACATTCATGTTTCAAATATGCAATCGATCGCAATTACCCATTGTATTTATCCACTAAAAATACCATTCTAAAGAAGTATGATGGCAGATTTAAAGATATCTTTTAAGAAATTTATGATAAATATTACAAATAAACATTCGAACAAAAGAAATTGTGGTATGAACATAGATTGATTGATGATATGGTTGCGTATATGATTAAGAGTGAAGGTGGTTTTGTTTGGGCATGCAAGAATTATGATGGAGATGTCCAATCCGATGTTGTGGCTTAAGGATATGGTTCATTGGGATTGATGACCAGTGTCTTAGTTAGTCCAGATGGATCAGTGGAAGCAGAAGCTGCACATGGAACTGTTACCAGACATTACAGAATGCATTAATAAGGAAAAGAAACATCTACTAATTCTATTGCAAGTATTTTTGCTTGGACCAGAGGATTGTTGCATAGAGCCAAATTAGACAATAACAAGGAATTACACAAGTTTTGTACTACTTTGGAATCAAGTGTCATTTAGACAGTAGAAAATGGAATTATGACTAAGGATTTAGCCATCATTGTACATAGTGATAATAAGTAATTATTTCAATTTAGTTTAGTGTTTCAAGAACCAAGTATGTTAATACTGAGGAATTCATAGTCAAGGTTGGAGAATAGTTGAAGAAGAATTTAGGTATCAAAGCAAATTTGTGAGAGTATATAAATCAATATATAATTTAATTATAAATGGTCAGGTTTAAGAATAGATACTTTTTATGCGAATATATTCAAGAAAATCAGGAATGGGAATTTTCAGAGAGAGACTTGTTGAATGAGATAAAAGATCAAGTAGAATATCATTTTGGTTAATTTGGGTCTGGCAAAATTTAATTTTCATTTTAAGGTAAAGGATTCGACAAATTGAATAGTGAAATATTTGAATTCTATTTCAAGATTGTTTATCTTGAGAGTGAGTAGAGAGTACAAAAGTATAATTTGGTCAACCCTCTTATTTATGAATATGTTTAGAGGAGTACCAATCAAAATTAGAACCTTAAGTTGTTCAGGCACAATAAGAAAGTGTGAAATCAGAGCTAGGAGATTACTCACAAAATGGGTACATAAAATATTAAAATGTGATATGCCCAATCAATTGCGAAATACTATTATTAGAGATTATAAATAAACTAAATAAATTCTACCTTAATTAACATAATGAGTTTTCATTATATAGAAAATGTATAATAGTCCAAAGAAACACTTTTGATATGAAAAATTACTCATAAAACAATATCAAATATTAATTAAATGTTATACACAATTATAAGTCAAATTGTAAATGATGTATCTAATCTATTCTAAAAATAATATTCAATGAAAATTCTACAGCATTAGATAGGTTAATTATGACGCATTTTACTTTGAGATACTGTTAGAAAGGAAGGGATACTCTTTATTAATTCCAAATTATTAGATTTTTTAGAATAGTTTAAATTTGTAATGTTTATATAATAAGTAGAATAAAATACAATTCATCTAATCATCTATGGTAATAAGATAGTGTTAGTAGGATGAGCCTATTCTTTTTTGGGGAATGCATTCCAGAATCTGAGGGTTTCATCACCAGCACCAGTAACAATAGTTTCACCATCTGGTGACATAGCTAAAAATAGAACTCTTGAAGTGTGTCCCATAAGAGTAGTGACCTAAAATTAAAAGAAAAAGAATACTTTTTGTAAGGTAGGGTATTTCCAACAGACAATCTAATTCATACTATAACCATGGGTTGATACGAATTCATTGACATTCTTACTGAACATCAAATTACAAACTTAAGATCCAGTGTCTATCCAATCTAATTATTCAGTAGTCAAGGTATTAAAGAATCGAATGGTTCTATCTGCAGTGCCACCACCTGATGATAATAATCCATGTCTATGAGGGGACCAAGCGATAGCTTTAACTGCTGCTTGATGTTGACTGAACTTAGCAAGTGGAATCTAAGAACCCATTCTCCAAACGAATAATTTATTATCATTTCCACCTGAAGCCAATTGGTATTCATCTGGTGACCACTTCAATCCGCAAATTTCCTATTTATGTCCTTCAAATTTACCAGTCTGTTTTTTCTATCTCGGATCATGTAATATTATTGATCTGTCTTTAGAACCTGAACAAAGAGTCTAAAATTTATATCATATTTATACATGTCCACTCCATGCCAATGACCCAACTCTTGCTGAATGTCCTTCTATTACTTACATTCTCTTCATTTTCTCCTAATCGTATATGTGAATCTCACCAGAACCAGTTCCAATTGCCAATTGATTACCCATTGGATTCCAAATCAGTGAACAGACTACATCATTGTTTCCAAAATCACAAAATTTAGTCACTCTATTATTGTAGGCTGACCACAAATAGACGCAGGATTATAAAGCCACTGATAGGACATTCTAGGAACTCCAGTCTATCAAATTCAAATAAAAGTCATCTTATAATTGAGGAGCATCCAAAACCTTAAATGGAACCTTATTTATTTTTCTTTGACTATATTGGTAATCCAAACTATTTTAGAACTGTTCTCTATATTCAATCAAATTGTTGTAGGTTTCCAAAACTGAAGGATTGATATCCTATAAGATCTTTCTTTTTTAAGGCGTATTGTCATTGAATCTGAAGATGTTTTTCTATTCCCAATGCAACTCTTCAGTTTACAAGGGCTGTCCAAATACGTGCATCCTGTAGATATCCTTTAATGAAACATTCCCTTAATCTTTATAATCACTTCCTTTTTAAGGTTCCTAGTTTTCGTCCTCGATCTCTCGATATTGGAATTCCTCAATCAAAGTCTGTTTCTATCCACTCCTTAAGGGAATGTATCTGCAAGTCTTTCCTTGCTGAACTTACTTCTTTGGAGTACTATCTTATTCTATCTCAATTTAGTCTAAGATAACTATTAATTATCAATACCTCCTTATTACGTACTTTGTATCTCTACTTTATTTAACATTTTGATAAGATCACTCATATCACAGGTCTTTGCCTTAATATGATGCGAATTTTCCTTGTTTTATTTTGAGGGGGATATTTGTAATTTATCCTCGAAGCACGAGACTTCTACGTCCATATTACGTTATTGTAACATTTTGATTGTATTCGTTGACATTTTAAGTATAAAAGGTATTTGCAAACAGATATTAAATTAATTTACGTTAAATTTTATTTTAAAACACGTTTATAAAGGCAAAAATAAATAAAATGTAATAAAAAACATCAAATTAATACCATTTCATAATTCTCACTTAAGGTTTAGGATTCATATACAGAATAGTATAAATATAAAAAAATATCATTTTTAAAAGAATTTTAGCAATCATTTTAACTTATATTTGCGTAATAATTAACTAGATTGCTATAATGCTGATGGTTTTCCCCAATCTCTCAAATTGTTCTTAAGAATTGAATTGCTAATATCAAGGGCGACTCCTTAAAACCTCTTTGAACTCAACTAGGTTGTTTGGTCCTCCTCTGATTTTATTTCTAAGCAATTAAATTTTAATGTACTTGGAAAATAGAATGACTTATTGTTATTGTCTACTATTGTAGCATTCTCAGTCATCGTATGATTAATGTTTATCTAATTAGTATCTGAAATATTCAAATTCTTCTTTGTCAAGTATTGTTAAGTCTATGTTAATAAAATACTCATTATTGTTATTTTCTAATTCTATGTCCAATTATTTACACTCTTTTCTCGTCTATACAATAATAAAAATATGATTTACAATTCCTATAGATCTATAATTTCACTAATGTCATCTTTGAAATTATTCTTTAAATATTCCAAATTGCTTGCTAAAATGGCTGATAAATTAGCAAATTTATTGTCATCCAATCTTATGGTATCTAATTTTGTGAGTAGATGATTATTCTCATTTCTTAAAATTTCATTATCATTTTATAATTAGGCTATTTTTTTTTCCAATTACATAATTTCTGTTTCCTTAATCTTCTCCATCTATTAACGGGCCTCTTAAGAATTCAATTCCTAATGTTCAAATTCCTTCTATTCTAATTAGTCTTCTAAATCCTTGATTCTTGATGACAATTTCTTTATTAATTTCTAAGAAAAATGAGATCTTTTTGCTAATTCCTATTCAACTTACTTGTGTATTTCGATATCTCTTTTTAAACTTGTTACTTACTCCTATAACTTTGTATGCTCTCCCAATAATTTTCCAGTGTGTTTTGATTGGTATTCTAACTCTGTAGTCATTTAATAATTTTATAAAACTGTTAATCTAGTGGTTGTTTCCAATTATTCCTTTTATTATGCTCGCTCTGATAACTTGGTTTCCTGAACCTTATTTTCCATCTCTTTCCTCAATTGATCTATTTAATACATAATCATTTCTATACTTGTTTCCTTGACCTTCTCTTTCTCCTTATCTGCCAATTCCCTCTGCTTGTCTCTCCTTTCTTACGCTAATGTTTCTATCAGCTTTTCTCTTTCACTTTCTAAATCCGCCTTAGTTTGAAGAAAACCATCAATCTTCTCCAACCTGGCTTCCAAAAACTTTATTTTATCTATTAATGGTTATTTATCTGTCTCAAAGATTTGTCTTTATTTATCCATCATTTTTTCTAGTTGAATGAATACTTCATCTTACTATAATCTTCATCTATATCAAACATTTTCCTTTGCAATACCCCATACTCGTACTCAATTTTTTGTTTCTCCTCTCTTAACTCCTCCTTTTCCTTTTTATGAAATTCAATCAAGTCTATAAATTCTCTTTTATCATCCGACAACCTCCTCTTCACTAGCAAATTCTCATTGCCGAACATATCTCTTTCCTATTCCCTATTTTCATATTGCAACAAGTTACATTCTATCAAGACGATCCTTCATATTTTTGTGAGTCGAAATTGCCTTCATCCTATCTCTTCTTTATGCATCCAACTCCTATGCCAACACATCCTAACTTAAATTTAATCCTTTTATTGACTTAGACATTATTAAAATAATTAATTTATATACGATAACATAACAATAAAATTAAGATCATTCAATTTAATGAGTACATCTTCTTGGAAATGCTTTGAATTTAGCAATATAAATATATATTCTACATTATATTGAATTTAATCTAGATATAAAAATTGAAGAAAAATAAATAAAAAATTATTGAATGATCAAAGGAACTCAAACACCCATAAATAAGGAGGAATTAAAAAAATTAAATCAAATTTTATAATAGCTCATAGATTCAAATGATAGTTTAGAATTTCGACAACCTGTTGACCACAAAACTCTTGGTTTGCATGATTACTTGATCGTCGTAAAAAAACCTATGGACTTGGGCACTTGCTCTAAAAAATTATAAAATTCAGAGTACAAGTATGTAGAAGAATGCTTAGATGATATATAATCAATTTGGGACAACTGCAAGTTGTATAATGGTCCATCTAGTGTAATCATACAATTTTATTCTAGTGGATTACTAAATTATCTGAAAAGCTTGAGAAATCCTTTAAAAAATATGTGAAGAATTATCTCCCCTTAGTTAATTTGCCATAAAGCTCAATAAAAGTGAAAAAGAGTACCGAAGACCCTGGAGTCTAGGAAGACACACAATAAACCATTTCTCATAACGAGAAAGTTGAGTTTTCCAACAATCTTAAATAACTGAATCCAGATTAAATTGGGGGCATCGTTTAGATCATTTAAACTAATAGTCCTAGTGCCTTCATTGTGGTCAATAAAGAGCGATTTTAGATCGTTATCGATAATATTGATTTTGATACTTTTGTAAAATGCTAGAATTAAATTTAAACTTGGATGACTGGAGAGGAAGTGAGTAAGAAGGTTAAATTATGAATTATATATCTATATATTATTTCACATTAACTTTACCTATTTTTGCTTCCTTATTAAGATGGACTTATATAATCCATTAAAAAAATAACAATATATTTTCTAACTTTGTTTATTTAAATAGGATATTTTAGTCTAAATTAGGGCAAGCAATATATTTTTATTATATTATATTGGTTTAATATAGATGTAGATGCATTTGCGGATTAAAAGTGACATAGTGTATGATCAATACAATCTGAATTTACAATAATCGACTAGTTAAAGATTTTTGAAATCCGAACAGATATCCTTTTCGCTATCATCATAAATGTGTGATGGAATGCTTTCAGAACGCAAACTTGATCTGTCTAGCTCATAAAAAATGAGGAGAAATCCTGCAAGACATCAATTGAATTCCTGTTATTCTTGGTTTCATGATGATAATTAGGATTTTGAGGAACATTCAATTTGGGGAGACTCTGGATAATTGCCTGTTGGAAATAGCAAAGAGAATTAATTGATATCATTTTTAGAGTTATATAAGTATAGATATGAAAGAACTTCAAAAAAACCGGTCTCGAGTTATAATGTTATATAAATGGCAAAAAAGTAATTTTCTTGTCATCATAATTAGACTCATTGGTAGACATCCTAATTCCAGAATTAAATATTGTGGGATCAATAAATTGCAATGGATTGATTTTCGAGATTGGAGTAAATGAATGTATTTTTTTGCCTTTCTGATTTTATATTTGTTTTAGATTCATCTTTTATAATAAAATACATTACAATCTAGTAGTAATATACCAAATAGGATCTAACTAAGAGATATACGATATATCAATTACAGAATTCCATAGTAGAGTTAAGTATGTGAAATGTATTTAAGAAAGATTAAATTTATTTTGGAGCCTTTGAAATGTATCTAATGATGAGTTAATCAATAAAACAAAAAATATACAAGCTTACGATAATCAGTTTTTTCATTTTAGGTTATACTATTAAAAATAAAAATTACAATATATAAATATATATAATTACAAGCATTCAAAAATGATAATCACCCTTCCATACATTTTCATGAAAGGAAAAGGGATGCAAATAGAAAACGCTGCCTATTCTTTAAAGAGAATTATAATAGTTCATAATTTTGATTGAGTTCTAAATGGATTTTCAATAGAAACATAGAGTTTATACTTTGCTCCATAATTATCAGTAGTACTGTGGTAGATTGAAAAATTATTGAATCTAGTGGAAATAAAATTCGTTATTTCATAATATTAATGATAAGAACTTAGGATTCTTGATAACATGTTTAAAGTATAAAAACATGCCATTTTATACAGAACTTAATCAAAAGAATAAAGGAAAATCATGAAAAGAGTTCAAATTGAATATGCTTTTTAATTACAAAACTATAATCTATATTTATGATGTAATAGGAATAATAGGTATGAGTGTATAATTAAGAAAATGAAAATGATTAATCGAAGAGCTGACTATTAAAATGCAAACACTTTCAGCTTAAACTGTTGTAAGAAGAGGAAATAAATAGCTCGAAATTGGAATTGAATAATAAATAAATTAAACAATAAGAAATAGAATACACTTTTATAATAATTATGAATTTAAAACTTAGAAAACAATTAGGACCTATTAATAACCCTGAATTTAATGATATACAAAATATCTAGAATGCAAAAGAAGCTTTGACTAATTGAAACTGATATAATCTAATTTTTCTAGATTATTGATAAAGAGAAATAATGAAACAAAAATAGTTAGAAGTGAAATGAATCATTGCTAAATGCTCATTATCCAACTCTCAAAGCACAAAAGTGGAGAAATAGATAACAAATGAGTAGTATTGAGTTCTGATGAAAGAGATTAATCAATTGAGAACCTTCCATTTCATAACAAATACATATTAGAGATATTGAGGCATATAATGGAAGTCCGTATTAGTGTTGTGGAATTGATTTGATTAATTAAGATTTTATTTATGATGCTTAAAATTAAGTATTCCTATATCTCAACTCAAGTGCTTCGATCATAAAATGTCGTTAGGTTCGATGCTGAAATTAAACAATCGCATTTGTTAGGAGAGCAGTTTGGATAATAGGTGTTTGCCAAACTTAATCATGATCATAAGCATAACATCTTGACTCCAACAATGTTAAATCAAATTCATAGATTTTTGGAAAGTTATGATTTGGATGAAGCAATAAATATAATTTGGTTGGAATGCTAATCCAAAGGAACAGATTTGAAATGTATGCAATTTTAATAACAATTAGACTTGTAGCACTTATCCTAGTAAGAGAAGATTGAATATATGAGACAAATATAAAATTTGGCAGTCTATTTTGGAAAGTATAACAAAGTATTGATGCCAGTGATAACCGGGGAAGCCAGTGGATCAATGGCAGCCTTGGCATGTTCAACTCCATTCTAATTTTTCGATTAAAAAGGTGGAATACGATTTAATGATGTAAATAGAGGCTTCGTCCCTCATGCAGGGTAAAAATGCATAAGAGTATTAGTGCTTCATTTCATTTATCCAGATTGCCTGATTAGATGGGGCTGTATTATGCCTTGACTGGTCGATGGTTGAAAAATGAGGAAGCATTAAACTTAGAGTTGATATACGGAAATTTGAGAGATAAAAACAAAGCTATTGATTACATCGATTAGACAACCTAATAATACAAGAACCCAACTACTGCAAAAATGTACCCTAAATAGGTGAAACGGGAACTTTAAAAATTCAAATATGGACAAAAGAAATTCTTAGAAAAGTTAAGTTAAGAAATGCTGATTAGAATGAAGAACGAAGATGCATAATAAGTGGCATAAGAATTATTGTACAAACTCAAAAGGTTCTAAGAAGAGAATGTTTTAAATCAGAAGCAAGAATAGCCTAAGTAAACCATTGCAAATCCGTATCTCCAATTTAAAATACTGAACATTGATAGTCTCGAAGAGATGGGAATAATATCAAGGGAGAACCTAGTTAAAATGGATAAGGCCTTGATTGCTCGATGTTTCAGTGGAGATAGTGTGTAGGAGATCATGGAAAAATTGAGAGCTGAATAGAGTTAATTTGCTAAGGAGATCCTAAGGGAGTTGGAAGCATAGCCAAAATTATCACTTGAACTTACATTCAAGTTATTGAGAGAGGCAGAGAAATGGCAATGGAGAGATTGCCTAGTAGCTGAGCATAATGTAGCTTCGAATCTTGCTATAAGTGGTTTGATGGAGAAATAAGAAAGAGTAGATAACATCGATTCCTTTTTCAGTCATGTTAGTCCTTCAATTGATTATTTGCCAGATGCACTTGAACCAGTAAGAGACTTTTATGCTGAGTATCCTGAGAATATTCGAGTCTTTTTAAATGAGCAAAATCTAAGAAAGGGACTAATTGATAGAGCCAATTAAGAAGTGGATGTGGTTGCTTTTATGAAGAACAATCATCACATGATGGATGGATCAATCAGAGTTTCAGATTTGAGAAAAATGAGAGTTGAACTTGCTGAATTGAAAAGGGAAGTAAAAATCAAAATGGACAAATTAAAGAGCATAGTTGGATATGAAGAAAACCTTAAGAAGTATGTAGAAGAAAGATAAGCATATTTGGATGGTATTAAAGATTTTGGAGTTGTATTGGAGGAATCAATGAACTCCTTCTTTGAAAAGGCTAATTAAGCAAGATTTAATGGTTATGCCAATGTGGCTAAGATTGCATCGGTGAAACCAAAGAGAGAATTATTTTCAAGAGTGAGAAATTCAATTTTAAATCACAAATTGACTACAGATGATGATGAAATTGAAGCCATAAAGAAACAATAAGCATGGAATAGATCAATGTAGAGATTACTCATTTTCCCAAAAGATGATAGAAAATCCTTCTACGAGAATAAATTACCAGAAAAGATAGTGGATAGAGAAGAAACGGATCAAGTATTCAGAGCTAGAGCTACAAGAGAGAAATTTTATGAAACTAGATACGGAGACCTTTATCAGGAGTTTAGTTAATAGGTCGATAAGTTTTACAGGAATATTGTTTAAAACGTCACACAATCAAACAAATTCGCTAACATATCGGAATATTTAGAAGGGAAAGAGGTCAAGGAAATATTAGATCAATTGAAAGAGAACAAGGAGGAAATCATAATTAATTTATAAAAAGTACCCATTGCATAGGTGAATAAGGAGGAATTAATAAATCAACTGAAATAGGAAATAGAGCAACTTAAATAAAAGGAAGAGATTCCAACTGATTTGGAAGGATTAATTCAAAGTGATTAGAATTTGAGCATAATTATGGAAGATTTCTTTAGATGTCCTCATGAGTTTAAGCCGTTATAAGTAATGTTCGAATAAATATTGATTTCAACTTATAGGATGAGAATGAAGAAATTCAAACATTTGAATGAATTACCAGTAATAGATGATCAGATCAATGAAGCATTAACCTTCGATTCATTCAAAGTCATCGAGAGTAATCTTATGTTTACTTTCTCATATGCTTTACTATGTAAGTTGGAGGAAATCTATTGTTCGTTAAAGTAAGGAGGCAATTTTGAAGTCTAAGCTTTGAAATTTTAATAAGATTTTGGATTTTAGATCTAGAACTTTAAATAATTTGAAAAACTATTAGATTATTTGAATGGCAAAATGAGGGCAGCTGCAACATTGTATAATACATACAGATAAAAGACTCTAGTTGAATCAGACAAATTGTTAGATTACATCCTTACTCTTAAATCTACTAAATAGCCAAGTTTCAAAGCCAAAGCAATTTATACTAATCTTCTAAGTTTAAAGATCAAAGAAAACTATGAAAACTAAATCGCCTCTTTAGAAGAGAAACCCATCAGTTAAACTACTCCTGATGATGTTTATAGTGCCATAGAAAATAAGTAATACAGAATGAGCAAATTCTATAGATAAAATTTACCAAAATATAGAAGAGGCTCAATTTAGAAGAGAGTCCTTTTTAGAGATGATCTTTATTTTACTACTAAAAAGGAAATCGAGATATATGGTAAAATATAAGGACTTAAAGCACAGAAAAGAAAGAGATTAATAATTGGAATAAATTATTAACTCAAACAATTGGATTTGATTGCAGAAAGGCAAGTTGAAATCACTCCAAAAGAACTTCAGTAATAAAAGGAGGATTTGGAAAAAGTGTTGAAGAAAAAATGGTTTAGCTATCAACCTATTTAATAATGGTTTAAAGAATTGGTACAAGAAACCTTAGAAGAAATCTATCATCCAGATCTGATTCTATCTGAAACTGAATTTAAGGAGTACGTCTAAGTGAGTTTCAATGCATAAAAGAAACTATTAGAATTGTTGAGAGCAGAACTTATCTTGGGAGTATAGAATGAGAGGGATGAGTTCATCCAAGAATAAAAGTAATGCATTCTAATTTATCGATTAGATTCAACCCAGAATTACCAGAAATTTAAAACTTAGCCTAGCAATTGACTGTTGCTGAATCCTTGCATGTTGAAGGACTCATTGAAGAAATTGAACCAACTGAAACTTTATTTGTTGGAAAAAAAGGAACTACTTTGAAAATAGGAGGAAAACTTCCTGTTCAATTAAATGAGACTTAGTATAGAGAATTGAGAACCAAAATGATTGGAAGGGTTGAATATTTGGTGGGTGAATGGGCTCAAGAACCAAAACTCATTGATCAAGTCGACATTGAGTTGTTGTATGATAAGATTCAATAGATTTAAGAGAAGAATAGAAACATAAAACGATGACTAATTTTATACATTATATGAGAGTATTAAAAATATAATATTTTAATATGATCTGTTAAATTAATTACAAAATTATACTTATAAATCATTGATCCTATATTAATGGGCCATGGATATTGGAGTGTTCAACCGATTGCTGAATGGATTGTTCTGAATTTATAATTCTATTCAAAGTTGATTCACAATTTGAGTAAGCTGCCTCTAATTGAAGGATATCCATAAGTTAGGCTAGATGATATGTTTGATTTTATTACCTTGCAAGCAGATGGCATTTTTAAAATCCTCTATGTTTTAACATATAAGTAATTTATCTCCCAATTCCTCAATCAATACAATCAACACTATGATATAGACATTCTTATTGGAGGACATCTTTCTTATGATTAAACTCCAAATATTATACAAGGGCAGAGATTAGACAATGTTAGTGTATAGGCAACAAAGAGTTTCATGCATGAAATTATCAATAGCAATGTCATAAACTTTGCAATGTTTGATCAGATTCACATGTTGAAACTCCAAATATTAAATGACTGTTTCTTAGGGACAAAACACTGAATCGTCTTTGGTCAATGGGAAGTGAATATTCTTCATCAGATCCAAAAAAGAGACAAATAGCCAAAAGGCTTAAGCTTCAGAATCAAATTTATTACCAAACACAGGGTTTGATAACTTATAGAAAAAGTGACAATGAGTTATGCATATGAATTTACTTGCTATTTTAAATAGACTATTTAGCATTTGAACATTCAATTAGATTCCTCTGAGATTGCAATATATTAAGAATGTCATCAACATGCCATGAAATTATTTATGTTAATTTGCTTAATTAACAGGCAATTTACTCATAAAATCATTAACATCCTTCTCCAAAGGTAGGTTCAAATTTGGAGTTGATTTTAATTTTTGATAAACTTGCACATTTTCACTACTATCCTTAAAATCTTAGAAATTTCTCTTTAGTATATCTGTGATAGGTTTAACTACTCTTTCAATTCCATCCAACGTTGAAAACCAAGCTGTAGGTATGCATTGAGGCTATAAACAAATGTTTTCGATATAGAATCGTTAATAAAGATTTTGAATTTCTTTGCTATATTTATTAACTTCAAGACTATATCTCACAGTTTCAACAATTGGAATCTTAGATAATTTGATAAATAATTATTACTGGAGTTCGTTGGTCGATTATCTTAACCACTATTTTTCTGAGAATGTCATTCAATTATATGAACTTCAATCTATCTAAAAAAATAGGATCTAAATTTGAATGTTCCAATACATCTATTTCCACAAAGATTTTTGAAGGCCCAAATTCCAATTGCACCCAAAACGATCTGCCTTCATACAAAAATTGAAACATATCCTATAATTATATTCTAAGAACCTTAGAAGCTGTATTAGTCTCTTATTAAATAATAATGAATAAGTACTGATGGTGTCGATTACTTAAAGGTCAAGGTAATCTTTGAAACCAAAATTCTCAATAGTGATTGATGTGTTTCCACATGCTCCGAGTAATCCATCCTTAAATACCCAAGTTGTGAAGTCTCTTCTTCTTTATTGACTCATTTAAGTGAATAAACGCTTTGTGCAATAGGGATTTTACTCAATATGATATTGTAAACCATCTAATAGTTTTGAGTTCTCTATATCTCGAGTGTTTTCTGTTCTCTATAATAATAATATGGTTATTAAGATACTTCAGACACAAATCTTACTTCTAATTAAGGTCTTATCAATTGCGTATTGCTTTACATGTACATACTGACAAATGATATACTAAATTTCATTGGATTGTTTTGTTGAATGTGGATTGCTCTATCCAGCCAATACCTATAAAATCGCTTGATTTCTTAATTCTTAGGTTTGAGATGTGTGACCATCTATTGTAAGAGTTCTAGTCTTCTCTTTTCTTTTGCCAATCTTTCCAACTCTCTCTATTGCTCTGTAGCTTTCAATAACTCTTACTCCTTTAATGACAATTACTTTAATTTCTCCTTGTAATCCTATTCATCTTTATATTATTTATCACTCTTTGCCTACCACTTTTTGATATGATAATTCATGACTTACCTGTCCAATGAAATCAAAAAGTTTTCATCTAATTTCGCTTTTTACTTTTTCAATTGATTCATCTATGTCGTATAAGTTCCAATTTGCTATGCGTACTTTAATGTCCAAGTTACTGTAAATTTATCTTCATATTCCTTATAGCAATAATGAAAACACCTCTCCACTAATGTCGGCCTCACTTATAGTAATTTTTCAATTATCAAGTATCTTTACCATTTAATAGCTTGGTTTTTATCCTTTCTATATATATACACACCCGAGTGTCCTTTCTCAAATTCCAAAAGTAACCTCGCCATATCACCATTTTTATTAAACCACGTCTTTTAATCTGCTGCCTTGGTTTCAACATAAACTTTTTGATACAGAGGAAATGATTTGACCGGTTTATGATCCTTGAGTTGTTAAAGAATATGCTTTTCAAATCTCACTAATCTATCCAAATAACCACCCGTTACACTGCTCTTCTTTTACATTACCAATTCCTCCTTCTTCTAATCAACACTCAAACAAAGGCTCATAATCATCTCATCTGTAATCAGTTCCTTATTTGCTATATTCTAGTATTCCTCTTTAAACTACTATCTAAATGATTTGATAAGAAGAGGCTGATAATCATTCGCGGCATCTGTCAACCACCCCAAGTCAATCTTCCTACCTTCACAAAATTATTAATTATGCATTAGAATAATATAAATATTGTTTAATCAATGTAAATACGCGGGTGTTAACCATAAAATTCACAAAGACAAACTTAACATGAAAAATGTATTTTAACCAACCTATCATCAATAGAATAATTTTCAAATTAACTAATGACAATTATTAGATCCACAAAATATCTTTTATCATTTAGAAAAAGCATATAAGCAGTCCACTAAATCTTAATATTTAAAGTCAGAGCCTTTATTTAATATTTCGAGTTTATTAAATAGAGTATACTGTCATAATTTATTCTAATCCAAATTATCTCAATATCTACTACTCCCTTATAAATTAAATTATTTATGAAATAACACTTTTCAAAAATAAATTAATTTTAGATTAATTAAATATAGGAATAACCACATTTACTAAATTAATTAGGGTGAAAGCATAGATTTTTCTAGTTTTATAATAATGCTATAACTCATCCAATAGATTGTTATTAGTTTTATTACAATTTGAATTTTAATAATATACAATTATTTAATACATAGTATAAACTAATCCTCTACCAAGAAATTAGTAAAAATTCAAAAGGATATAGCTAAAATACGCTTTCTAAATAATTTCAAGTCCAGACTTCAAAAATAACTCAGATATATAATTATTATAACAGAAGAATTTTAATGATTTTTACAATCAATACTGAAATGAAATATTTTGTTATGGTTCTTTAAGTTATTAATTTTGATTTGGAGTGTTTAGTTTTAGCGCAGTTTTGATTAGTTCTTCCAAATATTTTGAAGCTGATCTAATGCTTTAAAACTTCTAAAAGTATTGATATTCTCATTTGTAAAAATTAAAATCATATGGATTGTGTCCTTTAAAATATCTTATATCACAATTTATTCCACTTCTGAATAATTTTGATTTCGGCGTCTTTATGAGTAAGTTATTTTTTTTTGTTCTAATTTTTATTGAATCCGGATAGATTTATTGTTTGAAGCTTCTGTAATGGAAATTTATAGGATAAAAGATATATAAATTATGTAAAACTATCAAACTAATTTATAAATCCATAATAACAATCATTCTTAAACAAGATATTTATTTTAATTAGTTTAATGCTACTAGCTAATCAATTTCAATATAGAATTAGTAAACTAAATTAAATTTTAATTAGAAAGAACGATAAATATCGATACTTTCTTAGTGTAGAATAACTCTTTATAAATGTTGAGCATCTCCTTTTTAGAAATAGCAATTATGCGGTTATCTTTTGGTTCGAAAATTTGTTATCTAATTTTTCTTCATAATCCAGAATATCTGAATGTCTATAAAGGTTTTGATATGTTGGAGATTGTAATGATAACTACATCTCCAATTTTTATCCCTAAATATTAAATTTCAGTTTTAATTGACTCATCAACACATCCTTCCTCCTTCATAAATAACTATGAGTGTACCTCTTCTCAATGTCAGTTGCGAAGAGTATGGAAAGATGATCAATTGCAAATGAAAAGAAGTCTAATGGAGAAGGAATTAAGTTATTTTGAATGATTTCCTTAAAATGCTATCTCTAAGAGTAGAATCCATAATTAACAACCAAGTCTGTATAATTTTGATAAGATATAGAGGTAGAGGATTTAAGTTGTCATATGTTATCCAATTATTTATTGATGTATTGATAATCAAATCAATTTCTGCTGGCAATGAATTGAGCAGTGGTGGATAACTTCTCGCTGATGTGCTCTTAGAGTCTGTCAACAATTTCTTATTAGGCAGTTCTAATAAACTAGAATGATGGGATACCTTTCAGCGGTTTAGGTTTCATAGATTTCTGATTAGACTGCATACCATGCTTATTGTCCAGCAAGTCTCTCTTCACTGTTTTCCAATTCAAGAGTGTGGAATTCGATCCATGATTAAGCATCTTCAATGGTGTCCTTTTATTCTTAGATTTAGACTTCCAATTAAGCTTTTCTTTCAACCAATCTGGTGTGTTCATTAGCCAAATGGACAGAGAATTCAGCCCAGTGAGCAGCTTATCTTTCCTCGACGTCCTTGAATATTAAATTGAATGAATACAGTCTTGGCAGCTTTTTCTTAGACTAATTATTATCTGATTTCGCTTAAGAGTTAAGCAATCTTTGTCAATGCCTTTTAGTTAACTCCGTGGGTTGCCAATTCAGTAAGAGCAGTGATGACTGGCTATGTAATGTAGGTTAGTCAATCATACTTGTAATAAGGCAGTGTGGGATGTGTTGTCTGAAAGTTTCTTGTGGAGTGTATCGTATTTGCTCTTCAATTAAGCAAATGAGGCTCCAAGGCTCAAATGTTGGATCAATTTAGCGGCTTCATCAATAGCATCAATCACATCATCGATAGCAGCAACTTTTGATACAAATGTTTCGTGTTATTAGTTTCTTGTGGCTTCTTCTCTTGCATAAGTAGCTTCGTTGTTGGCAATATCTGAAATTGTGACTCTGATATCTTCTTCAGATACAGCAAGTGCTTCGATTGTGTCATCTCTCAATTAGGTATTTGAGGCAATTTGGTTTTGGTGATACAAAATTTCCTTTTCCAAATCTTCAACGATCTAAAGATTAATTAAATAGAATCAACTCTGTTGTTTGTTGTGGTGTCAAGTTCAAAAGCGTGATCATGGTCGTTCTAGTCTTAGACGAGTCCTGCTCCAACACCATTCAATAACATATTAACTTCATTGGCTGGGGTTGAGGCTTAAAGATGGGCTTTTATGGCACTCAATACAACATGGCCGAATGGGTCAGAGTTGATTTAAGCCAAAGTTGTGTGGGTGTCAACGAACTTGGCAGCGGTCACAGCAAGAACCAAAGCTAAGAGAGCTATTTTTTACATTTTTAATATTAATTTAAAAACGGATCGAGCTCTTCATTTATACTCATTTTAAACTATATTATTATATAATTAATTATTTCTCCACCTCCCCTGCATCTCTCTCCAACTTACTCTCCTCCACTTTCAACCCTCCTCTTCTTACTCTCTTCCATCTCTACTCTCTTTTTATTATTATTTTATCAATTTAATAATTCTACCTAATTAACTCTTCATAATCATGATTAAACAAAGTATAACATATAGATTTTAATATAATATTCAAGCTTGCTTAATTCTTTGTTATGGTGAACTAAACTCATTGTATCCGTGATCTCTTCTTTGTGCTTATGGTGACAAAGGTCGTCTTGGTTCAAAGTCTCTTCCACCAGGTCCTCCCCTGTAAACTTAATCTCCTCCTCTCTGATACTGAGGAGGATACTCTCCTCTATAAAACTCATTCGAAGGAGCTCCTCTTTGAGGATATCCAGGCGCCCTTCTATAATCACCAGGAGGTGGCAATCCTCTTAATTCTTAAGGTGGCAATCCCCTTGGATCCATTCCTCTGCCATATTCAGGAGGAGGCCCCCTATAATTTGGAGGAGGCATTCCTCTATAGTCAGGTGGAGGCGGAGGTGGCATTCCTCTATAATCAGGAGGTGGAGGAGGCATTCCTCTATAATCAGGAGGTGGCATCCCTCTATAATCAGGAGGAGGAGGTTTTCTATAATCAGGTGGTGGTCCACCTCTGAAATCAGGAGGAGGAGGCAATCCTCTATAATCAGGTGGTGGTCCTCCTCGAAAATCTTGAGGAGGAGGCAATCCTCTATAATCTGGACCTCTAGATGCAACATCTCGACTGTAATCGCCGCGATAACCAATTGGTTCTGGCATTCCTCTTCTGTACTCTCCTCCTTAATAACTTTAAGGTGGCACTCTTCTATATTCTGGTGGAGGTAGTCCTCTCAACTCAGGAGGAACATCACGGAAATCAGGTGGAGGCAATCCTCGATAATCAGGAGGAGGACCTCTAAAATCTTGAGGTGGTCCAGCCCTTCTTGGGTCATATGCTCTTGCAGGTCCTCTCAAACCTTAAGGGGATGGTTCTCCATATGGTTGTTACCTTGGTCCATAAGGGCTACCATAAGGAGCTGATATTGGTCTATAATAGCGATCATCACCATAGGCTGGGTCATAGGGAGCATTATTGAATCTGTCAGGAGGTGGAGGAGGGAATTACGGATTGAAACCAGGAGGTGGTCGTTCAAATCCTCTGGGCAAGTTACCATATGGAGGTTATGGTCTGTCTTAAGGGTGATCTTGGGGTCTTTGTGGAAGAGGGCCTCTATCTGGACCTTGTTCCTAATATGGAGGCCTTTGTTGAGGAGGGGGACGTTCTTGAGGATGTCCATGATAATCATCAACTCTGCGAGGATCTTCAGGTAATTTTTGAAGATATTGAGGGTTTTAACCTGGAGGCCTTTAATGACGAGTAGGCTGCCTATCATTTTCAGCAGGTCTAGATGGAGTGTAATACATTTATTTAAATTATATATATATTGTAATCAGTTAGTATTTAATTCTTAAATTATTGTATATAATTTAATAATTGTTTATAAAGTCCATTATATTAAACTAATAGGATTGATTAAGCCGATATCCGCCAAACCAAAAGCTACTATTAAACAATAAAAGAAAGGATGGTCAAAATATTATACATTTCTGTATAACAGACACATCTAATAACAATTTATTAGATAAAAGTATTAAAATATGATAAACAAGTAATTTCAGTCAAAAGGAAAATATTGTTAGTTACAAAAAATTATTTTTTATATCTATTAATTTAAATAATATTAGAAAAATGATATTTATTAGTTTTATATTTCTTATTTAAAGTTGTTTTAGGATAGAAAAGGATTTCTTTAATACTAATTTATATCTAACTAATAAAGTGTATATAGAATATTCGAAGAGTGACATACATTTTGGAGAAAGTCTTTTTATGATTACGAACCCATTATACCAAATGTTAATATAGTAAAGGGTTTTTATTTATTAGATTAAAATGGCTTAAATTTCGAACATATTTTACAATTAATCCTCATGATCATCACTAATATTCTTGATTCTTTTATTCAAATTTAAAAAATAATGATAGTATTGAATAGCTTGCAATTGGATGCCGAAGAGTAAAACTGAAGAGGTTGAATTAATTATGACAACTATCACTGCTTATGGTAACTTATAGCAAACTGAATCTATTAATTAAATCAATTTTTAAAGAACAAACTGGAAGAACCCATTTTGATGTTAGGATCATTAAACTCTACATCTCCTGAATATGCTTTAATCAAAAGCGAATAAGATCAAAATGCTACAAGCCTTACATTTAAAAATGGAAATATTATTTTGTATCCAATAAATACCAAAACAGTAAAATCCTATTATAAGGGACATAGAAATGACAGTCTAAGTGAAGTTTCTATTATAGTTTTTATTCCTTATTTCATTTGCCATTAATTGAAAACTTCTTCACTCCAACTCCTATAAAATAGATTGCATTCAGATGTTGAAGTGAAAAAGATAAAGCTTCAGTATTTTTTGATGGTGATGAGAAATGCAATTAGATGTGATCATACAGATCGAAAATTAAACTCAAATTTTCTAATTGGCTTAATTTAGATATTTGCAATTTCTAAATTGTGGTTATCAAATATCTTATATATATATAGAATGCATGAGTGGTCAAGATCTCTTTATCAAATTAAATATTCGTGATATGATTATTAGCATTGGCTATGCGAAGATAAGTCCAATAATCATTATTGATTAATCCCTTAGTAAGATAACTATTAAAAGGGGATTGGAGTGCCTTGTTCCATGTTATTCAAGTCCATAATCAATTTAGATTATGCCTGTAATTTGAGTGCAACAATTAAAAATATTATTATTTATATGTACAAATATAATTGACTGGATATTGTAATGCATGTTTGAATGCGACAAATACTATATTAATTATTAATATAATTAATTTGATGCCTCAATTATTTATTGCTATAGAAATATTGGTTTTGGGAGGCCTTTCAATAATTGGATGCTCTTTTGTAATATATTGTTATTTGAAATTTAATGAATTGAGAACGGATCAACTAAAGATAGTTATACACATCATAATATTCGACCTAATACAATAGATTTTATTATTTTCATCAGCAGTAGCATTTCTGGTGATAGACAACTCTGAGGTTAAATTGAGTGATTATCTAACAATTTGCTATTGCTAAGCCACATTACTTTAATATTCTTTGCTGGCAAGCACAGCATGGACAACTTTAATTGCAAACAATCTTTACAGAACAGTTAAATATGGCGATCGAACATATCGAAAGATGGTATATTGGACGATAGGATTTTTATTTCCTTTAATAATGTCATTATTGTAAATAACTATAATATGAAGTGATGAAGACCGTTTGCCTTCGATGCTTATGGAGTTTCAGCTGCATTTCCAATGAGCATGTGCTCATTTAATTCAAATAAGCCTAAAATAAAATATTTTATTTTATTTTTCTAGGATGTACCTATTTGGTCAACATTTATTTATAATGCAATTATATTTACTCTGGTGATAAAGGAACTTTATGATCATCTGGGGAGTAAATGCTTGGCAGAAAATAAACAGATATTTTTATTATTTCTGTATCCATTCTTGGTGGCTGTGTGTTGGGGGATGGTAAGAATGAAAGTTAAATAGAATAGCCAGCAATGATAAATCAATTTAAAGTAGATGCGACAGTTTGGCCCATAATTTCCTTTGGTTTTGGGAGTTTGATAGGTTTGTTGGATTCGTATCTGTATTGTTATTTAAGTTTGGTAAGGAGTGTCAGATGGGTTGGGTTCAGTTTGGAATTGAAGAAGGAGACAATCGAGATGTCGCCTTTAAGTTGAATATGTTTTAAATGATATGGTGAATAGTAAATAATAATAATAATATAATAAATATTCAAATCCAATGCAGTAAGTGACTCCTGCATATGTCAGAAATCTGAATGGAATCACACAAGAGTATTTGATAGATTTACAATAGTTTTCTGTGTCCAGTAAGTGCTAACACTTACAATATTCAATTCTTGAAATTTAGAATAAGAGACATGGATTCTGGACAAACACTATTCGAAGTGGAGCGAGATCAAGACGAAGAGTCTATAGGTAGATTGTTTGTTCATATACCTTAGAAAATCTACCTCCAGAATATCAAGATGAGGCTAGACGCATTAAATATCATTTCGGACCTTAATTCTTTGAATTGAAGACTGTTGGTGCTTAATTGACATTCTCAGTGGGCAACAAGCCTGTCAAAAACTTTACAATTATTGAGAGACATTATTTCAAGGATCATTTATTGAGAAGCTATGAATTTCAATTTCCCTTTTGCATTCCCAACTCAACAAACACTTGGGAACACATCTACACTATTCCAGAGATAGATGAAGCAATGGTAAGCATTTACTATTATGAATAATAGAGATAAGAAATGATTAACAATCCATTCTAGACAAAATCAGACAGTTTTTATTTTGTGGGAGAGCAGCTCGTGATGCATAATAAGGCAGAATACGACTATTCACCTTTTGATTGATATATTAAGAAATCTATAAACATATCATAATTTGGATTTCATTATGTATTCTTGACTAGTTGAGGTATCTATTCAACCCAAAATTCAAATCTTATGATATCTTCTTCCCTTCCAAGTCAATTTCATCCGTCCTTCTACCAAGATTTCGAATAATTAATAGATAATTAATCCATATATAAGGCAGATATCTCTAACTCTTATTTTGAGTATTCTATTTTGGAATAAATCTATTTTTTACAAGATCTCTTAAACATATTTTAAAGTTAAACAATGACTTCATAGAGATTGAAGATTATTTTATCATGTAGGAAGTAACAGTCTTTTACTTTTGGTAATTTAGTAAAAGCTAATAAGCTATATAAGTAAGAATTTTAAGATAATAATTTCTGAAGAGGCCATATTTATCATTAAGTTTTGAAGCTCTCAAGAAATACAACAATTATACATCTGTAGTGGCAAGTCAAATTTTCAGTACTTGAGCATATCTTAATCATTTAGGAACATATTTATTTCCATATACCCAATAGCTTATTTTGCTTCCATACCCTTAATTGTCTCATACCATGTAATCTTTGCACTATTTACTATCTAAAATGGTGTCAGCTTTCTAAATATGTCAACTTCATCTTGTTAGAATATTTTCATTTTTGAATAAGAATACAATTAAGTCATGTTAAAATAGAATAATTTACAATCTATGACATTCATATTGAATCTAGTAAGAATAGCTTATTGATTGGCTTCTAAATCACAAATTACCAAAAAGCCTTTACAATGTAGTATAATCTATTGATAGAATTTATAGCGGAAGATGCATTATATGATTATTCAACATTCGGCATATAATTAACACACATGTGTTTTTCGCTTAAATACAAAGGTCTCGTAACCCTAAGCTTTAATTCTGCTACTATTGGTAACTGACCCTTTATATATTCATTGTTATATTATTCGAAGTTTCAATATCCTATTTAATACTCATATTCAATAATTTATAAAATATATTATATATTTCCTGATCTTTTTCTTATACAATCTCTGTACCCATACAACATAATTTATATACTCATTGTTGGATCTCAATGAAAGTAGTTGAATTATTAATATCTTTATCCACTATCAACATCCTCAGTCATCTATTGTTCAGAACATATTAATTAATATGAAATAAGCTATTTTAGACTTTATCAATTAAGGTATCTTAATAACTAAGCCAATCGATGCTTTCTATAATAAACAATTTGAAACTTTTACGAATAAATGCTACAATTATCTGGTTGCCTTTTATTGTCTCAACTAATTTATTGTATTTGTTATTCACACTTTCCATATTTTAATTCTACAAATACAACTAATCATAAAGAAATCTTTGGCTGTCCTATTGAATTCACTAAAATAGAAAGTGATGAAGGATCAGCATGTGTCTAGACTCTATCTGGGATATTTAAAGCTCCATCTAAACACAAGAAACTTCGAATTGTTTAAGAAAACTCATAATGCAAAGTTTGACAATAATTTAAATCACCCCCTTTAAGAAGGATGAAAATTGATATTAATTAAATTTCACCTTCTCTTGCAACCGCCTTGCACAGAACTAGTTTAGGATTCGAAAAACCTAAAATCATAAAGCGTCCCCTCATGAAATCTTAATTAGGTGATATTGATTTTTTGTAAAGACTCAAAGATCTTGAGTCGGATGGCGAATAAAAATTAGATACCAAAATCTAAAGATTGCATAGACAGAACATAGTTGAATAACATAACCGCACATACCCTCCAAAGAATATTTTTTGAAGAATGTCAAAGTTGATGCTTTATTTAAGAATATTCTAGATCTCAAATATGTCTTGGAACAGCGAAAGGAAGCCATGAGTTTCATTAAGGATATCAATGACTATTAACCTAGATTGCCCTTTGTTCCCACTTTTACACCATATTTACAACTTGAAAAACCTTAAGCTAAAAAATAACAATCCAATCAAAAAGTAATTTCGAAATGCTCCCATCTCCTCGTGAATTCGACAAAGCTGATATGAGTAGGTCTGATACCCAAACCACGAAATCAACTATTAACAAATTAACACACCCTGCAAAAACAAACAATAAAAAGTAATCCTTATCCAAACATTCAACATTATATTCATTCTTTCAATATGTGTACAAACAATAAAAGTACAAGCGCCAATTTGATAGATTCCTCTCTGATGAATCATCTGTTGCTGATAGAAATATTAACCAAATTAATAGTCAAATCTTGAAAAAGCAAAGCTTATTGAAAAAAAGACAATAGAAATGAACAGATATTTGTGCAATTTTATAATTTAAAACTCGATAAAATATATTAGAATTTCGGGAACTTCTCTTGAATTGGCTGTTTTATTGATGAATAAGAGAAGAAACAAAGGGAATGAATGAATTAAGATAAATTCTTATATGAATAATCCCATCAATGTCTATTAAGGGATGTTTATGAAGCTAATGATCTGACTTAATCTTTGAAGAGTTGGATAACGACATCAATGATAGCATTTTCCTCTAAAAATATATGTCGAGATAGTTACCGGCTCTTCTGACGGTTTCTGAGGCATAGAATTCTCTCTTTTCTTCCAAGTCAGCAGTGGCACCAGCAACGGCGTTTAATGAATCTTTCCATAATTTGAGGGCCTTGGCTTATTGGGCTAAGACGGCTGGGAGTTACTAAATGATTAGGGGGAAATGAGTACAGTTTCCAATTTTTCAACAAGGTTTGTTCTTCTTTCGTGTTCGGAGTTCAACCATGCAACTTCAGCGTTTGTGTCTGAAACGTATTTGGCAAGAGCGAAAGCAGCGTGGATTTCTTATTCTTAGAGTGTGGCGAGTGTTGATTCCAATTCTCCTTGTAAATCTTGTAAGATGGAAAGGACTTGTTCTCCAGTTGTTCCGTCTCTCTTAACTTCGGCAAGGGATTGGAATTTCTAGAGGGCGTCTTATTAGAAGAGGTGACTGTAGGCAGACAATTTGTCAGCGATTGATTAGGCTTTTTCAACGAGTTCAACTCCAGCATTGTTTGTGAGGAATCCAGCGACGTCTTGTTCCAAGAGTGTGACTACTCCGATGGCATCAGCATGATCAGCAAGTGATTTAACGAAGAGTCCATTGGCCCAACATCTTTAATCTTAGAGTTATGCATTTCTTCTTTCGATTTCAGCAAGTCTGCCTTCAGCCCAGGCCAACCATTAATATCCATCCTTTGAGAATTATTTATAAATCATACCCTGACTTAGGCTTCAACATCAACTCTAACTGCACCGAGGGCTTCCCATTATTATTTATTGAGGGAGGCGACATTTGTCAAGTCACCAATAACTTAAGAAAAGATTTCTAGAAAGATATAATAAAATAAAGCTTACCCTCATCAGTGTTATTCTTTTTGTCTGCAGCAGCTTAGACATTAACATTCTCTGTCTTGAGATCTCTCAAGAGGTTGTACACTGATTCAACAGCATCATTTCCTCTTGTACCAGTTTGGAGGAGGACAGCAAATTTGTTTGTATCTGCGGCAAATACAGCAGCCACTAAGCAAATTGTGATGAGTGCTCTCATTTTTTTTTTAATTTAATTATCTAAAAAACGGGTTCATAATTTGGTTTATAATTAATCATTTAATACTCAAAATTATTACATTAAATAATCATCAAACTAATGCAAAAACACACCCAAAATTCCTTGAATCCTCACAGTACCCACCATATCCTTATCTGCAAAAGGCATTACACTATTAAATTATAGGTTTGATTGATTATTGTAAATATAATAATGACTATATGATTCTTGTATTTGTTTATTAAAAATTAAATATTTTCTATTTATTTTAATTAAGCAGAATATCGAATACACAAAAATTAGAGATTTTCATACAATTTTATTAAATTACACATTTCAAATAAATCAACTGTTTTTCAAAATCTCAGAATTGATAATATATACTTATAATTCAATGATTTACAAAATAAGAATCGTCCTCATTAGATTTTAAAACTAAATATTTAGAAAAGAATATAAATTTTTGGTTTTATTGTTATCCTCATATTGAATAAGGTGGATTAGTGGATTTTTAAATAGTATATTTAAATTAATAGTATGTGTTTTGATAAGTTTTTATTATTTTTAAAGGTCAATTTTGCTATTGTAATACTGAGGTATTCAATTTTATAATTATAATTAAATTTAATGGCAATTATTTGACTCCTCAGATAAATAAGTATCTGATTCAGTTCTTACAACATTAAAGAATACTATTTATCATCAGAGGAGAGTACTAAAAAATGGCTATGATAATTAACTCCAAAATTTTGTAGTTAATAGATGAATTATCAAATGAGATTCTTATCTCTGCTTAATTATTTAACCTATTAATGCAAGATGTTCATCTAAACTAATTTTATTCTCAATCTCTAGGCTTTTATGTATAGAGAAACTATGATTTGAACTTAAATGTATAATTGTAAATTGATGTACTATTTGAGAATTGGAGTAATCTTATTATGTTATGTATATTTGATTGAATTGACTTCGTACTTGAAGAAACCAAAGCAAAGATATTAGATATCTTCATTCATCTAAGAAAACAAGAAAATTTCTTGAAAAGACTCTAACTAATTGAACAACTTTCATTAATAATATCTAGCTACTTCAGAAAAATACTTATAAAAATCAAATAGAAGAATATTGAAATTGTAATACTAGAAAATACGATTTAATAATTAGAATAATAATCTAGTTTACTACTACTTATTATAAACTAATCTCATTAAACCCAACAAAAACTAAGTGCTCATAAGAAGATACTATAGTTAAATAAATTAGCGGAGGATTTGATTGCACAATTAACTCGAAATAATGAGAAAACTATACTAGAATTCAATTTAAAATTGGGAAAAACATGAACTTATTATTGGGATTAGAGGGTCTTCTTTTGAAAAGACTATATGTTTCGCATTTATGGTAACAAAGCGAAATTGATTCATTGTTCTTTCTTTCACAAGAATAATTCCAAGAAGGGTGTAGTTAATTTGAATGATTACAAAATGGGCATAGATATATTATGTCAAGGAGGTGAGGGAGTAAAGGGTGTGGTAAAATGGATAGGAGATGTTGTTGGGTTGGGACACTATTAATGAATCAGGGTTATGTTAAATTTGAGTGCATTTAATCTATTTATTTAATTAATCTTTTATACTTATCATCAGTGATGAAACAAGAGGATCTAAATTATTTGACTTACGGATCTGTGATTTCAATTTCTCATGTGTAGGATGACCACTCATTTATTACAGCCGATGGTTTTGTGAAGCGTTCTGTTTGTTTAAAGAACTTTGTATTTTAAAAGCATTTATCATAAGCATCATATCGATGTGGTGACTGCAAAAAATTTGGGTAAAATGAAAAGCAGGCCATACTTTAACACACTATTTTAAATATTCCCAAAATTCACTAACAATACGAAATAGGAGATTTTGAAGGAATTGCAGGGTGAGGAATAGGAGGAGGAGACTCAGCCAGCGATTCAAAATATTCTGGATGGTATTCAGAAACAGCAGAAGGTGGATGAGAAATCCATAATGTCTAAGGAGTAGATACAATCTTTTTCATAGAAGTTGCTTTAGGAATTCAAATACAATTTGGACACTTTCGAGAAGGTACAAGTGGTAATAGTAATTGTTAGTGTAAATCTCACAAGGTTTCGTACAAATCTCATATTCAATTGTTGCATTTGGCATCATCTAAATTTTTGGCTTGTCATCAGAAGGAAGCAAGAGTGGAGAGTTCAAATTACAAAATCACTCTGGATGAATTGCCAAGTGATGCCTCCTTATTCAAGATATTGCCAGCTTACAAATATCAAAAGGAAGGAGAGTAAGTAATTTATGCAAGTGATATAGTGTACATAGTAAGAGCAACTTCATTAATGAATAAACTAACCTTTCTGCATGCCTCTTAAGAAATGGGCAATTATGGCAAAACCAAAAAGAAGCAGAAAAGTGATGAAGACTTACAAGTGTACAAGAATGAGAAGGATATCATCAAGAGAGAAGTGAATGCATCTTTGGACGAGGAAAACCAAACTCAATGGAGAATATCAGTTTATTCTGATTACGTGCCAGAGACATCAGGCTGTTTGAAATGCGGAGACGTCATTTGGTTGCATCACAGTGAAACCAACACAACCATAGCAGCGACTAGAAAAGGGAAGCCCGTGGATCAGAAGAACTTCCATTCTTTCAATTTGGTGGAATGGTTGGGAGTTGAAAATGTAGAGTTGAATGTATTGAGTGGTTCAACAAAGGAGAGCTACGACGAATATACAGGAGACACTCATTCAATGTGGATAATTGAGGCTGAAGATTACAAGGAAGGAGGCATAGTGATATTTGATAAGAAATATCGATTCAAACATTTTGCCTCTGGATTGTATTTGGCAGGGACAATAGAACGGTTCTATTTGGAGAAGCAAAGAACTGCATCGACACTGTTTTATTTTAGTTAATTGAAGAACACTCAAATGAGAGAAAAGTCAGTAACAAGAGGGAATTATGCATACATATGTCATGAGAATTAAGCATAAGAGAACAACAATTATTGGGTGGATATCCAATGGGGGAAATCCTAAATACATACACCAGTACTGCATCAGGAGCAACACAAAACAGATTAGAGTGTCTTCAAATTATATGCTAGTAGTAGCAATGATGTATGGGAAATCTCATTTGTTCTGAGTTGTGTAAAGACACTAATGAATTATTTGGAAGATGTTTCATAATTAAAATGGGAGAATGATGCTAATGACAAGGAAGTATTGAAAGATCATCTACTTAAAATATAAACAACCAAATAATGCATAGAAGACATCAATGATTTCTGTAATAATCGATTGTATAATTCTACTCCTGAATAAAAATATGGAACTATCAATCAATTTAGATAGAAATTATTGAAAGAATAATATTACATTGATCTACTAGTGAAGATCTTAGTTTAATAATTGAAGCCTGAGGATTTAGTAATGTGGAGTCGGAGGTTCATGATCATTTAAATGCAAGACACTCAGTAACAACAAGAGAAGATGAGCAATACAGAACAATCCAATAAGAAGCAAGGTCTAAAGGAACATGAACTGCTTGCCTATGTTGCTTTCAAGATCAACATGAATCAATCCATCTATACTTTGTTAACATCCATTTGCAAATAGAATCCAGAGAATGAAAAGTACACCTTCGATTTGATTGGCCACTTCTTAGATTACTGCCGATATATTCCAGAGGCCATTAAATGCATGATTTCAATCATTGGCAATAATCAGGAATTACTAAGTTAATTGTCTGCAAATATGAAGATTGATTACAATCCCAAAGAGCAGGACTTCTTTGAACCAGAAGAAGAGAAGATGTAGGTTCAGCATCACAAAGTCTAAAATAACTTTCTCATTTTCTTCTTGAATCTATTGGAAAATGATGATCAACCTCACAAAGCAGACTATCTTACCTTTTTGAGAGAAATGTGTGTCTATAACAACCAAGGAATCAACCAAAATTAAGAAGCCATTTATAAACTATTAAAGAAGCATAATCACAAGAAAATTGCATTGATCAAAGACAAAGAAGACCCAGACAAAATCTCATTAAAAGATGGCAAATTAATCATCCCTTTTAAATTACAAAATGACCCCAAAGAAATGTACTTCATCAATGAATAATTACAATTCTACGCACATGTTTCCTTCGGTAGGAACTATTTATGGAAATAAGAATTAGAACAGTATTTTAGTAAGGATTTCCTATTTTAAAACATTTGGCAAGACGATGGCAATAAAACCTATACTGTGCTTCAAGCAGCACTATGCAAGATTGCCATGAGTCTGTATATTGATCACGATCCTTTGAATCGAGTTCAATTGCCTAAATACTGCAATTTGTATAAGGGTATCGACCAAGTTGTGGAGAGTCAGCATATGGACTTGTATAAACCACTGATTGAAGACTTGTTTCGATACTTACAGGATGTAAGGAATCAGATTGTTCATGCTTTGGATTCCAAGGAGAATGGGGAGAACAACAAGGGTTATGATGTCTTAGAAGGCAATGAAGAAAAAAGCTTGTTGATTAATGAATTATTGTACAATTCTTGTCAAATGATGCAACTGGTTCTGGAATTGGACGTCTTCCCATTATTAGATAAAGAGCCCAATTATTATTACTAATAGATCATCGACATAGTGGTGCACTTCTTTTTTTATGATTTCAAACAATTGTAATTGATGAAGAGTGTGTACAAATTATAGAAGAATGAAATCAGTCAGAGAAAACAAAGAAAAGATAATAATCCCTTGGGAATTGGCTTAAATTTGGGAGCCAACCTAATGAATATGGCTAACCCGATGAATTTGAATTTGAATAACATCTTTGGGTCTGATGAAGAATAGAAATCTGACACTGAGGATGAAGAACAAATTGATGATGGGATTGTTGACGACGTATAAATGTATACGAATCCCTTGATGAGAGGATTCATCAAGTTGGAGAATGAATTGCAAAGTACAATTCTAATAAG